TCTTCCTCATCCTCCTCTGTTCGGTCGCATCTGTTTTTTACATCAGCGTTGGTCGCTGTAGGTGTATGATCACTTTTTTACCTGGTGCTGATTGAGCTAACCTTGAAGTTACAATTTCATGTGTAATTCCTCTTGGGACGGCCTTGATTTTCTGTCATTGTTGGGTGCTCTTAATAGAGACGGTACTTTTTGGTTTTCTCCTGCGTAAGTATTCAGGTGTCCTTGGGAGGAGCAGCCTGTGTCGCACATCCAAGCCGGCCTGCGTCAGTCCTCATCCGCCATTGTTGTTTTACCTTTGCGTAGGTTAGCCACTCCAAAGTCCAGCTGAGATTGTTGGTACATAAGACGTAGAGATCTAAGTTACTCGGTAACGCTGGGCTACTAGGGATGTAAATCGGCGACCGTTTAACCGGTGGTTGACCGTCACAGCGTTAACCGGTCAAAGCTGTCGGTTAAAAAAAGAGAAAAAGGGGAGAGGGGAGGTCTCTTAATAACGCTATTTTAAGCCCTATTTGCACGGTGTGACGAGCGGGTCTGTATCTAGCTGTGTGCGCCCATGTATTATAAACTCCGGGACGACTCTCACGCCGCACGAGCCACATATGCACACACGCACACACACACACTTTCCCCCTCTCCATACGTAACATCCACACGCATCATCTCTCCCCTCTGTTACCGTCAAAGTTGCACACTGGCGCGGGTCAGAACTACATTGGAGCTTACATTTACACACACACACATACACACACACACACACACACATACATACACACATACATACACACACACATACACACACACATACCGGTCTGTCGCGCTCCTCTGTGTCACGGAGCCCAAAGGATCCTCAAATACACGGCTTCAGTCAAACCACATGGAACATGTTTGTGTTTATGGTCCTCGGGATCAGCTCCACACACATCACTTGTATTTAAACTTTTGTGAAGACCTGTGAGACGCGGCTCGTCACTCGCTGCTCTGACCATGTGAACGAGCCGTCGTTTGTTGCTAGAAAGTTTTGGTATTAACCCGCAGCACAGCAGAATGGGAAGATTAAAAAAGCAGTTCTCTGTGCGCAAAGGTGCCGGAGCTGTTGCGGGTTTTGGTGCCGCTGTCTCAACTCTGATCCAGTAGAACGCAGAGCTGCACTTATGAAAAGTACGCGGCTCGAAATGCCTGTTATTTCAAAGAACGTGGACTATTTTAAACTACGCGGTTAACCGGTTTCAACCGGTTAATGAGGCTCGGTGGTCGGTCATGAAAATTCATAGTTTTTTACATCCCTATGGGCTACATCAGGAGTTTGTCTAAAAAAATTATAATTATTGTTTTCTCAGAGGCAATTTCACATTTCAAAGTGAGTGCTCTGCCCTGAGTGGAACTATGAACAGGGGGTGATTAAATTACATGGAACAACTTGAAAACAAGTAAATTTTATTTCCTGCAAACCTGTGATCCGTTTTACTAGTGTAATATTTGTATCTCTCCATTGTATCCGGAGATAGTTATGCAGAAAGCCAAACCATAAATCAATGCATGTTTCAACTAATAATTTGTATCAGATAAAATGATAAAATGTACTTCGAGCACAGTGTGTACAGAAGCCACAGTGCTTATCCATCCATCCATTTTCTTCCCCTTAATCCATTTCTGGGTCAGGGGGTGGCAGTCAGAGCTGCACCCAGTACATACAGTATAGCACCAGCCTCTCACTGATCCTCCTGCAGGTGCTGAGTCCACAGGAGCCTTGATCTTTAAGCAGGGGCTTCAGGCAAAGTGGGGTTAACTGTCGCCCCTATTTGTGTTTGTGTAAAAGTAGATTACTGTGATTTCATGTGCATGTTACAGTGTAGATTGTAAATGGATTGTACAGCACAGGGGCGACAGTGGCTCAGTTAGTAGAGCTTTGGCCTTTGAGCCTGAAGGTTGTGGGTTCAAGCCCACCATGAGACCTACTTCACAACTCCCACTGATGTCTGCTGTCGTTGTGTCCTTGGGCAAGACACTTAACCCCACTTTGCCTGAAGCCCCTCCTGAAAAATCAAGGCTCCTGTGGACTTAACACCTGCAGGAGGATCAGTGAAGGGCTGGTGGTAAGTGTACTGGGTGCAGCTCTGATTGCAACCACCCCAACCCAGAAATGGATTAAGGGGAAGAAAATGGATGGATGGACAGATGCAAATAAACTAGACATGCAGGTAATCCAGCTAAAGAAAACTCTCATGTTTTCTCTTTAATCCATTCATTTATGAGGTGCCAAATGTGCCTATAGCTTCTAATACCTTGTCATCTTAGATCAAGGTTCCTCAGATCTCCGAGAATCCACAGCTCTTTGGACAATCCCCTTATTCCCCAGGCCTCTGTGCTAACGTTTACGGCTGGTGGCTCTGTTGACATTAGCCGTGTTGGCATATAAACCTGGATATTGGAGGGACAGTGGAGTGTGCTTTCAAATCCCCTATGGCGTCTTTCTTCTCACTGACCCCAAACTTACCTGCCACCTCATTTCAATGCTAATGTAGCTTTACGGGTATTTTCCAAGCTATTTATTATGAATCAGCTTACCTAAGAGGAGCTGCTAATCCCAGGGATCCCTGTAGTGCCATATCTGAGAGGTCATAAAAGATAGTCTCTTTATAGCTAGAGGGCGACTGCTAGCTTGACATATTTTCCATTTTATTTCATATTTGGGCAAGGATTAGCTAACACTTTAACATTGTGATAAGAATTTTTTTGCAATATTGAAACCAGTTATATCCTATTGAGCTGGAGGAAAGAAGCTATCACTGGTAATGACACTGTCTGCTTGTGAATAGGAGCCGTCAAAATGGGACATATTTGTTTCGCAAGCAGGAGGAAGAAATACAAAAACAATCTGGGAATGCCCCCAGCTGTTTGCTTTAATGCACAGAGAGGAGAAATGATGTCGTTCAGAGGTCGAGTGCAGAATTTGAGTCGTTTTGTTTGGTGTCGCGCAGATGAGATGCTGTGGACATTGTGTGACTTGACATCACAAATGCATTTAATAACTCTGGGCTTCAGGCACTTTGTGTTTGTATACGCTGTGAAGGCAATAGTTTTCAAAATGCTTTTTTAATATTGGCCAAGGTTCAGCCTTTGTTGTTTTATTTTGTTTAGGATTTTACAATTGGGGATGAGTTTGGGTGGTTTCACATCTGAAAGTAATTCCCAGGCAGCACATTTATTTAGAAACTAGATATTTTTCATTGTTATCTGTTGAATAGAGACAAGACTGTTTGGCCTTCATAGTTGTGAATGAATAACTCTGCAACAATGAAGAGACTTATTTTTCCTCTGATTGTGGCTGTCCATGGTACTCTGTTTCACCCTTCCATATAATTTACCACGTTCATCTTGTCCATCCATCCATTTTCTTCTGCTTTATCTGTTACTGGTCTTATCTCTTAATTTCCTCTGGTCATAACCACATCTGTATCACATCCATACACTTGAATGCTTTCTAACTTTTCAGTTTCACATCCCTTGTCTTACATTGATGTCCGTGCACACAGGTCAACGAGCTCATTGTGAGAAAATATTCTGCAATCATAAACAGAGAGAGTTGAATGCCATCCTGTACATTTCAGCCACAGTGAAAACATCTCAGCAAGTCCAGATGTATTCAAGAAATGACATCTTTAAAGTTCATTAAAGTGAGGGTTTCTTTTAAACCTATTTTGCCGCTTGGTTTGAAGTTTGTTTTTAGTGTGTTTGTCATGTCACTGCAGTTTTGAGTGAAGATACTGTCGATAGAGTAGGAGAGGAGGAGTTGTCGAGCAGCTACATAATGTACAGTATTTATTTATATTGATCATCACTTTTTCTAAATTGGCCACAGTGGCTCAGTTAGTAGAGCTGAGCCAATGCCGACTCCTTCTGATGTCTGCTGATGTTGTGTCGTTGAGCAAGACACCCCACTTTACCTGAATTCCCCGCTGAAGATCAAGGCCGTGCTCTCACAGACAGAGCGGCCGTCCTCCTGTGGACTCAGCACCTGCAGGAGGATCAGTGAGGGGCTGGTGCTCTGGGAATTGGGTGCATCTCTCACTGCCACCCCTCTGACCCAGAAATAGATTAAGGGGAAGAAGATGGATGGATGGATCAGTTTTTTTATGCACACAATCAAATACAAAAAAAAGTTAGCTCAAAGATACAAAGTTTCACATTTTAATCCAACTACAGTCTTGGCAGTGTCACAGTCTTGGCAGTGTCTAATATTTAGTAAAGAATAATCACAGTCCTTATGCCCCTGACAGGCAGATGTTATTCTTATTTTTCTATCGTATGGAATTCTGGTTTTCAGTTTATAATCATTTGCTTATGCATTGATTTCCGTCTCGTGCTTTTGTAGCAGAGGCTCTCGTCTTTTCTTAGGTAACTATAAAACAGCAGTGCTCATGCCAGCTGGATGTCTGACAGGGTAAAACAGTTCCCCGCTGTTCACCATCAGCTCTTTGATATAATAAGCATTTATATTTGACTTGCGTTTCAGGACAAAACCATAACAACAGGTAGAATGACTCATCTCCTGTCAGTAAAACCCGTACGCAACTTCTATGTCTCTGGATTTCATTGGGATGTTTTTCTTTGATACTGCATTTGGACTCTCTTGTTTCATCTTTTCCGGTGGTCTTGTTCCGCATGTCTGGTATTGGCGTTCGGGACAGCATCAAGAGCTAAAACTCAGTCACTTTTAATCATATGCTCTCTCTTTGGTCAGAATCTCCAGGGAAGAGGATGGAGCCATGGCAGGAATATTAAACAGTTTTCTCGCTCATGATCACGCGCTGACCTCAACCCGTATCTGGATCAAAACAAAGTGAGCTGATTTCCACCACCCTAAAAACACATATCCAAACCTACTTCTTGTTTGTTGTTTTTTGTTTTTTTTAGAGTTGAGAAAGTCGATGTATTGGTTGCCATATTTGCATGGCCCCCCAAAGTTTCCGTTTTTTTTTTCCAAGTGTAATAAAAGTATGAGCGGAGAGAGACGTGAGGAAAAGCAGCCAACAGCTCCATACAGCTCGCCCCAGGGCTCCTTCACTGAGCATCAAGAGTGACAACGTCTGTAATACTTTATAAGATGTGACCCGGCGCTCACGGTGTAGCAATACTGACACCTTCTGGACACTGAGGGAACTACAGATGGTGACAGAGAATATTCAATTCAATTTTGCCTCTAGAGACTATGCATAAGGCTGATTTACGACACATCAAGGGCATAATAACTCTATGTGTGTGTGTGTGTCTGGGGCAGTGCATGTTAATGAACACACCTAATAGTTGCCTTAGGTTAATGTCTATCGTTAATTTCCATCTGATGTCTCTTACCTACACTGACACAGGGAGAGCGTGCAAACAAATTCCACACAGACATCACAGAAATATGAATGTGTGTCAATCTCTGTTGTGTCACTCGTTATTATTATGGTGAGAGCGAGTCTGATTCCGCGTACAGTCATTATCACAGTTACCTGGAATGGGGAGACGAGATACTGGTGGCTCCCGAGATTCAGGTTGGAGACCCTTGATCTATTGTGCCAGTGTGGTGTATAATAATAGGTATCAGTGTATGATAGCAGGTTGTAATGTTGTGTTCCGGTTGTGTCCAGCAGGGGGTGTTAATGACCATGTCGGATCCCTGCACAACTGTCAAGGGAAGCAGAAGACGAGCACGTGTGGACTGAGCATGCGCAGTCTCCAGTGTTTACATGGAAATGGTGAGCAGCACATTCACATTAACAGCTTTGTTTTCTCTGCATCTGTTCCCGTCTTCTTCCGTCTGGGCAAATATGCATGTTTTTATGGCTAGTCTTCCAGTGTGTGATCAGTCATATGCTATGGATTAGAAAGAAAAATGCCTTCTGTCTTTGAAAGTCTGTTGTGATCATAATTTCTTTTTTTTGTAAACATTTATTTCATGTAGAATGACACACGCTTTGCATGCGTCACATTCTACTTTAGCAAATGATGGAGATTGATTCTACTTTCTGTATAGGACTAAAACAAGGCTTTTTATGTGTAAATAATCAGGCTGCCTCTTTAGATGACCCACCCCCACTGTGTCAACCTCTGATTTTTATATAATAGTCCGTAGACAATCAAACACCCCTTAGTGAAAATACTTTGTAAAGACTCTTTTTGAAAGGCTTCAGTCACTCAAACCATTTGGGGCAAATATGTATAATAAATCCTCAATGTGTAGAGATTCAGATTCATTTTATTTGCCATTTGCAGTAAAACCACGTCGGAAAAACTGTGCAAGACTACTCCAATGTGTACCGGACAGAAGACGGCACACACCAGAGCTCTTGCTAGAAACATTGATTCAGTCGTAAATGTAACAAAATATAGTAAATAGTTAAGTTTAATGGCTTAGATATTTAAATTGGGTCACGTTTGGCCATATGTTTTTGTGTTGATGTGACAATTTCCCCCAAAACTATCATTTGGTCACAACTGCCCAGGCCAGAGTTGCAGTTACTGAACAAAAAAAGCAAAATCAGTTTAAAAGCAGGAATAATCAGGGTGGATCAAGACCGACGGAGACACAGACTGCACCAGCACATGTTGCATTTCTCTCTTCTCATTTGTCTCAGTTCTCGGTCAGAGATGGAGACTGCCCTGGGTGATCAGCAGCAGCAGCAGCAGCAGCAGCAGCAGGAGGAGGAGGAGGATGTAGGAGCAGAGGGGGCCATGCTCTGGTCCCTGCAGGAGGCCCTGGAGAGGCAGACCCTGCAGATCGGGGCCTCTGCGTGTGGAGCCACTGCTGTCGTGGACGTGCTGAAGGCCCTGGACATCCACGTGGCCCCAGAGGACGTGGAGCGCTGTGTGAGGACCAGACAGAGGAGAAACGAGGCCCCTCTGCCCGACTACCTGCTGTCCAGAAGCCAAGCAGGTAATCATTTATTATAATAAATAAAGTTTTATAGCGATTTTTAGTCACATCCATATATACTATTTGAATTACTCTACAGTCTATGAAGAGTAATCAGACGTTTCTCTTTTATTTACTTTACTCGCTTTTTTACTCAATACTTTTCCCAAATATTGAACAAGTAAAAGACATTTTAAACATGACAATCTCTCAATGTAAAAAAGTAATGTGGGAAACTATTCACATTACACTAATAAATAAACTACATAATTTATTTGGACAGGATTAGACCCTTTGCTTTTATTCCAATTTAATTCAATGTATTCTTGGATAGTCCTAAGTCTCAACAGTAGTTATCTCAAAGGACTTTACAGAACCGTAGAACACAGAACACAGATCAGAGAATCAAACCGTTCAAATACAAGAAATGCAATGATAAAAAACACATAAAGCCATTGGTCCATAAGAGGCTAAGACAATGGAAAATGTTGATAAATGTCCATAAATGTTGCTGAATATCGAGTGTCCTGGATCATTACCACCGTCCTTAGAATCTCCTGCATCGGAAAAACTCAAAAAGAGCAGTGTTAAATTGGGATAATGATGATGTGAAATATTTGTATAGCTTTGAATGTATATTTGAGGACACAGAGAAAAACTCAATTGATTTTTTTTTTTCAATTTCAATAAAACATTCTCAACAAAACTATTATGCTGTAAATATACTTTTTTAAATACATGCTGATGAAAATGCAGCCCTTTATCGTCTTTTTTGATTGACTAGAGACAGCCACTCCCATACTGTATGTTCAGCAATCAATTGGTTCTTTGTGCAGCTCCAGGTGAAACTCCACTTTTCCCTTGGAACCCTGCTGCCAAACCAAAATAAAGGCACCTGAAACGCACTACCGATCTTAACTCAGTTTAGACCAAAACGTTCTGGGTTTTGTGTTGGTTTTTTTGCACAATGTAACATACCAAATTCTCTATTGTGTGTTTTTCTGAGTTGCCTCTAGAGACGTATTCCAGTGTTATCTGTGACTCTGGTCTGTGAAAGGTGCTTGTTACAGCCCGGCTTTATGACTGCAACAAAAAATAAGGGGGAACGACACAAGGACCAGATTTGAAGCCATGGTTGGCATTTATTTAAAGAATAAAAATAATAATAATAATAATATAACTGCGATCAGTGTAAGTGTAATATGAGTGGATGCGAGCAGGAGAACCTTATGTGTGGTTTGAGTGTTGAATGAGAATATGTTAATGTTGTTATGTTCTGTAAGTGAGTAATGGGCTGAGGTGCGTGTGATACGAATGATAGTCAGTATTATAGTATACAGTAGTAGTTCGTGTTGAGTGCAAATGCGTATAAAGTCAAATCATAAGACAAAGGAGTGGCGTGGCCCGACACGTCTGTCCTGGACATGGCTGAGACAAGTGTGTCAGAGGCTGAGGAAGAGGGAGAGCCATCAGGATACTTCCTGCTTTTAAGCGGACCGGACAACCAGCCAATCAGGGCGGAGCTGAAAGAGATGTCATGTTACGAGGGGAGAAGGTGTACGCCCAGGTGCATAACAGTGCTATATAAATAAAGATGACTCACTGTACTTACTCTTTACCTAATATTGCTTGTCAGATTGTCTAGCTCACAGATTTGGCCCCTTTTTACTTTCAATTATTATGATTGACTTGGCAGCATTCATGGTCAAAAGTGCCACTATACCTCAATGCAAATCCAATTTCCTCAAGAAAACAGCCACACAATTAAATGTATTTCAAAAATTGGCACAAAATATATAATTAAGAATAGTTATAGTATATACATCATCAGTCTACAATTATGTCTTTGTTGACTTGGGTTCAGTTTTGGTTCAATAAAAAAAAAGCTGAACCACCAACCACTCACACACATGGCAGACTCGTCTAATGTGGGTGAAGTGTCTTGCCTAAGGACACAACAACAGTTTGGCACTTTATGGCCGCAGCTGCCCCACTGTGGCACCTGGTGTTCCGAGAGGTCTCCCATCACAGTACTAACCAGGCCTTGCCCTGTGCAGAATAAAAGTAAAGCTATTGTCAAAATACCTTCATAATGTCACAACCTTTTTTTAATATATATTCACCAACGCAAACTGTCCCATGAGAAACCACGAGCACACTTACTTTCAGCCTGTTTCTTAATTCTGCCCCTGATCAAAATGAGTTTAATCCTTAGTTTAGCCGTAGTCACAGTCGAATAAATGATATATCTGTTTGGGATTTTTTGGAAACGTTTTTTTTTAACTGTTGGAATGCAGGGAATAGAAAGTAAGAAATACATGTTTGATTATGAAATGTAGACGTCTCTTTAACCCGCCTTAATAATAAGTGACCGGTTATCTGAGATACCTGGGGCTATTACCAAGACTTAAGTTGTCCAGGATACTAATTAGAGCTTCTGATTAAAACATATGTTACCGTGACGACACAGACCGCTGCCTTTTCTTGGGGTGCTGTAATTACGGACACAAACAAAACATGCCTGAAGCAATATTTTCTCTGCTTATTTTTACATCTGCTCATGATAGCGGCCCAGTGTTCTCTCTATTTGAATAGTAATAATAATAATAATAATGTTGTGTGTGTGCGGACTGGGTCGCCGAGGTCTCCGCCTTCGACTGCCGCCCAGTACTCGCTGCACCGTGCCTTGTGCCCGTGGGTTAAGGCCCGGCCACCAGGCGCTCGCTTTCGAGCCCCGACCCCAGGGTGGGCCCCTGGCTGCTGTTGGAGCGTGAGATTGACAGGTGGGTCAGTGCAGCGTGCGCAGTGATGCAGTCGCTGTATCGGACCGTCGTGGTAAAGAGGGAGCTGAGCCGAAAGGCGAAGCTCTCGATTTACCGGTCAATCTTCGTTCCCTCCCTCACCTATGGTCATGAGCTTTGGGTAATGACCAAAAGAACGAGATCGCGGATACAAGCGGTCGAAATGAGCTTCCTCCGCAGAGTGGCTGGGCGCTCCCTTAGAGATAGGGTGAGGAGCTCAGTCACACGGGAGGAGCTCGGAGTAGAGCCGCTGCTTCTCCACGTCAAGAGGAACCAGTTGAGGTGGCTCGGGCATCTGTTCCGGATGCCTCCTGGACGCCTCCCTGTTCCGAGCACGTCCCACTGGGAGGAGGCCCCGGGAAAGACCCAGGACACGCTGGAGGGACCATGTCTCTCAGCTGGCCTGGGAACGCCTTGGAGTCCCCCCGGACGAGCTGGAAGAAGTGTGTGTGGATAGGGAAGTCTGGACGTCTCTGCTTAGACTGCTGCCCCTGCGACCCGGCAACGGATGAAGCGGAAGGGAATGGAATGGAATAATAATAACAAAAGTGATGCGATACATGTGGTGTTTTGAAAGAGTTTAGTTTAGTTTTTTTTTAAAGGTGGGAACAGTAGCCTGCATAAACATATGGACAGTAATGTGAAAATGAGGTGTTGGTATGCAGCGTGGCATCTAAGTAAAGCGAGATTACACCTGTTAGAACCAAAATCTGTGTTAATAAATGTATATTTATGTGAGAAATAGATAGATATTTTTTGAGATATTTTAGAATAAAAGTTTGTTCAACTCCCAATTTAGCTTTGTGGTGCCTTCTGTAGGAAATACATTTGCTTTTGTTTTTCTTATATTAATTAAAAATGGCCATCTGTTCTTTCAGTGTACAGTATTTAACATTGAAAGAGCATCTTCTCTCTGGTTTAAAGTAGTCAGCAGCTATCCACACTGATGTCTCTTGTCTTGCCCGTCTCTTGTAGAAAAATAAGCATTTATTTCCTGGAGTTTGTGTTGAATTTGAAACCCTCAGTGTCAAAGCGATTGCACCAAAACCGTTTTGGGTAAAAGGTTTCACAAAAGACAGAGGTTTTCTCCCCTCTCATCGCTGCAGACTCTCAGTGCTTATAACCTCATAACAATCCACTCTTTCTGAACTCAAACCCACACGGTGACATTTGAGCTGATCAAATATGAATACACGGCGACTCCCATAAGTGCCAATGCCAGAGAGGCAGCGGCAGACCATCACTGGCATCGTGATGAGGTCGGAAAATATCTTCTCCGAACCATAAAACGCCTTCTGTCTCTGCCTCTGTCTCTGCCTCTGCCTCTGTCTCTGCCTCTGCCTCTGCCTCTGCCTCTGTCTCTGTCTCTGCCTCTGTCTCTGCCTCTGCCTCTGTCTCTGCCTCTGCCTCTGTCTCTGCCTCTGCCTCTGCCTCTGTCTCTGCCTCTGTCTCTGTCTCTGCCTCTGTCTCTGCCTCTGCCTCTGCCTCTGCCTCTGCCTCTGTCTCTGTCTCTGCCTCTGCCTCTGCCTCTGTCTCTGCCTCTGCCTCTGCCTTTGCCTCTGTCTCTGCCTCTGCCTCTGTCTCTGCCTCTGCCTCTGCCTTTGCCTCTGTCTCTCTCTCTGCATCTGCCTCTCTCTGTCTCTGTCTCTTCCTCTGCCTCAGCCTCAGCCTCTGTCTCTTCCTCTGTCTCTGTCTTTGCCTTTGTCTCTGTCTCAGCCTCTGTCTCTGCCTCTGTCTCTGCATCGGTCTCTGCCTCTGCCTCTGTCTCTGCCTCTGCCTGTTTCTGCCCCTGTTTCTGCCCCTGTCTCTGCCTCTGTCTCTGCCTCTGCCTGTTTCTGCCTCTGTCTCTGCCTCTCTGCCTCTGTCTCTGCCTCTGCCTGTTTCTGCCTCTGTCTCTGCCTCTCTGTCTCTGTCTCTGCCTCTGTCTCTGCCTCTGCCTCTGTCTCTTCCTCTGCCTCTCTCTGTCTGTGTGACAGCTGACTGCTCCACACACATTCACAAAAAGTAGCCACTCGAATTAGACAAAGAGTTTTATCCCTCTCAAAGGAGACGCTGTAATTGACTTTTTCAGCTCGGTTTCACCATTTTCATATAGACTTTTCCCGACAGTTGGTTCAGGCTGTCATCCAAGTGGCATGAATGAAGGCTCTGTTGAAGTGGAAGTTCCTGAGTGATATTTCTCATTTATTTTTTAAGTTTTAATTATTGTGCCTGTGTGTCATAGTCATGTGTCACTTTGGAAATGAAATGAAAATGAAAATTCATGAAGGTTCGATCTGTGGAGACGCAGATTTGAAGCTTTCAACCATGTTCCAGGATTTGTACTTTATCAAAAACAGACCTGAAGGTGTTTTTAGCTTCATTCACGCTCTTTTGTGTGTTTGAATTTGAACTTTTTTGAATGTCACCAGTCACTTTTCGTGGTATGTTCATTTATTTATTTATTTAAAAAGTATCAATTCTTCTCAAAAGGAGTGGGCCGAAGCTTATGAGCACCCCACCCCTCAAACTCAATTACAATAAGAACAAAGTCGTACAGAACAAGGACAGAGGCACAGAAAACAAACTGAATATGAACGTCCTTGATAATGGTATAATCAACAGTTAACAACATACAGTTGCACACCTTCAACAGACCCCACCATTTCATAACTCATCACTGTTATGACATGATGCTGTGGTAGCTCTCTTTTGTATCTCTCTGATGACATGATGCTGTGGTAGCTCTCTTTTGTATCGCGCTGACATGATGCTGTGGTAGCTCTCTTTTGTATCGCGCTGACATGATGCTGTGGTTCCTCTCTTTTGTATCTCTCTGATGACTTGATGATGTGGTAGCTCTCTTTTGTATCTCTCTGATGACTTGATGCTGTGGTAGCTCTCTTTTGTATCGCTCTGACATGATGCTGTGGTAGCTCTCTTTTGTATCTCTCTGATGACTTGATGCTGTGGTTCCTCTTTTGTATCTCTGATGACTTGATGATGTGGTAGCTCTCTTTTGTATCTCTCTGATGACTTGATGTTGTGGTAGCTCTCTTTTGTATCGCTCTGACATGATGCTGTGGTAGCTCTCTTTTGTATCTCTCTGATGACTTGATGCTGTGGTTCTTCTCTTTTGTATCTCTCTGATGACTTGATGCTGTGGTTCCTCTCTTTTGTATCTCTCTGATGACTTGATGCTGTGGTTCCTCTCTTTTGTATCTCTCTGATGACTTGATGCTGTGGTAGCTCTCTTTTGTATCTCTCTGATGACTTGATGCTGTGGTAGCTCTCTTTTGTATCTCTCTGATGACTTGATGCTGTGGTTCCTCTCCCAGGGGCCACTCATGCCCAGCTGATCTCCGGGGCAGAGGCGGCCAGCGAGGGGCGGGTGGTCGGCCGTTTCTTCCACATGTTTCCTGCTCGCCGCGTGGCCCTGTTGCGCTGGCTCTGCCGCTGGCTGCGCAGAGGAGCTGTGCCTGTGGCCACCATGAACATGCAGAGGGCGGTGCCCGAGGGCGAGGAGGTGCCCGACGCCTGGCACCATCAGCTCGTCTTCGGAGTCGCACTCGACGCCAACGCTGTCTTCATGACCAACCCCCTGGACGTGGGCAAGTGCGGGCGCCAGGGTTAACACGGGGGTCCATCTAATCTAAGATAAGATCAGAGATCCTTTACTCTTCCCACAGTGGGGAAATGTCAATGTTGCAGCGCACAGGACAGTAGTAAGAGACACAGGGAGCACAAAATAAGTAGTAGCTATGTTTCTTAGCTGTAAATGCTTCAATACCAGTCTTTCAAAAAATAGATATATATTACATGTATGTATATATATATTGAAACATATATATATATATATTATATATATATGTTTCAATATATATTAGTGTGGAGTTATATACTGTTATGTATACTGTACATATAGAGCAGGATAATAAGTAGATAAAGTAAAGGGACATTCTGCAGTATTGCACATTGCACATGATTTAAGTATTTACTTATTTACAGATGAATTAATATTCTTTTTCACTAATCTAATTTCAAAATATTTCAAGAATTGTAAAACCTGCAGGTTGAGTAGTTCAATGTTATATGAGTGCTGGTTTATTTCAGTGATAGTAGCTAATAGTTTTTTATCCATAAACCATTTTCTTCTTCAATTTCTGGGTCGAGTGGAGGGGGGGATGGGGGGTGTCAGTCAGACCCAGCTCACAGAGCACCAGCCCCAACCCTCACACCCAGTGCCTCACTAAGAGACTAAATCCACATAAATGATTATTAATGCAGCAGAATCGTTACATGAACTCGTGAATCCTGTATTTCTTTTTGTCTGTCGATGATTTTAGTTGTTTTCTATATTTTACAAAGTTTCAGTGCTCCACCATTTATGCCCCACATTCAACTGATGAAAAAAACATACAATATAATGGCTTTTTTTTTTATCTTTAAACTTTGAAACATATTAGTTTGGTACAGCGCTCTCTCCCCTCACTGTGTACACTCTGATGTTGAGATCGCAATGACTTAAAAGACCCAAGTTTTTACTAATTTTATCATTTTTCCATGCATTATTTGAACGCATCGTTTTGGCCTCAGACATTTCCGTCCATACCCATCGAATTTCTCTGAACTCTAACGTGTGTTGAACTATATATACGGCTCCGCTTCTGTTGCAGAGAGACAGTCGGACATGCTGGAGCGTCTGTGCAGTGACTCCGTGCTGTTGGTCCGCAGAAAAGACGTGCTTCAGCGTCTGTCCCCAGGCTGCTCTTTATCTGAACTGTCTCAGGACCCAGACCCACGATGGACCTCTCTGGACGTACTGGGTATTGCCTTAACTAACCAAGCTATGATATAGATTACCTTTCTACCTGCCTACTTTGGTCTATTACTACATGTAGGTACACAAATAGGTACACGTATGACCTTTCTGTGTGATCCAGGGCAGGTGAAGCGAATGGTGGAGGAGCAGGAGCAGGTTTCTCCTTCACACATTGTTATCCCTGCTGCGTACAAATCTGGGATCACTCTGTTCGCCCTGCGCCACTCGCCAACGGGACAAGAACTCCTCGACAGCCCTGAACTGCCGCTGCTCTGAAGACTTCTGAAGGAGCCGCAAATGTGAACTCCGGGCACTTATTTATTCAACAAATAAGCAGCGATGACAAAAATGTGGTTTTACAAGTGCAATTTCAAGCCTGATAAACAGCTCCTGTCTGCTTTTATTATTGCGTCGCCACGGCAATATTTTATCCCTTCAATGTTAAAAGATAGAAACTTTTCTGCATGTATAAATGGGGAAATTGTGTGTTTACATAATTGATCTGGCATATAGTTGGTGTCATGACTGTCCTTACACTGCATTTAAATCTGTAAATGATCTTAATACCTTTGTGACCTAAACCACTGCTCCTTCTATTTTGATCTTCTACCTCCAAACATGTGCAGCTAATTTTCAGCCAAAATGTCAAATAATAAATAATTCAACAAAAACGGTTGTCTTCGTCAGAGCTATTCTTTGTGCGTCCGTGTGTGTCTGTGTGTGTCTCTGTCTCTTCTATGTCTGTGTGTGTCTCTGTGTTTGCGATATGTGCGTCTCTCTGGGTCTGTATCTTTGTCTCTTTGTGTCTTTCTCTGTGTCTGTGTGTGTCTTTCTGTTTTCTCTGTGTGTGTCTCTGTCTCTCCTTCTGTCTGTGTGTGTCTGCCTCTGTGTATGCGATGTGTGCGTCTCTCTCTCTGTCCGTTTCTCTCTGTCTCTGTGTGTTTCTCTGTCTTTGTGTGTGTGTGTGTCTTTCCCAGTGTCTCTCTGTGTGTGTGTGTGTGTGTCAATCTAAATGCAATCACTGACAATATTATCTATGAGAAGTGACGGGGGAATACCTGTGTGGCTGCTCTCATCCTTCTCCATTATAGCCCCTGCTCACAGCTGTCTGCTTAACTTTCACATTGACTTTGAGAGTGTATCGATTTCTCTCTGAGGCGATAAGTGGCAGCTCCAGTTCATATTCAGCTCTGTTACATTAATCTGTTATGGGAGTGGGGAGATCTGATCCAGAACTGTGTGGTATTAAAGATGATGGGGACTGGAGCATATGAGTTTTGACTGATGCAAAGAGCCACTGATGAAGTCTGTATGAATCATGAAACTGCATCCTACTTTTAATATATTTATAAATAACAATTTGTGTAAGTAGCTGTTTTTTCTGATTTTGCATGGTGTGTTAATTCTCAAAAAAGCCCAGTGATCTGAGAAAAGTTATTATTCAATATAGAATAATAATGTGTCTTTTTGTTTAAAAGTAGCTGGAGTACACAACTTTTAATACATAATGATAGTTTGTCCTGTCAGAATGTGAATAAATCAGACTTCAACATAGTAGACAACATGTTTTGCATAAGAAAGAGCCCTGTGAGTCACTATTTGACATTTTGGGCTGAGAGCTGATTGGTTGATTTAATGTGAGGTTAAAACAAATAAAAATAATAATAAATGCATATGTGTGACTATAGATAGACCCAAATATTTTAAGAGCTGAAGTAGTTTAATTAATTAGAATTAAAGTGTCAAGGTTTTTGAGATGTTAGGTACCCCAGCTTTAACCATAATCGCCACTGCCCTTTGATAAACATCTGTATTTTGACTTACGTACACGTAGTCATTTTTATTTATTTATCTTAACAATTCAAGTTTTATTTACTCAACAAAACAAAATTACGCCCAGAAAAAATATGAATCTACATACCAAATAAACATTGCATTCAGGTCCTTTTATTTATTTTTCTTGCGTCATAAATAATTCGCAACGAACTATGACAAACTACAGTTCCCATGGTGCATTTCACTTCCTGGGAGGCTCCTGCTACAACTCTTAAAACGTGCTTCTCAAAGTTGCATCCGCAGCTCAAGGTAGAAAGTAATGGTAGTTAATTGTAGGTTGTAAATCATTTTATCTGAGGGTTTAGTTAACTTTGAAGAGTTTGTTTAGCGTTAGTTTCATCATTGGTTGATTCTGTAGCGACTCTAACTTGTTGTGTTGGCGCAGAACGGTCTGAGAGCAGAGCTGGACCAGAGACGGACGCAGGAGAAGAGACTTTTCTTCCAGCTACAAACTAACTTTAAGGTGAGTCTCCGAGATGCTTGAAAAATACAACATATTTTAGACACATCCACATTGGCTTTCTCCATGAGCGAGAAATGAAAAAGCAACACAAAAACGTGCTGTGGCTGTGCATACATACAGGCTGCAGTTATGGATGTGGATAAAATATGGATCAACACTTATACTGCATGAGTCCATCACAAATAAGAAAAAAAAACACGTAACTACAACCCAGTGTGAGCTTACTGAACCATTTTAACACTGATTTTGAGATGCATGCAGACAATTCTTTGGGAAAAACTTTTAACTTTGTCGATGCCTTTTTGAAGTAGGGATGCACCATAATAACAAAAATGTGTGTTTTTGCATTCAGTATTTTCAAGCAATGTTGGAAGTCCGTCATACTTTGTTAAAACCTGCTGTGACATTAAAGTAAAACGGTGTGTATTTACCATAGAATATACCTTTTTTTTAATTAAAATTCTGGATTTTGTTGAAGTAAAAGTAAACAATATTGTGTAGCAGTTTTTAACACCATTTCTACGTTATATTTTAATTTTAATTTTTGGCTACGAGCTAATTTTCATCCGTAGTCCCTGTGCAGAGGCTTACAGTGCTTAAAGAATTTATGACCAAAAAGCCATAGTTAGCATTAAAATACAGGTCAAATGCAACTCTCCTGACCAGAAAGAGACACATTATATGCAATGTACACAACACACTATTATTCACATCTTATTCTTGACTGCAGACTTGATTATCTTTGAGCCTTGTCTTCAGGCTGAGATAATAGAGTTAAAAAAATGTCTTCACAAAATGGTATTAAAGTCCCAAACTTGCGGGAGGGACAGACAGCCATGTGAGTCTCATGTGCTTGTGTGCTTCCAATCAGAGCGCCTGATTGGACTAATAATAAGAAGCGTGCACCAGTTTACTCTTAGTGCTGCTTTCAGAGAATCTGGAAGTCTAAAGTTGTGTGAGATGGATTCGTATTTGTGAGGTCAGTGAGGTGAGAAGTTGCACAATAAAAAGTCATAGGTTTGAACTCTGATCAACGAGAGGTTGTTTGGGTTGGGGGTTTAGGAAGATTGTACATATCTGGCAACTTGGCAGAACTGTACTGCACTGACATGTTTAGTGAATCTAGAAAAGCAAGTTTAGAAAGTATAATTACTGCACTGATATTGTTTGAAAATGTTTACTATATTGAACATTTGGGCTGCTCAATTTTGACAACATTTTTCTTTGTCTTTAAGATTTTGTAGAGTGAGATTTAGGGCTGATATCAAGAATCTAATTAATGCTTTTTTTACAATTGTGTTGCCTCAAACCATGTTGATTTACATAACTACTTAATACTCTGTGATTTTAGTTGACAAGTGTGAATCAAGTTATTTATGACAAGGTACGACTCAAATTCTAATTATTTACATATATGGTATTCTAAAGAAGTCATAATCAATACAAAATGCAATTACTGCAAACCATGCTTCAAAATATTAATAATTTTGTTCCAGAACTATTTGTTTTTGAGGTTAAGTATTTCAAGAATTACCTGCTGAAGAAAAAGCAGAGCAGGGCAGGACCTGGTTAGTACAGTGATGGGAGACCTCAGGGAACTCCAGGTGCCACAGTGGGGCGGCTTTTGTGTCCTTTGGCAAGACACTTCACCCTCATGGCCTAGAATGAGTCTGGTGTGTGTGTAGTTGGTGGTAAGAGGGGCCGATGGCACAGTCTGGTTTGCTCGCTTCTGTCAGTGCGCCCCAGGGCAGCTGCGGCTACAGTAATAGTTAATCACCACCGTGTTTGGAGTGGAAGAATAATTATATGAAGCTTCTTTGAGTGTCCAAAAAGCTCTATATAAAACCGATTTATTATTAATTATACATTTCAGTAGAGGTTTGAGTTTTATGATCATGTAAAGTTTGATATGAAAGAATCTGTCAAATATGAGAACTCCCTTTCCATCGTACTTTCATCGCATTTTCTCGACAGCCGTTTCCACGACGATTCCCTGTTGTGCTCCATTGATCCTTTTATTGACATGGCCGCTGATTACATCTCGCCCAGTGCCTAACATTCTTTGCATATCCGAGCGTGAAGACACTCTGGCTTTAATTGAATCAGTAAAACACGACTCCCCCATTGTCCCTCGCTGGCAGACGGACGTCGCGCTCAGAGGACTCTCGAGGACAGTGCATTAGAGCCGCAGACGTCTCACTGTACGTCTTGTGATAATGGCCTCGCTGCGTGTCAATGACCTTCCCTGAAACCATTGCCTTGGGTTTTGTTCCAGCTGATTGAATCCTTGTTACCGTGGCCTTACAAGACGCCGTGCAGAAAGGTCAGCCTCGCCATCCGCAGCCTCCATAGGTCACTCTGCGTGGCATTAAAACCAGGGACGGCGGCTTGAGATGGAGGCGGAGCTTTTGTGCCGCATGTTAATCGATTGTCACGATTTGATTAATAATTGACAATTTCAGGTCGCTGAAACTCTTTGTTAGTTTTTTAAATGCAGTAAAAGCGTTTCAAAAACCACTTGTATGTTGAGATGAGCCTATTGATAAGTGTTGACAGTTAGCATGGTCTTGCACTGCCTTTTAGCGTTATAGCATCTGTCCAATGTAACTGTTGTAAATAAACCAATAAATTAATAAAAATGAATAAAAAAACTACTCTACTGGAAGACTCTTTTTGGTTCAACAAAATCCTTTCTAGTTATAATATTTCAAGCTAGTAAAGTTTTTCATTGGCTCATTAAGATTAAGAAATCTTGTATTCATCCCACCGTGCTTTTGTGTTTTTCTTCACCAGTTAAACTATAGAAATGAGAAGGACACAATACAACAAAAAATAACTATTATGCTAGTTATTTTTTTTATTTTTTATTTTGTATACTTTATACTTAGTATAACTTTAGAAAAATGTCTACAACAGTCAAATCAAGTAGATGTTCAAATTGAGAGCTACCTCTGACTTTAAGAATAATATATTTGTGAGTTTTACAGTGTTGATGCTGTTTACGTCCCCATAGCTTAAAGCTGCACTAACTGACTTTGGGATTTTGAAGCCGCGGACTCGCTGGCCTCTCTCTTTCTGCTCCCCTCCCCGCACCCACGAAGCTATCTCCCCCCACACACACTCACTGCTAGCGTCTCCCAATATGGATAATACGTGGATATGGATTTGCACGTGGATGGCGTGACTATAGAACGATAGAACCGGGAAGCGCGGAGGAACAAGACTTTCTTTTGGATGGCTGTCTCGCTGTGTAAGCAGTAACCGGTGACGAAGACACACGAAGTTTCAGGTTAGCTCCGCCGCTTTTTGTGCTAACTCAGCCGTCTATGCTAACGGACCTGTAGATTTCTCACGAGAGTGGGGGCTAGTGGTCCGCTGTGATTGGTCACAATCTGCGACCCGAAACACATTCTCTTCCTTGTTTCATCAAAACTCGATCTAAAATATAATGTCACGCCAGCACAAACGTGCGCTATTTTTTCTTCAAAAGGACGTATATCCCAATGCACTACATGGACATGGATAGCATTTTCATAATGAATACAAAAATAAAGTCAGTTAGTGCAGCTTTAACTTTGATCATTTAGGAAGTTTGATTGGATAAAGTAGGTTGTACACAAAAGGTAAATGTTGTCTCTGGTTTTTGTTTAAAGCGTCAATAATTGTGAATACGGAATTTGTGGTTCGCCTCCCTCTGTGGTGTGTTTTGAAGAAGGTGTCATGGCGGAGAAGGTGCTGGTCGTGGGCAGTGGCGGTCGGGAGCACGCTCTGGCCTGGAAGCTGGCTCAGTCTCCACACATACAACAAGTGCTGGTCGCCCCCGGCAACGCAGGCACGGCCAACTGCGGCAAGATCTGCAACTCTGGTAACGTGCATCGTTCCAACTCGGCCCTCGATTCTGATGGTTTTATTGATTGGTTGTATTGGCACTTTTGATTTTCTCTTCAGCTGCCATGAATTTGGTGAAGTGAAAAAATCATTATTATTCAATCTACTTTTTTAGTTGACGAAACAAGACACATGTATTTTTTGCCAAGTAATAGAATACATCTTGGCAATATCTAGCGGTTACTCGAACATGTCACTACATAGTTAATATATATATTTGTATTTGCCATATTGTGCTTCGTCAGTCTTCCAGAAAAATACAATGTGTCTTTTATGAACTGTTCTTCCATTTGAAAAGACCAAAAACACAATTCTTTTGAAAATCTTTCAGAGAGAATATGTTTTCCTCTAGTTACAATTGAAAGGATTTGTGCAACTTTACTGGGCACTAAAATAGATCTGGCTTTTCAAAAAACAATTTGGTAAAAGTACAACGTGTACGCCTTTCAAATGTCTCTTAATGTGACTTATTAACACTTTGCTCTGGATGAACCTGTGCCTGTTGTGTGCAGAGGTGTCTGTGAGTAACCACAGCATCCTGGCCCAGTTCTGTAAAGACCACCACGTGGGTCTGGTGGTGGTGGGCCCTGAGGTGCCCCTAGCAGCAGGTGAGAGACTGTGTGACCTCAATACGTCTGCGCTGTAGATGAACGAGCGCTCACCCTGGCTCTGTCCCCGCCTCCTGCAGGGATGGTGGACGACCTGACCGCTGCCGGAGTGTCCTGCTTCGGCCCCTCTGCTAAAGCCGCGCAGCTCGAGGCCAGTAAGAGCTACTCCAAAGCCTTCATGGAGCGCCACGCCATCCCCACGGCTCGCTACGGATCCTTCACCGACCCAGAGGAGGCCTGCAAATACATCCGAACGTGAGACGACCAATCTACACATCTTTAATGAACAGAAACAGAACAGGAGAAAACATGGAACATAGAATCTGTTTTTTATGCGTTCACATTTATACTTATTTCAAAAGTATTTATTGAAATAGTTTGTTTTTGTTTTTCTGTAAAATTAAAAGGCCTTCACTGTGTTTCTTGTGGATACTGAAGCACTTATATTATTAATCAAAGGTGACTTTCAGATTCAGTTTTTTCTGTTTGCAGTAAAACCACATTGGAATACTTATGCAAGAGTTACCCCAGTGTGCACTACTACATTCAAAATGCAGCAGCTCGAGTCCTGACAAGAACCAGGAAGTACGACCATATTAGTCCAGTCCTCAGGTCTCTGCACTGGCTTCCTGTGGCTCAGAGAATAGACTTTAAAACAGCTCTGCTTGTGTACAAGTCTCTCCATGGCCTCGCACCAAAATATATTAGTGACATGTTAGTACCATATGAACCAGCCCGGACTCTGAGGAGCACAGGGACTGGACTCCTGTTAGTGCCCAGAGTCAGAACTAAACATGGGGAGGCTGCTTTTCAGAGTCATGCTGCTAAAATCTGGAACAGTCTTCCTGAAGATGTGAAACAGGCCTCCTCTCTGACAATGTTTAAAACCAGGTTAAAGACAGTTCTGTTTAGCTGTGCATACAACTGAGGGATTTTATATTTGTATCTTTCTTTTTAATGTTCTGTGATTATTTATGATTTTAATGCTTGCTTGTTTTGTTCAGCACTTTGAATTGCCTTGTGTATGAATTGTGCTATATAAATAAACTTGCCTTGCCACTAGACGGCAGAGCTCTTGCCATATAACAGCTCTAATGTGAAGTGTGACAGAATTGTCTTAAAGCCTGCTATATACAGAATATACAAACTATAATGGGACAAAATGAGCCCAAATGCGTTTCACAATCATAGCTAAAGCATAGTGGATGAATGTCACCTCTATGAAGCCTCTTCAGAAGAATATATTCTAAACTCCCCATGAGCGTACTGCGTTCTGTGGTCGTTAGAACATTGCGGGCGAAGTCACAGCTGTGCTTCCCGACAGATTCATCTATTCACATCCCAAAGTCATTTTATGAAATCTGCGCTTGCTAATGGCTCTCAAAGATACATCTGTACTGTTGATCCTCACAGTGTTGTCCCAGATGTGGCTGTTTGGCTCATGCTGCGTTTCCTCTGTGTGTGTGTGTGCATGTGTTTGTAGAGCGTCTTTCCCAGCTCTGGTGGTGAAGGCGAGTGGGCTGGCAGCGGGGAAGGGGGTGATCGTGGCCAAAGACCAGGACGAGGCCTGTCAGGCAGTGATGGACATCATGAAGGTGCGCCACATGCTCCAGTTTCATGTCATTACTGATTTATCATCTCCAAATATGTTGGCCACTTCTTAAAAATCCATTTGTTTATCCCAAGTTTGAATTGCCAATAATTGTTGTAGCATTGGTTTCAATTTTAACGAATGTTCTTCTCACAATGTCCTTTTATTTCATAATAGTTCCATAGCTCCTGTCTCAGAATATTTCACAGAATTGTTTTTCTACCGTATGTTTCCAGGACGGAGAGTTTGGCTCTGCGGGGGAGACTGTGGTGGTGGAGGAGCTTCTGGAAGGAGAAGAAGTGTCTGTGAGTTTGATTGAAAGTCTCTAAACTCTTGTTAAACTAAACTCTCAGGTTTATGTGAAGTGAACGTGTTTCTCCTTCAGTGCCTTTGCTTCAGTGACGGCGTCTCTGTGTCCCCCATGCCCCCGGCACAAGACCACAAGAGACTGCAGGAAGGAGACTTGGGGCCCAACACGGGCGGGATGGGGGCCTACTGCCCCACGCCTCAGGTAGCTGCTCATCCCCTGCCTTCAGATGTTTGCAGTATTATTATTAGAATGCTCTAACTCTGACTCCTGGTGCAGGTGAGCGCCGAGCTGCTGCAGGAGGTCAGGGCCCTGGTCCTGCAGAAGACGGTGGACGGGATGAGGGAGGAGGGGGTGCCCTACGTGGGTGAGTGCAGGATACATGCACTTATCAATGTCACTTTGATTAGAAACGTGCGATTCGTCTGCTTTTGATCATAGTTAGGATGCTGAGATGAAAGAACCACCAACAATATTACAATAAAGATAAAAGTAAAACATTTTTGAATATAAACAGACGTATAATAATGTTATTTGATGGCGAGGCATAATCTTGGCAGCCTTTTATAAAAACACTACATTTCCTGTGTTTTCTCCAGAACATATGGAGTTGGTTTCGATGGTGGAGGACAAAAGTTTCCAACATACATTTTCTTTTTGATTTTAGTTTTTCCCTTTTTAACAAAACGGTTTGACATTTAAGAGTTTATAGAAGAAGGAAATGAACTTTAAACATGTTTGTAGTACTCTTTATAACCTTTGCCTTATTTTCTTTCCTTGCCAGGGGTTCTGTACGCAGGACTGATGTTGACTAAAGACGGACCCAAAGTTTTGGAATTCAACTGTCGGTTCGGTGATCCAGAGTGCCAGGTTTGCTGCTGAATTGAGCTTTTGATTCATCACTTTCATTGACAATCTCTTCTTTTTCATCCAGGTGCTGATGCCTCTGCTCAAATCTGACCTGTATGAAGTCATTCTGAACACCATCAATGCTAAACTGGCCTCTAACGCCCCCGTGTGGCACCAGGAGAGCTCTGCAGTCACTGTGGTCATGGCCAGTGGTGGATACCCAGGCTCCTACAAGAAGGGAGTCCAAATCACAGGTAATGTTTGAGATATTTAAAGAATTGCATGTTATTCAAATAGTATTTATAAATCTTTTTGAGGGGAGGTGTATGATCTTCTTTTGTATGATATTCAAAGAAACCTGGAGGTGTTTTTTACCTCACTCCATGTTCATATGAGGAACTTTAGGGACAAACTAGCTTGTATTTCATTTGCTAGTCTGATTTCTTAGTCTTAAAACATACAGAAAAGTTTTGTTTCTTTTTTATAATTTTTTTTAGGTTTGTCCCAAGTTCAAGACATGGGAGTGCAGGTTTTCCACGCCGGCACCGCTCTCAAAGACGACGGCATTGTCTCGAGCGGTGGGCGGGTCCTTACGGTCACCGCTGTCCAGTCGTCGCTCGAGGCGGCTTTGGAAGCGGCCAATAAGGGAGTGATGGCGATCGGCTTTCCCGGCGCCGTGTTCAGACGAGACATCGGACACAGAGCCATCGCCTACCTGAACCAGCACAGGTCAAAACCACCAAACGACTGCATTAACTGAATGGATTTGTGTTGATTTGCCTGTTATTTTCTAACAAAACAAATAAAATCAATCAATCAACCTATTATTAGTAGAACGCTTTTATAATACAAGACTACACAAAGTCACAGTCCATGTCACTTAACCCATTGAGGCCGTTGCGCACTTCTACCTTTTAAGGCCGGGAAAGCGGACACGTCTTTTTTTGACCTATTCTCTTCATTGATCAATTCTCTGAACCAATTAAATGTATCGAGATATATCTGTGATGAGATATATCTGTGATGAGAATTATCTGCGGATCCGCTGAAAATTTCATTCCAGTGAAATGCGTGACCGCGCGCAGTTGTTTGCGTTACGTACTCAAACGGGATTAACATCCTCCGCTCTGACCCTGGGAGCAACAGTTGGCTGCTTTGACAGCTCAGCGAACGCGCAGCCACAGGGGTCATGTACCGAGCGCGGACCATAGACGCGCGATCAGGACCGAGGGAGAGACGGGCAAGACCCGCACGTGCAACACGCTCCCTCCCTCGTCTGTCCCCTGTCTCTCCCCCATGTCTCACCCCCATGTCTCTCCCTCGTCTCCCCGAAGCCTCCTGACGAAGCGCAGACTCACTGAAAAATAAAGCTCAGCTACCAAAATTTCTGCTTGCATTGACAATGCATGTTTTTTGGGCAAAAAATAAAATGTTGTGACCATCAATTCAAACAGAACAAACCAAAATAGTCATGTTTTGTTTATTTTTCTTACTTTAGAAAGAGCCTTGAGTCATTATTTGACTGTTTGGGCTGAGAGTGGATTTAAAAAAAAAAAAAGTCCACATAGTTTGTGCCACTTAATTGCCAAACTCTTTTTGACTTATTGCATTGATAAACATGTGTTAGTCCCACATTGTTTTTGGTTGTTTTATTACCTTTCCTGCGTGAAAGTTGTATATTCTTCTACTGAAGTTTTATAATAATACACTGTATTCTTATTGAAAGCCACAAGTGTCCGCTCTCAAATTCTTTTGAAATTATGTTTCGATCTGCTACAGAGGCCGAGATACCAATCATTTAGTAGACGTTGAATTTCAGGAAAACTTCAGGTTTTGCAGGGTGGTTCTGAAGTCGGCCTTTTTGCAAGTCTGTTTTACCAGGCAATGCAGGCCTTAATGGGTTAAGGCATAAATCATCACTTCAATCAAAAACATTAAAGGTAGTTAGATTTTCCCACATTTTAGGAAAGGATTGCCCGCTCCACTTTTAGAAAGAACTCTGGTCTTGTTTTGACGCACATGTGACACCAGAATGATTGACACTTGGGTGGACCGATAGTCTACACGATCCACCCAGAAGTAGAAAATCCTTCTAATATACCTTTTTGTAAATCACACAGGGCATTAAAAACAAACATGAAGACCGCACAGAATATCCAAAAACGTAGAGATTGCAATCATTAGATCATATTAATTCATTATTGATCGTACAATTTTTATTATTTTAAAAAATTTTTTACCAGAAGTTAGAAAAGCATTTAGTTGGAAAACCGGTGTTGCAGTAAGTATAAAGTAAACCTAGTGAATGAATCGTGAATGTTGTGTCCTCCAGAGGGCTCACCTACAAGGACAGTGGCGTGGACATAGCGGCCGGTAACAAGCTGGTGGATCTGATCAAGCCCATGGCGAAGGCGACCGCCCGCTCCGGTACTGAACCTTCAGACTTCTCTATTGTTGATATACGACTTTTCATCCGAGCCGTGAGTTGTCATTTGTCAAATGGGAGAGAATCACTGGAGTGTTTTGGTATCGGACAGGCTGCAACGCGGAGCTGGGTGGTTTCGCCGGGCTGTTTGACTTGAAGGCGGCGGGCTTTGTTGATCCCATCCTGGTCTCTGGCACTGATGGAGTGGGCACTAAACTCAAGGTATGAGTCTCATTCTGGGTGTTAGCTTTGATCTGATGCCGCCTTTTTCATGTCTGCAGTTTCTGTGCAGCGCTAACTCCAAATACAAATACACGTCTGCACTATATTCTCGCACTGTTGGCGTTCTAAATCTCAAAGGGTTACGCTACACATTCGCAACAACAAGTAAACAAATGTGAAAACTGCAAGATTGAATCACATATGAATACCACTTTTTTCTGTAGTTTTACATTGTTTTTTTTATTTATTGGAGCAAAATGGGGGCCAGCACTTAAAGAAATTTAGATATCCTTTATTTGTCCCACAGCGGGGAAATTTCAGTGTTGCATCACAAGTTACAGAACAGTAGGAATGAGGAGCACACAGCACAAGATACATGAACAATAGCTATACTAATTCAAATAAAACAAATCTCTAACTCTAGCATTAGAACAAGTATAAAATCTCTATTTTGAACTTAAATAATCAATATAATCATTATATATAGGGCTGGTGCCAAGTGAATTGGGTGCAGCTCTGACTGCCACCCCCCCGACCCAGAAATGGATTAAGGGGAAGAAGATGGATGGATGGATGGATAATCATTATAGATTTGTTAGTGACTCCTCCAGGCCAAGTTGCAGGTCAAATCTGAATTATGTCAAGGTTATTGCATAAATAAGTTGAATGGCATTCTGTGAATCATCTCAGTGATAAAGAATACAGGACAGTAGTGTGTGTATGTAAGTAGCTAAATGTTTCAGCTGAATACACTCATTAACACGCTCCTACTGTGGCGTTCCCATCTCCTCCAGATCGCTCAGGCCTGTCAGCAGCACGCAGGCCTCGGTCAGGACCTGGTGGCCATGTGTGTGAATGACGTGTTGGCTCAGGGTGCCGAGCCGCTCTTCTTCCTGGATTACTTCTCGTGCGGCAGCCTGGACGTGGACGTAGCCGCTAAAGTGGTGGGAGGCATCGCCAAGGCCTGCGAGATGGCCGGCTGTGCTCTACTGGGTAAGAAGTCGGTACACGGGATTTGTAATGTGATTTTACACTTGAAAGAGTTGTAAAACCAAAAGCCTTCTTGTGTAATTGTCTAATGGATGTTATAGTTGAAATGGGAGTATATGGAGATGGTTATACGGATTTGGGTACGCCGGCTCCATGGAGACTCAATTGTCTGTATAGCCCTAAATTTGATCACAACAGTAGTTATCTATAAAGACTTTACAAAGCTGTCAAATTCACACACAGATCGGAGAATTCATAAAGGGCGGGTGACCAATGTCCATAAATGTTGATAAAGTCCGTAAATGTCGGTGAAACATTGCTTCTCCTAGATTAATAGTTTAAACAGGCCAGTTCTCGTTGCATTATGTTTGCATAAAGCTAATGCATGTTTTGATGTTTTAATGTGGCGTTTGTCTGTCATTTCTGTTCTCATTGATCCATAGCCTTCACTCTATTGGCGTTTCATGTTTTCATAATTGCTCATTCCCAGAATTCAAAAAGCAGCGTATAATTGAAAAGGGGGCAGCAGGTGTGGCCGTTTGCAGTGTTTGATCCAGTGCGTCTTTGTGGAGGTGGGGAAACGGCGGAGATGCCCGGCGTGTACCCTGTGGGGGAGTACGACCTGGCCGGGTTCTGTGTGGGCGCGGTGGAGAGGGCGGCGCTGTTGCCCAGACTGGGGGACATCGCAGACGGAGACCTGCTCATCGGCATCGCCTCGTCCGGGGTCCACAGCAACGGCTTCAGCCTGGTGCGCAAGGTCCTGGAGCGCACACACCTCACCTACAGCTCCCCTGCGCCCTTCGGCTCGTCAGGACAGACTCTGGGTATGTGACATCACTGAGGTCTGACTCTGGGTATGTGACATCACTGAGGTCTGACTCTGGGTATGTGACATCACTGAGGTCTGACTCTGGGTATGTGACATCACTGAGGTCTGACTCTGGGTATGTGACATCACTGTGGTCCGACTCTGTGTATGTGACGTCACTGTGGTCTGACTGATGTGCCTATCTAAATACATCTTGTCAGCTTTGCAATTACACATATTTAAGAATGCCTTAAGTTATGGCTTTTCAGAATTTGCGTACCAGTAGATGAATGATATCATTAATTTGAGACACTAATAATGTATCAATAAGTACACATTTGAGGATGGGGTTAACGATTTCAACAGTACTTGCCCAAAACGTTCTTGTTAAATGAATCAAATTTGGTCTTTATCTTTGTCCTTCAATGAGTTATCCTGTTACGATTATTTGCTGATGGTAAAAATACATTTTACCATCCTAGCTCAAGTCACCAAAGGTGTCAAACTGGTTCTGACAAATGTTTTATCTGCAGGTGAGGTTCTTCTGACTCCTACAAAGATTTACAGTCGCCTGCTTCTGCCCATATTGAAAAGTGGAGTGGTGAAAGCCTACGCCCACATCACAGGGGGAGGACTCTTGGAGAATATCCCTCGTGTGCTGCCCCCTGGGCTGGCTGTAGAGCTTGGTGAGCACAAATCAAACCCTTACTAGTATTAGAGCAGTACTGAACCACTAACATACTGTAACCTGTGCTCTAGATGCGTCCCATTGGAGAATCCCGCCTGTGTTTTCGTGGCTGCACAAAGAAGGGGGTCTGAGTGAGGAGGAAATGTCCCGCACCTTTAACTGTGGACTGGGGGCGGTGCTGGTGGTCGCCCCGCTGGACGCCCAGAGGGTCCTGCGTCAGCTGCAGGCCTATGAAGAGGCCTGGGTGGTTGGATCTTTGGCCAAAAAACAGCTGGGTGGGTTGAGACCTTTTTTTAATATAGATTTTTGATTAGCTTATGGCTGGGGTACTGAACTTTAAATCAAAATAAGAAACTTGTAGTTTTTCAAAACCAACAAATACTGTTAAGGAATCAGGCCACATGTGTCTTGTATGAGAAGACTCCAAAGTGACTCAAGTTGAGTCTATAAAAGCTCATCGAAAGATTTGATGGAACTAAACTTGATGAAATGTATGAATTTAATCTTTGGTTATTCTGTGACTGAAGTAACCATTATTTCCTCTATCCGTTGTATCTTTCTAAATATTCTGCTTGATTGAGAAGTTGGTTCTTTGTTGTTCTAGGTGCTGAGAATGTGGTTGTTCGTCATCTGAAACGAAGCCTGTTGAACTCCGCGGGAGACAGTAGCAGTAACGTGAAGCTGGACAAAAACGGCCACAGTGACAGCAGCGCCCCACGTATCAAGAGGAGGGTGGGGGTCCTCATCTCAGGCACAGGTTTGACTCTGAACACCTGTCAAAGTCCATGTGCGGTGACTGAGCTTTGCCTTTGTTTTACGCAGGCACAAACTTGCAGGCGCTGATAGAGCAGGCCAGACGTGCCTCCAGCTCTGCAGAGATCGTGGTGGTGATTTCAAACAGACCTGGAGTTCAAGGACTCAAGAGGGCAGCACTGGCCGGTATCCAGACACGGGTAAGCAGTTTTAAATACATGATTCATGACAGGCCTGTGAGCTGTGGCCAATATCATTACAATATTGCCTGTGGGACATTTTCCATAGAGCACTGTTTTGGGGATAAGCAAAAGGTTCTTCAAGTCCGGAGTGCTGTCGAGTTGTGCGGCTTCAGCTGTTAATGATGAAATGCAAACCTGCGCTGCGTGTCTCACGGCAGCCGAAGCAAACAAAGATAGTGGAGTCCGTGAATTGCTTTAAAGACGAACGAATTAAGACACAAATGTCACTTAATGCAATTTGAGGCGAGATGTTGATCATACTGCTATCATGACAGTAGCAGTGTAGTTTCACAGGAGCAGTGGACTGCTTAAAAACAAACTTTACACACAGCTTTTACTCTTAAAACACACATATCACAACACAGATCCATCAACATCTAGCCTCGAATTGCATTAGAAGTGACATTTGTGTCTTAATTCATTCGTATTTTAACTTTTAAAGAAATTCACGGACTTCATGTCTGCCATCTTGGTTTGCTTTGGCTGCAGTGAGAAGCGCATGCGCAGGTTTGCATTACATCATTAACAGCTGAGGCGGCACAATTTGACAGAAAAAATATATAAATATCCCTTGTGCTATCCTTAGGTCAGAATGTTCCACTACAGTGACTTAAAGATAGAATAAAAAATATCCTAAATTAGGGTCTAAATGACTGATGAAAATCAGAGTCATGACTCAGTTAAAGGCACACCGCGGACTTTGTGACCTAAAGAGTTGACACATATGAGTTATTTTATATGAATACTTGGGCCAATATACAGCGCTTGACACTTGCAATGCTCCGAGCGGGGCTGCCCTCTTGAAATACCGCCCATGTAACTTTCGAGCAGACGGACCGTCTGCCACCAGGTCACGTGACTTGGAAGAAACACTTGCTTTACGGCTACTCATTTTTCACCTGCTCGACTCCTGGTCATGGCTGAGGCAAGGAAAAATTTTAAACCTTCGGAGGAGGCTAAAAAGAGGAAACGCGAAAGGGATCGTGCTGTAAGCTGCATGTCTGTATGAGCGCTGCTCTTCACCTGGTTCCTGGATGTCATCGACTGCAAAGATGTCATTCCACGCAGCACAAGCTAGACGCAGAACTCCCTCATCCAGGATATAGAAGTCCATGTGTGGTAGATTACTAATGCAGCGGTCTGGAGGCTGACCACAGCAGAGTCTCTCAATATCTGTAGGCATGTCTCTACAGTTTGAACACACACACCAGTGCATGCTGTCTGAATACACACTCAAAAGACACCGGCTGACTGTTTGTTGACTTTTGCGACAGTGCTGAGTTGCTTGTGGCCACTAGGGGCGCTAAACTTGAAAGTTGCAGGTCTAGCTCCCCTAGTGGCCAAGAGTTACACGGTGTGCCTTTAAGTGAAAATCATCAAAATTCAGCTTGAAAAAATATTCTTTAGGGATCATTCTCCAAGTGATTATTTGGTGAGAACTCCTCTACAATTAATTTTTGATCTTCATAACATTGTCTGTCCATCAACAGGTGGTGGACCATAAGTTGTATGGAAGCAGAGCAGAGTTTGATGGGACTATTGACCGAGTGTTGGAGGAGTTTGGGGTGGAGCTGGTGTGTCTCGCTGGCTTCATGAGGATTCTCACCGGGAACTTTGTCAAGAAATGGAATGGTGAGTGAGAACATAAGTGCAGCATCTACAATATACTTACTATTTAATCCAAACAATGTTATTTTACAGGAAAACTGTTAAACATCCACCCGTCATTACTGCCTTCGTTCAAAGGGGTGAATGCCCAGAAGCAGGCCTTGCAGGCTGGGGTGCGGGTCAGTGGCTGCACTGTCCACTTTGTAGCAGTAAGTACAGCCCAGTACTGCATGTTCTTTCTCCTGGGTTCAAGTATCATAACATGGTCGTGTTGTGAAGGAGGAAGTGGACGCAGGAGCCATTATCGTCCAGGAGGCTGTGCCAGTGCTGAGCAGCGACACGGAGGACAGTCTGTGCGACCGCATTCGGGAGGCTGAACACAGAGCCTTTCCTGCTGCGATGGAGCTGGTGGCCAGTGGCTCCGTGAAGCTGCGAGACGACGGACACATCACCTGGAACACATGAGTTTTAAGAATGTAATGCACTGTAGACTTTAACAAATGTATGCACTGGGATTAAATGTTACTCTAAATACATTCCATTTGTCACTCACCGCATGGAAAATATTAAACTTTTAAATCTGTGTCGCTTCCTTTGTATCATGTAAATGTTATGGTCGACGTCCTGATTGGGTAGCATCACAATAGCATGTTTTTACTGCCAAGGCTTTTTTTCATAATGAAATACATTAAATTCTCAAGCTGATGTCATTCTAATGGACATATTACAATGATGCTAAGAGGTTAGATTTCTGTAGCTATTTGGCGAGCCTGCAGATGGAACAGGAGGGAGAAACAGAGCTACTAGCTGATCATTTAAGTTTTCCGACAGGATTTACCTAAATGCCTTATACAAAGGCGTAGTTAGATCAACACATGGCAAGGAGTTGTGGTATACTAAACAAGATGTGTACATTCTCAGGGGACACTCTTAAAAGGAACCCCAATCCAGAAATGTCAACATCCCTGTAACATGTCTCGAAGGGTGGATTTGTAATAAGTGCATTCTAGGCTTACAAATGGTGTAATTGTTTTGTACTCCACTAGAGGGTGCAAGAACTCACCAGAGAGCCAGTGTTCTTTTGGAATAACATTTTAGATTGTCTTTCCTTGAGCAGAAGGAAATGGAGGTCTGAGAGAATGCATCATCACCTGTATCACGCTCCTCTCCATCTGAAGCGCAGCACTGACAGCCTCTCGTTCCCGGCCCTCGTGCTTAAACACACCTCTCCACTCAGTCCAGACTGCCCCAATATACTGATGATTTCATCTGTCCACAAACAGATGCATCATGACATCAGTCTAAGATTTATTTCTAATATTTCAACCCCACACCAGTCATAAACTGTGAGAAAAGATAATGTGCACAACATGAATGTGTTACTCCCAAAACATTCACATCACTGTGTTTACAAAAGTGATGTCATTACCTGGGTTGTTCTCAATGATGGTAATGAGGTAACATTGCCCGTTTTTGGACAAAAGTTTTGAAACCATTGGCAGGAATCTGTCCAGGACCTCTCTCCCTCGTTCCCCTCCAGCCCAAGCAGCTTCTATTCCTGAACTTCCCACCTGTGCAGAAATAAAAGCTCATTATATTGTCTGATAGAAAAGTCATACCAACAATAATCCTCATTATGTTACATAAGCCTTTTCCACACTGACCATAAACCCTGCGTCGCTCATTCCCTTCACACGACTCGCTGGTGTGTCACTTTGATCAAATCTTTTTTAGCACAACTATCTAAACAATATGGGCGTCAACTGCTTCATACCTGCCTTAGGACAGCTATGCTGGACTTTAGCTATGGAGATAATTCCAGCATATTTATGTTGATGCTGTTTTCCAACACACTGATTAAAATGTACTGTCCTAAATTCAAATGAATAAATACTTTGTCATGGGATCTGTGCTGTACAAGGAGCAGAGAGAAGTCATAGGAACTAGATTAAAGCCAACAATAATAAAAACAAAACACAGGATTTTTTTGTGCAAAGAAATGCATTGGTGATGGTAGAATTGTATTAAAATAAAGGTAGCCTACAGAATTGTACAACAATATAATAGCCTGGTTTTTAAATGGCTACAGGGAGTAGAACCAACCAACGGCCCCAACATGGTGAGCTAGGCACCAGCGTATTGTTCCATTGACAGTGTCAAGGACGTGCACGAGGACTCGGAGCTCCCATGAGCTTTAAGTTTACTCTTGGTATTACACCAAGAATTATAAGCACTGATTATAAGCACTAGTTTGCGGGTCTGCAGTGTGAAAAGGGCTTGACTGTGTCTTTAATCTACACTGCGGCGATCGTCTCCAACACGTACCTCCTCTGAAGGCGTGACCACATAGGGAGGGTTAAACAGCAGCACGTCCACTTTCCCATTCATCCGAGGCATAAGACAATCTGCCTGAAAGAGAACTCGTAAGAAGCTGATTTTTATACCCAAGAATGTATACATTATTTTATGTTCTTACCAAATCAGTAATGACAGGCTGTAAGGAAACATTATTACAGGAGGCTGTTTTGGCCGTGCACGACGCAGCCGCTGGATTCACATCTGTGCAGCTGCAAACACAAAGAACCATGAGAGTCCAGAATAATCTGCTTCAGGTTTGGTAACGTGACATTTAAGATGTTTTGAGTCTAGCCTTTAAAGTCCTTTTGTGGTCTAAAAATAATACCAAAAGTAAGTATTTTTACTTGAGTACTGTCCTTTCTACTCCTTACTGAAGAGTTACTTTGCAGAACAGAACATTAAAAAGAAGTCTGGACCTTCTAATACAATGGGCCTCATGTATGAAACTTGCGTACGGCTAAATCAGGGTGTAAATGATGCGTACGCAAAATATTTACACTTTTCCGCATTTATCAATCTGGACGTGAGCGTACAATACGCAAAAAATATACGCCAGGTCTGGAGGTGGTGTAAATGTGTACGCTCATTTCAACCTTCATTACAACACGCCAAAACACGCATGAAATGCAAGATTTGGACAAAAATAAACATATTCCCTCTGACAAGATTATAGGCACACCTCTCACATTACAAATATGCAATTTTATGATGTTATGTTAGGGCTAGCTTGTGTTATTAAATAACGTGCAAGATGTCAAACTTAGTCTCCCACAAATGTGTGGATTGTTATATGCACCTACAATCAGTGCGTAATGGCTTTGGTTCATGCGGGTCCAAGCAAAGACGTGCGCCACCGTGGAGCGCTGCGCGGGTCTGATCAGGCTCTGGGACATGTAGGGGGTACGCTCTGGTACCTCCCGGTACAAGTGTGCCACATGTCCTGGCTCGGTTCTCCACAACAGGCACAGGACCACAGTGTGCCACTGGTGGAGCAGCCCTGGATGAGAGACCATGGCCAGCAGCGCCTTCGGCCTGTACAGCTCAGACAGGCTCTCATTCAACCATTTTAAAATGATAATCACATACATAATTTGAAGATAATTTTATTTCTTTATATTTTCTTTTGGATGCTTTGATCTGGCGGTCCTCCCCCTGGGCTGCTGAGCACTTCTTCTATGGGCTGCGCTAAACGCCTTTTTGTTACCATTTTAAGGTTGCTCCCTTTTTTTTCACTTGTAGCATAAATTAATAAATTCTAACTATTGGCCCAATATATCAACTGTTTGATATAATATAGCGTATTTTTCTTTGAACATGAATAAACTCACCTCTTCAGGAGTGCGTGTTGAAGGCCCCACGCTGTTTACAGATGCTGTCATTTCTTTCCATATATTGTTTTTTGAGCCCCTTGATGCCACTCTTGAGAATTCCAAATAGTAAGACTTTATTCTTTTTCCCCACTTCGTTCATAATGGTCTCAATCTCCTGCTTCGTGAAGTTATTTTTCCTTAGCCGTTTACTCACTAACCAGACCCTGCACCGTATACGTAATCACGCAGATGTTTTGCCTCATTCACCTCTGGCAAAGCAATGTGGGGTTTCCTTAGTTTTGTGCATAAAGCGCCATAAACGCAATTGATCTTGCTCAAAACTGCTCATCCACTGCCCTGTTCTCCGCAGCAGAGATAGGATGCAACGCGCATGTGGGAACTGGTTCATTCATTCATTATTTATTTACTTCTAAATTTCAGGAGAGATGAGTGCTGCAGTGGGTGTAGACACTAGGGAAACACGCGTATAATAGAGCGTATATTTATATATTTTTAAACGTGAATAATCTCAGAAGTGTGTGTTTTTTGAGGCTTCCAAACAGTCTTCTGAGCCGACTTCCTGCTGACCTGTCGCAAAAACAGGGCGTGGAACAGGCAGTTTCTGAATATTTCTAGGCGTGACTTTCATAAATACGCTGGTTTTGAGCGCTGCATTTATCAACAGCCGCAGGTGCGTACGCTCAGATCTGTGCGGATCTCACACGTTCATAAATGCCACGTCGGATCTTGCGCAAATGGAATATACGCCCTTTTCTACGCAACTTTCATACATGAGGCCCATTGTATCTGGATAACCAAACACAATCATTATGTTTGTAACAATATAAAAATAACATTTTATGCAAAAACATCCTGTTTTTCCCTTATCAAAAGATAAATTAAGATAAATCTTTTACAGAGATCTGACTTTTTTGAAAAAATCTGATCTAAAAATGTGACACAGGTCAAACATAAAAACTAGTTAGAACCAAAGTGAGTGAAGAACTAGTGAGATGGATTTTATTTCAGAGTTAGATGGTTGTGGTTTCAAAGTTAGGTACTGGATTTGTTGTGGTTAGCAATGCTTCTAAATTCAGTAGGGTATACAAAAGTCTTCTTCAAGGGGAAAATTGATTGTATTTGTATTTCACTCGTTAAAAGTCTAAAATGAATGTAGTCTCATAAATTAATCTAATATTGAGCAAAATGCATGTTACGTACTTTTTTACATTCAGGAGACTTTGTTAGACTAATAATTTTCATGAAAGTATATACAAATCTAAATTACAACTTAACCTTTGTAAATATGGTTAGAAATCAAACTTGAGCCTTTTAAGTCTTTCTGTTCAAAAATATGTTTTAAGTAATGACTGTGAAATAGTTTCTCTATTGTTGTTGCCGTTGACAAAGTTTATATCACTTTTGTGCAGATTTTTGATACAGGACAAGAGAAAAAAAGGGAGTCAAATAAAGACCCTCTACCCAAGTACTTTTCATCTGAGCAAATTGTCTAAATGCTCACAAGAAAGCTCATGTTGGTTCTTTTGTGCGATCGTGTAATTCACCTCAGTGGGACATCTGACAAATACATAAACCTGATTGACAACTTGTTGGTGGAATGGGTCATGAAACTTTTCTGACGTCACTTACATGAACTGAGCCGAGGGTCCGAGCACAGAAGCCAGAAACGCAGAGACCACTCCAGAGCCGCTGCCCACCTCCACACACAACCTGGGACTACAACACACACACAGAGAGACACACATGTAGAGAGACAGAGAGACACACATACAAAGACACAGAGAGACACACGCACAGAGAGACAGAGAGACACACATACAGAGAGACAGAGAGACACACATACAGAGAGACAGAGAGACACACATACAGAGAGACAGAGAGACACACATACAGAGACAGAGAGACACACACGCAGAGACACAGAGACACACATACAGAGAGACACACACGCAGAGACACAGAGAGACACACATGCAGAGAGACAGACACACACATGTAGAGACACACATGCAGAGAGACACACATGTAGAGACACAGAGAGACACACATGTAGAGAGACACACATGCAGAGAGACAGACACACACATGCAGAGACACAGAGACACACATACAGAGAGACACACACGCAAAGACACAGAGAGACACACATGCAGAGAGACAGACACACACATGCAGAGACACAGACAGACACACATACAGAGAGACAGAGTGACACACATACAGAGACACACACACAGAGAGACAGAGACAGACACACACGCAAAGACAGACAGACACACACGCAGAGGCACAGAGACACACACATGCAGAGACAGAGAGACACACAGAGAAACAGAGAGACACACGCAGAGACACAGAGAGACACACACGCAGAGAGACAGAGAGGGTCACAAACACAGACAGACAAACAGACACACGCACACACATTTATGTATGATCACACAGTTGTAGCATGTACACACAGTTGTTGCATGTACACACAGTTGTTGCATGTACACACAGTTGTTGCATGTACACACAGTTGTAGCATGTACACACAGTTGTAGCATGTACACTAGGGCTGAAACAACTAATCGATTAATCAACGACTAATCGATTATTGAAATAGTCGACAACTATTTTAGTAATCGATTAATCGTTTTCTGGTTCACACGGACTCAAACAGAGAAAAAATGACATGAAAATGTAGTATTTTTGATTAAAACCGACTTTGTTTTTATAATGTCATGAATATCGGTCTGTCTCATCCAATCAGAGCAGAATTAGCACAAAGAGCCTGTTACAAACATTTACTTTAAGTTTACGCCATCAATACGTCCTCGAGTGTTGCCACTTTAGCTTTTTGTGATGAAAAAATATTTTTTTTCTACACAATTCACAGCCAAGCGATTACTCGATTAATCGTAAAACTAATCGATAGATTAATCGATTACAAAATAATTGTTAGTTGCAGCTCTAATGTACACACAGTTGTAGCATGTACACACAGTTTGTAGCATGTACACACAGTTTGTAGCATGTACACACAGTTTGTAGCATGTACACACAGTTGTAGCATGTACACACAATTGTAGCATGTACACACAGCCAGTGCATGTACACACAGCCAGTGCATGTACACACGGTCAGTGCATGTACACACGGTCAGTGCATGTACACACAGTCAGTGCATGTACACACGGTCAGTGCATGTACACAGTCAGTGCATGTACACACAGTTGTAGCATGTACACACAGTTGTAGCATGTACACACAGTCAGTGCATGTACACACAGTCAGTGCATGTACACACAGTCAGTGCATGTACACACAGTCAGTGCATGTACACAAGGTCAGTGCATGTACACACAGTCAGTGCATGTACACACGGTCAGTGCATGTACACACGGTCAGTGCATGTACACACAGTCAGTGCATGTACACACGGTCAGTGCATGTACACACAGTCAGTGCATGTACACACAGTTTGTAGCATGTACACACAGTTTGTAGCATGTACACACAGTTGTAGCATGTACACACAGTTTGTAGCATGTACACACAGTTTGTAGCATGTACACACAATTGTAGCATGTACACACAGTTGTAGCATGTACACACAGTCAGTGCATGTACACACAGTCAGTGCATGTACACACGGTCAGTGCATGTACACACAGTCAGTGCATGTACACACAGTCAGTGCATGTACACACAGTCAGTGCATGTACACACAGTTGTAGCATGTACACACAGTCAGTGCATGTGTGGCAGTCTCACCACATCGCCTTCAGCCTCTCCGCATCCTTCTCCAGAGCGTCTATCAACAGGAACGAGTCCTCCGCGGGCTCGTACACGTCACGGAAGTCTCCCCGACCCGCATGAGAGTACAGCGGGGTGGGGTAGCTCACAGACATCAATGGAAAGTTATTTTTTTCTGTTTTCTGGGGAAAAACTACCAAAAAATGTAGCATAATAACCGCATGCGTGAGAAGCACAGACTGTAAACCACATCCATGCTGTAAACACTGACGTGAGGAGCGCGTGTGCGTGGACTTGTTCTGGGCTCTGTGTGAAGCACGGATCTGACGTGAAGTTGCGACACTGCCCCCTGCCGGCAGCTCCCCGCGGTTGCACTTTCGAACTGCAGGCTTGAGTCAAACTTGTATTATGAAGACAAACCATAATACAAGTGACTGGTTGATTGTGGTGAGAAGAGGTGATGGCAAATACTGCTTAGTGTGCCCCAGGGCAGATGTGGGTACAGTAATAGTTTATCGTCCCTGTGTTTATATCATGAAATAACAAGATCCGTATCTTGTACGAACAAGAAATAATCTTGAAATAACATGAAATTATCATGAAATAACATGATACCAGCGAAAAAAACACACACTCACAAGTGAACCTAACAAGCTTCCGTAAATATGTGCATTAAAATATATAATTAGATTTTTGACATATTTTTTCACAAGAAAGTATTAAACTGCCTTTTACATCTACAGATAACAGCAAACACCTGTATGTATGCCCAGGTTTTTTGTTTGTCTTTGTCTTACTATGTATATGTTGAAATTGATTTGTGTTTTTAAAATAACAATGCAATGGTTTTTATTAAAACGTTTTTGGACACTACATCATCTTGTTATTTCATAATAAGTTAGTATGAAACAACATGATAGTTGTATATCATGAAATAACATGATATTTATCTTGTTATTTCATGATAAATTGGTATCATGAAATAACATGACAAAACAGAACAAAAACAAACAACAACAAAAATGATTCTGATTCTGATTCTGATGATAGTTTTATATCATTAAATAACATGATAGTTTTGTATCATGAAATAACATGATCCATATCTTGTACGAACATGAAATCATCTTGAAATAACATGAAATTATCATGAAATAACATGAAATTATCATGAAATAACATGATAGCAGCGGGAAAAAAACACTCACAAGTGAACCTAACAAGCTTCCGTACATATCAATAATAATTGTGCACACTAAAAAGCACCCTTGACACCTGATAAATTACACCAAAATAAAGGAAATGTGTTATTTTTAATGACTTTCCAGGAGGTTATACAAAAGAGAGCTATGTAAAACAAATGCATTATCATTATTATTATTATTATTATTAATCAGGTATTGATCAACGTTCAGTTATACATTAATTCATTCATTCATGCATTATTATATTTTTTCTCAAACATCAATAACATGACCACTAGATGTCGCCATCTACGTAACGATTACAGTAGTTCTATTCACGGATCCAGGACCGCACAATCCGGGAATCTGCGAAGGCTGTGCGCGTCGGTACCGTGGTCTGTATTTATGACGCACCCGCAATGAAACCAAAGGAACCAGGCCACTTACAATGTCGCCTGCAGAGACATATTCCGATTTACCATAGGACACAAGCGGCACCAACGCAGAGGTGGGAGATTCCTTATGAAAAGGTGAGTGGGATTTTCAACATGAAGTCTTTAGTGCGCACATCCCTGTTTTTGTATTTGTTTGTGTTTTTAGGAGATTAAATGTAATTATTTAGATCTATAGGATTCACATGACTGCTGTAATAATAGGAAAGACTTGAACATGATTGTATTATTATTATTTATTTATTTTTATATTATTCTTGCCAGAGGTCACACTTGGATTGCGCTTGTAAACATTTTTTTGATTATCATTTTTAGTAGGGCTGAAACAACTAATCGATTAATCGACGACTAATCGATTATTGAAATAGTCGACAACTATTTTAATGAAATGAAATGAAATGAAATGAAATGATTCACACGGACTCAAACAGAGCAAAAATGACATGAATATGTAGTATTTTTGATTAAAACAGACTTTGTTTTTATAATTTCATGAATATCTGTCTGTCTCATCCAATCAGATAGCAGAATTAGCACAAAGAGCCTGTTACAAACATTTACTTTAAGTTTACGCCATCAATACGTCCTCGAGTGTTACCACTTTAGCTTTTTGTGATGAAAAAATATTTTTTTTCTACACAATTCACAGCCAAGCGATTACTCGATTAATCGTAAAAATAATCGATAGATTAATCGATTACAAAATAATCGTTAGTTGCAGCTCTAATTTATAGCTTTATTAAAGACAACAAAACAGACAGACACATCAACATTCAACAAGAACAACAAACAATAAATATACATATAAATAACAAAATAGTAATCATAATAACAACAGACAAACTATTTAGTCAATTTTATCAAGTTGTAGATTCTTGCTTTTTTTCCTCTCATACTGCGATTAAAACAAATAAATACCTGTCTTATTATATCCGTAAAGATGAAAGGTGCCCCCACACTTTCTGATTTATGCCCTGCTGTGGGTGATAAAAACTTTTGTGGTGAAAATTGCTTTAAGTGATGCCCAACAGGAGCAGAGACCAGATGTTAGGTTGGCACAGTAAAAACATTACAACAGGCTTATAACATTTAGAAGTCTGGAGGTATCGCTTCACTGCTTTGACCACATTTTCACCTTTGCAGTCCAGACTATAGCATCCATAATTGCCTTTAAGTAACACAATACACTAGTATGATAATTTATCACACCTTTCTTATTGTCTGAAAACCACCTTTACCTTTTATCATGGCTTTACCCTCATGACTAACCCTATCTGACATCATGATGCGCCATTATTTGGAGTTTCACCTCACCTCAGTATCTATATTGTGAAACTCTAGGGCTTGGCTTTGTCTAGACATCAAAGTGGCCCTGTTTTGTTGACTCATAATCAAGGGCTTAATAGGACCCTGCTGTGTATGGACCAGAAAATCTCCATTAGGCCCCGTGAGCAGCTGTTGACGCTGCAGGGTTGTTTACCATAGAAACACCATTGTACACACATCTATCCCTGTAATTGTAAGTAGCAACAAGCTAAACTAAAGCCATGTACTGTATTTATTTCTACAGCCAGGAGTGAATGTCTCAATACTATGTGGCTACAACTGCGGTGGCACTAGTCGAATCACTGGAGCAGTAAGTCTATACCACAACTTCTGCTGTTTTTAGACATTGTCCTTGTCTTGTTTTTTGGGATGTTGTGGCTAAGACTGGTTCTTTCTTCTCTGGCAGCTTTTACAGCCTTGAGGAGGACAATGAGTGGCTCAGTCTGGCCTCTGTGTCTGCTGCTGTGTCTGGTTGTTATGGCGGTGTCCTGGACTTTAGGTGAGAATGTGTGATTCTTCTGGTAGAGCCTTGAGAAGTTTACAAAAACAACTGCTACTATAATGGTACTTTTTACAAGGTGACATTTTTCCTATTTCAAACTGAAGTGATATATTTTGTTGGACGTTTTATTCTATCATAATGGTAAAAACATGCAAATATGCACGAGTGGATTCTAATTATTACATATTTATTTCAGATTTTTTTTTTTTTTTTATTGATTAAAAAAAGTGAGCCATTAACAGAAAACCAAAAAAATAATTACAATAATCTTTAGTCTCCTTCTACTGTATATATTTGTGTATATTCACTTGTATAACCTGGTGCAAATATTATTTTATAGATAATAAACTTAACATTGAAATAGACCTTTTGTGTGTATCCTGTTTATTATTAAAACAGGATACAGGATATCTCATGATAAAGGTCCGAATAGGATTTGATTTAGCTTAACTTAAAAAAAAAAAAAAATTGTTTTGGACTGATAAGATGAGAGATCTTTTATTCGTCGCACAGGGAGCACTAAGAATACAATATAAGTAGCTGCTAGGCTTCTTAGCAAATCTATATCTGTATAAATGTAAGTACAGTGCCTTGCGAAAGTATGTTGAACCTTTCAACATTTCGCCACATTTCAGGCTTCAAACATAAAGATATAAAAATTATATTTTTTGTCAAGAATCAACAACAAGTGGGACACAATCGTGAAGTGGAACGAAATTTATTGGATAATTTCAACTTTTTTAACAAATAAAAAACTGAAAAGTGGGGCGTGCAATATTATTCGGCCCCCTTGCGCTAATACTTTGTAGCGCCACCTTTTGCTGCAATTACAGCTGCAAGTCGCTTGGGGTATGTCTCTATCAGTTTTGCACATCGAGAGACTGGAATTCTTGCCCATTCTTCCTTGCAAAATAGCTCTAGCTCAGTGAGGTTGGATGGAGGGCGTTTGTGAACAGCAGTCTTCAGCTCTTTCCACAGATTCTTGATTGGATTCAGGTCTGGACTTTGACTTGGCCATTCTAACACCTGGATACGTCTATTTGTGAACCATTCCATTGTAGATTTGGCTTTATGTTTTGGATCATTGTCCTGTTGGAAGATAAATCTCCGTCCCAGTCTTAGGTCTTTTGCAGACTCCAACAGGTTTTCTTCCAGAATGGTCCTGTATTTGGCTCCATCCATCTTCCCATCAATTTTAGCCATCTTCCCTGTCCCTGCTGAAGAAAAGCAGGGCCAAAGCATGATGCTGCCACCTCCATGTTTGACAGTGGGGATGGTGTGTTCAGGGTGATGAGCTGTGTTGCTTTTACGCCAAACATATCGTTTTACATTGTGGCCAAAAAGTTCGATTTTGGTTTCATCTGACCAGAGCACCTTCTTCCACATGTTTGGTGTGTCTCCCAGGTGGCTTGTGGCAAACTTTAAACAAGACTTTTTATGGATATCTTTGAGAAATGGCTTTCTTCTTGCCACTCTTCCATAAAGGTCAGATTTGTGCAGTGCACGACTGATTGTTGTCCTATGGACAGACTCTCCCACCTCAGCTGTATTTATTTGCAGTTCATCCAGAGTGATCATGGGCCTCTTGTCTGCATCTCTGATCAGTCTTCTCCTTGTTTGAGATGAAAGTTTGGAGGGACGGCCGGGTCTTGGTAGATTTGCAGTGATCTGATGCTCCTTCTATTTCAATATAATTTCTTGCACAGTGCTCCTTGAGATGTTTAAAGCTTGGGAAATCTTTTTGTATCCAAATCCGGCTTTAAACTTCTTCACAACAGTATCTCGGACCTGCCTGGTGTGTTCCTTTGTCTTCATGGTTCTCTCTGCACTTTAAACAGAACCCTGAGACTATCAAAGAGCAGGTGCATTTATACGGAGACTTGATTACACACAGGTGCATTCTATTTATCATCATCAGTCATTTAGGACAACATTGGATCATTCAAAGATCCTCACTGAACTTCTGGACTGAGTTTGCTGCACTGAAAGTAAAGGGGCCGAATAATATTGCACGTCCCACTTTTCAGTTTTTTATTTGTTAAAAAAGTTTAAATTATCCAATAAATTTTGTTCCACTTCACGATTGTGTCCCACTTGTTGTTGATTCATGACAAAAAATATTTTTTTTATTTATGTTTGAAGACTGAAATGTGGCAAAATGTTGAAAGGTTCAAGGGGGCCGAATACTTTCGCAAGGCACTGTATGTGTAAGTTCCTCAGAAAATTTCATGAAACATTATTATTATTATTATTATTATTCCTGTTGCAGGTGCAGTGACCGCTACTCCGGCTCAGTCTGCTGAAGTGGGCCAGTCTCTGAACCTGAGCTGCAGCCTCAGCACCGCGGCCGGAGACACCATCCACCAGGTGCGCTGGCTGAGGGACGGGTCCAGACAGACGCTCCTGGCCTACAGAGCCGTCCCCACAGTCCATCTGAGCCACCAGGAGCCTGCAGTGCTCCTCTGGCCCTCCCCACTCGGCTCCTCTCACATCAGCATTCAGAGCGTGAAGCCGGAGGACGAGGGCTGCTTCCTCTGCATGTTTGATGTGTATCCAAGCGGTCAGCAGGAAGGAAAGACCTGTGTGACGGTCACTGGTGAGGACTAAAGCCAAACAGCCCTTCATAAGACACTTTTACTGGCCCTAGTGGCTACTATAGTTTAGTCTTTGCAGTAAAGTTGAAAATGTTTGTCAATTTCATCCCATCCAGTCCACTTTGTTTATATAAGTTTTCAAAGTAAGGAAGTAAGTAATGTTTATTTATATAGCGCATTTTACAGACCAAGGTCACCCAAAGCGCTTTACAATGTTCAGAGTCAGATATTGTTCCAATCATTCCACACACGGTGATGACAGAAGTGAGTCCAGAACACACTGGACCATCAGCTCCAACACCATCCATTCACTCTCTCATTTACATTCATACCTATTGTACATGTTTTTAGTGGTAGGGGAAACCGGAGCACCCGGAGGAAACCTACACAGACACGGGGAGAACATGCTAATGCTAATGCTAATCTTTCTTCCCTTTAATCAAAACGCCAAAAACTTTTTTGTTCTACTGGCAAATCTTTATTTCAAAACTCTCCCCAGATGTTACTTGTGAAGTCTCAGCTAAAACCAAATTTCAGGAAAAGCCAGAATACTTCGACCCCCTTCGAAATATGTTTTTGTTAAGATTTTCCGTCAAAAGCTGCAGTTTTCTTTCCAACAAAAACATGGAGCAGAAATCCCTCTCTAACAGCTTGCCACGGCTCTTCCTGCTTTTACATTTTTATCGCTCCTGCCGTTTTTTTACAAGCCCAGACAGAATGGGATGCACTGTACTTTGATGAGCAATTTATCGCCCCATAAAACACCCGCCAACGCTGAAACGCTGAAGCCTCGCTCACCAGACGCGCATTCTCTAGTTTTCAGACGCAGAGGATTTCACACCAGAACGTCCTGACGCGAGCCGGAAGTACCGGAAGTAGCCGGCTCTAATGCTAGCGGCTTCTTATGTACAGATCTTCTCCAATATGCAGCTTTGCAGCGTGTCTTTGCTCACAGACTTTCCACGGGCTTTATACAACAGTAATATGTGTTCACGGAGGTGCGCCATACGTTTTTTCATATTATTAAACGTATTTCCGCATCGGCGAACACACTCGAAGCAGTTGCATAAGGTCACGGGAGCATGACAACGCATATTTTCACAAGCACAGAGTCCCCCATTGTCAACCCTGGTTTGAGTTCTGGTGAAGCCTGGTGTGAGTCCTGTTTTGGCTGTTTATGAGTATTTTCAGTCTGCTCGCTCAGTCCGCTAATGTCCCCGTGACCACTTTGCTGCTCTCTGATTGGTTGTCGCACGAACGTCCCAAGGAAAGGATGAGCAGAATCCATCTCATGTGGGCGTTGATTTTTCGCTACTGCTCCTCCCTTTTCACTTTGAACAGTCCGTTCGTGCGAACCGAGAGGTCCTTGCGTTGTGACGGTCAAACGCGCGCCACCATAGACTTTGCATTGAAACCCGACGCAGCATGATCCGGTCTGAAAGCAGCATGAAAGCACCATGTCACTTACTGTAAATGTGCGTTTATTCTGTCTTGCAGGTAAAGTGAACCACAAAAACACCACCACGGCCATCGCTGGAAAACCAACAACTTTCACATGCTCGTACACATTACCTGCCAGAGTGCAACAGGTTCTGTGGAGGAGGACCGGCGGGCAGGGGCAGCGGACCACCCTGGCCTCCTACTCCAAACATGGGCATCAGAGCATAGACGAGGCGTTTGTGAACAGAGTGACTTTGAGTAAAAACTTGGGGGATTCAGCGATGACGATGCAGGAGGTGAAGATGGAGGATGAAGCGTGTTACACCTGCGAGTTCCACACGTATCCGGACGGGACCAAGAGCGCTGCTACCTGCCTCGTCGTCTATGGTACGAATCAAAGCTGGTCAGGTTGTAGAAAACGTGCTTTTATTTGGCTGTTTTGTGGTGGAGTAGAAATGTTTAATTACTATCTGGCTACAGCAAGAAAACTACACATTCACTAATATGGACTTTTCACAAATATCCAATTGATTGTGACTTTCAAAATTTGTATGTCCTGCCCTCCGCTGTTTAACCAATCAGAAGGTCCGTAATCCGGGTTGCCAGAACTCACCGCGTTGAGCTATTCTCACTGGTAAAGAAACATGTCAAGCCTCAGTACTAAATAAGGTCTCGTTATGACTTTCAAATCATTATTGACAAAATTAGTGTTGGTTATAGATTAGTTGGTCACTTGTCTAATCAGCAACTATGATCTCAGCTGAATTTGTCTGCATATCTGGCAACCTGAGTTAGAGAGAGTGCAGAACCACTTTTGGCCGGATTTTTCTTAATACTGCTACTTTTTAAAAACTAGGGGTTAAAAAGAAACATACATAAAACAAATTTGTGCTCCTACATCTGCAGCTGACATTGCGTTTTTCACGGAATGGGTTAAAGAACACATTGTCTGCAATAATAATGTGTTCCATTGTTAAATTGTTTTCTCATCAAAAGAATTGGTTGTTTTTATCTCCATCCGACTATCACTGAGACTTCTGAGCTGTTTTCTGGCTACAAAATAGCTTTAAAAGACAGAAGTTAGGGGGAATTTCTGGCAATTCCTTCCACTAGAGGTGTTTCACTACTCACGTCGTTCTTTACGCATTTTAAACATAACAATTCAAATGAAATCGAATGCCATATTTGTGCTTTCGTTAAACCTTTCGTCTCTGTCTCTCTTCCCAGTTTTGCCTAAAGCTGAGGTGAGCCACACGACCCAACCGTCCGGTGCCATCGAAGCCAGCTGCAGCGCTCGGGCCAAACCTTCAGTCCAGATGGAGTGGGACTTTGGTGGGGACAACCGGGCACTGGGGACCCCCGTGCTAACCTCTCATAACCAGAGCGATGGGACAATTACAATGACGAGCTCAGTATTATTGAAATCAGGAACACTGGGGGACGTCAGGTGTGTCATCCACCACCCAGGGATGGACGAACCTCTCACAGTTTCTCTGACAAATGGTACGCACTTTCTGTTATGTTGTATTTTCATTTAATATGTCTATTTTGTATGTGTTCTATTTTGTATGTGTTATATCCTTAAGCTGGGGTACCTATATTTTTCCCACAATTTCTTGTCTCCATTTATATTCAGATTTATTTTATTTTCCCTTTAGCAGTGAAAAATGCAATGTGCAAATGTATCCCAAAAGTAAACCAGACAAGTATATATAATAAAACAATCTAAAACCTATAAGAAACAATTTTCTCTGTGAAATCAAACCGTTTTTGTTGATTGACAATATCTTATTTGAAGGAAAGAGCCCTGTGAGTTACTCTTTGACACTTTGACTCAGCCCAAAGTCCCCAAGAGTGTAGGCCGTCCTCTCAAAGATGCCAAAAATAAATGCATGAAGCCAAACTAGTTACATGGAGTTTTATCAATTTTGGTTGTGGCTTGAATCCAAACTTTAAAGTTAGGTTTTCAGCTTTAAATAAATGCAGAAGCAGTTGTGGCTACAGTAGGAGTTCACCACCGTGTTTGGAGTGAATGAATAATGACATGTGAAGTGTCTTTGAGAGTCTATAAAAAGCGCGGTATAAAACCGATACTTCATCATCAAGACTTCTATTTTTGGTTTCTACTCGTGAAGGAATTTTTACATTTTCAGTCACAAACGATTATGGTTTCTTTGAAGGGTTTGCAAGTCCTGTAATTCCCAAGTGTACGGGAAGCAGCATTTCAACCTCAGATATTGAGCTAAATGTAACGTTCTCATGTATTTTTATTTTGGTTGCAGATGGTCCAGCTATGAGTGTCCTGCTGTGGGTGTGTGGAGGTCTGCTGCTGCTGCTGCTCTGTCTGTGCGGCTGCCTCTGCAAGTGCTTTGTGTGCAATAACGGTGATTTTAGACGAAACGTCGGGAAAACCTAAGAAGTACAGATGATGGTGAGAAACCTTCCTTTGCTTTGACAGTGAGTAAAGTCACGTCTTGGTGCTGAAACTGCAGTTAGCGTGTGGGTGTAGTAATAGTTTGGCAGCAGAATAGCACAGTCATGGAAACGGGAAATAAGTGCAGGCCTTTCTCCATAATATTTGCCCAGAAGATAGTGTTTTCAGGTGTAAAAAAAAAATAAGTAAAGTATATGAATGGATGTGAGTTATGGAAAAATAATTTTCTGGTCTTTATTTGACCAGTTATGTGTCCTATGAATGGTGCAATTTTGAGCACCATTTTGTTGTTTTTTTGCTCCTTAATCTTGTTGGTAGTTATGTGTCCATCCAAGTCTTTGCAATAGACTTTATATAGAAGTGAGCAGGTGCTATGGAAATGTAATGTGAATTGGTCAATCCATTAGTTCAATAAATTAGATGGATCGGCCCACAAGCAACAGATTGATACATCTCTGTCCAGTACATACAGTGATTAATGAAATCATCATATTGGAGTTTCAGTTTTTCCATCCAATCTGATTTTTAGTGAGTTAGAATTCTCTCAGACATCTGTGATCCAGAAGGCCAGAGTAGTAGACATTCATAGACATTCTGGGAAGTGAAAAAGGGGCATGACAAAACAGCAACATCTGAATACCACAAACTGTATTTTTACTTTTGACTCTGCACCAGCCACACTTGATCATGTAGACAGAGAGTTTTACCGTCGCCTTCACACTGATATGGACCTGTGACCGGTTTGAGTGTTTGAAGGACTTCTTGTAAATATGACAGAACGTTCCCGATGCGAGTCTAAAATAGAGACGCTCAAACTTTATGGACATATCCTGGAAACAGACGTTGGTGGGGTGGGAAAAGCACTTAGTAAAAAGGTTGCAAAAGGCCCTCGTGTGATATTCCGCACGGACCTGGCAGAACGGATAGGCGTTTCTTGTTTTAGCAAAGATTCCCTTATCAACCCTATTTGGAAACTTTGGTGCCAGTAATATACCAACCTTCATATTGTATTATCAACAAAATAACACATTTTATCAAAGCAATGACTACACTTACCAAATCAAGGAGAGGCCCTGCACCCACAGTGACCAATACAATCTGTGGTTTCTTAAAACACACTGAAAGGCTAATTAAACATCCCACTAAATATTTTCTTTGCTGGTTTCATGATTTATATTTGCCACTTCCTCTGGACCCTCTTTCTCTTTGTTCTCCATGAGTTAAGGAAGCACATTTACTCAGCAGCAGAGGGCACAGACAAAACAATTCTTGTGGTCATTAAAACGGCTATTCTTAATGTCTGTTTGCATTTGTACAATCCTCAACCGGAATAACAGAGAAAATTACATGTGAATTGTCAATATTTGTGATGTCTGGTATTGTTGAGTATTAAATGTAAGTGTTTAATGGTGTACTGCTGCCCAAAATGGTCTTGAATTTGGTATTTTGAACAGAAGCAGCCTTGTAGTGTAGGCTTGAGGCTCGTCCAGGGTCAGCAGGACACTGGCTCTCAGTGTGACAGATTGCAGATGGAGACCGGGGAATCGCGTTGAGGTCTTAGGGCAGCCTGAAACATGTAGAATATTTGAGCTCTTTCTTCAGAAGCCAAAGATAATTCTCCATTGTGTAGTTTTACTGGCATTGGAAGGCCATTTGCACATGCAGCCAGACAGAATTGTATCGTCACAAAGTCCATTGCAGAATACTTACATCAAAATTATAACAATATGATAACAGTATTTGTCATGTATACTTCGAGCCCCTATCTTGTGACAGAGCCCATCTCTAAAGGAGTGAAAACTAATTATTAGCCTAAGGTCATGATCGGTGAATCAAGAACTTTGCATTCCTTTACTCAGTTCTTCCCATCAGTCTGGAGGATCTGATTTACATCCAAGCCACTTCCCGCTTCTAAAGGGATTGCCCAGCTGGCAGCCACGTCACATGACCTTCTGAGGACGAGAGTAACAGGTGTTGGAGTGAGAGCAAGCAAAGCGTTGGACTGTTGTAAGAACCTAAGGCATGGAGCTGGTTGTAGGACATCACCTACAAATACAGAAGGGAAATCCTGTGTTCCTCAAACTGGATTGGACTGAAATGGTCACGGAGGGAAGCCCTGAGAGAGGCCAACATTTCAAGAACTCTAAAGATATACTTTGTTGCCCCTGTAGGGAAAGTTTATCCTCTGCTTTTCAGAAAACATTTTATTGTTGGTAAAAAAAAGAGTTTTGCAGCGTGCATGTAGTAGAATCCAAGTCGTCCTCTTCGCATCCGCAGCACCAATAGATTGCTCCGATCTTCAGGTAACCAAAACATTTTAATATTATTTCATTTAATAAGTTTCATAAAAGATCCAGGCGTTGAGGAGGTCCCTAACACCCAGTGACCTGCAGGTGCTTCCAAAATGGACCTGGGAATGGGGGAGTTTTGGAGAGGTTTAGTATTGCATTAACGATATTATTGCGATATTTTTCTTTGCATCTGCATTGAAACGCAAAAGATAAATAACAAAAAATAAGCACAACATTAATGACATTCAAATGCATATTTTTATTTACTTTTTTCTTTGTTTGTGGTTCTTGTTGAATGTTGGTGTGTCTGTCTGTTTTGTCGTCTTTAATAAAGAAGGATATGGATATTGCTCGCACCAATATCGCGATAACGATATTTGTTCGATATATTGTGCAGCTCTACCTTCCACCCTCAATACCATGGTTCTCCTTAAAAGTGTGTAGTATGAGCCTAATGCAAACATGCTAAAACGTGTAAAAAGACCATGCAATGTTTTATTTTGGATATTTAAAAACCAACCTCCATATATATATTGTACTGCTCTTGCTGCACTTTTGACCCAGAGTCATTCAAACAGTGTCTTTTTAATAAACCATTCCTTACAAGGCCCGGTCTAGGCTTTGTAATGTCTGTGGAGGAGACTTGACCACAGTCCAACCAAAACCCAACGTTTGTGTTTTCTTAGCCCTCGTGGGCGTCTGGGCATGTGCGGAACCTTCCAGTAACATGCCACTATTTCTGCGTTCTACATTTAGTGATTTTTGGTTATGTTTGGCTTAAGATAAAACGATAGCAGCTACAACAGCGACAGAAAACCTTGTGTTTTCAGTGAAGTCTAATCTTAAACGGGGCAGGAAATAACAAGGAGGGGCTGTATCCTTTGTGATAAACATTTAGAGGTAACAGCAAGGTCAAGGTTCAAAGAGAAATAAACGTTTTAACAGAGCATGTGGTAGAATATACACCCATACCACCTGCTTTTCTATTGTTGCGAGGAAGCTTAAAGCGATTTACCAGTCAAGTTCACACATATGTTGGAATACTTAAGTCTGCACTGCACGTGGAGCTCTGGGGTAAAAACAAAAAGTGACTCGTGCCGCTGAAGGTGTGGCGTTCCCCTAATTGTTGCCCGGGAATGCTCTGTGTGATTTTATTTCAAGCATGTGGTGTTTTGTCTCAGAGCGATTGGAAGAAATGACTGTAATATTGTGTTGAATCCTTGCAGAGAGTGAGAGAGAGACTTTACGAGTTTGATTTAGAAAGGAATAACCATTGCAGTAGCTAATTCATTTCAACACAATGATAGAAAATACCTAGAGCCATTTCTCTCTCCCCTCATCTCAGAAACTCACCTCTTCCTCCAAGCATATGACTCTTAGTTTCAACTTTATACTCTTCTTTCCTGCTTTTAGATTTTTAGTTTTGTGTGTCTGTCTAAACGTGTGTGTGTGTGTGTGTCCTGAATTGTGAAGCGTCTAGTTTTTAAGCACTAAGCATTGTAAGAAATGTGGAGTGTCCTGGATCATCACCACTGTCCTAGGACCTCTAAAAACCCAGTGGGAGAGAATGAGAAACCTCAGAGAGACCACATTGAAAGAGAGATCACACAGGAGAAATTACATGTCACATTTGGCACGGAGCGAATCACTCAGATTGTGCAAAAGACAGAAGTGTGGCACAGTACATCGATATTTACGGTTGTATATCCCACATAAGTGTCCTGTCAATGTTCAATCACCCAATTGATGAGTTTTACAGATTCTGGCTGAATATATAAGTCTTTACATTTGTGTTGTGCTAATCTAAACTATCCAGTCCTGTGTTTGTATAGCAGATTTTATAAAACACGATTCCAAAGTGCTACACAGATAAAAGCTTTAAATAAAAGCCATTACAATGAAATAAATGTGCATAAAACAATATAAAATAATAAAATCGGGGCCTACACATCTCACACGGTGTTAAAAGCCAGAGAGTAAAAGTGGGTTATTATCTCAAAAACTCTCATAAACGTTTAACTTACTTTACTTTACAAAAATGTCTAGTTATGTAGCATATGTAAGCGTTCAATGTTCTTTTTCCCCTTCACAGACTGATGCTGAAGGGAAAAGCTGAGAGAAGACTGAACTCAGCCACACGCCTCTACATAACCTCAACTTACCCAAACTACTAACCAGAGAGTATTTTTAAAGCAGTACGTGTATATTTAAAACAGATGAAGCCAGTATGTCAGTGTGAGTAAGCTTTGGCTGCGGTTGACCCACAGCCTGTGTTTGGATCATGAAACCTATTATTTTACACTACAGATGTTTTTTTTTTATCTTTATATCGAGCTCTCTTCTGATTATTTATGTAGTGTTTTAGAAAATAACAAGACATTTTATTTTCTCCTGATACAATATTTTTTCTCTATTGTGGATGTATTTTGTGTGGAAATTGTCTAGCTACCGATTTGTAAAAAAAAAAAAATATATATATATATATATATATATATATATATATATAATGACACTAAAATTGGAACATTCTAATAATGTCCAATAGTTCATTTAATTATAACTACGTGAAAATGTGACTCTCAATTAGTATAGACTCATTAAAAGCAAAGTGGCATGTGCCTTTTTGTTTTTGGCTACAGTCTATGGCGGCTACGGTCTATGGCTACAGTCTATGGCTACGGTCTATGGCTACGGTCTATGGCTACGGTCTATGGCTACGGTCTATGATGGCTACGGTCTATGGCTACGGTCTATGGCTACGGTCTATGGCTACGGTCTATGGCTACGGTCTATGGCTACAGTCTATGGCTACGGTCTATGGCTACGGTCTATGGCTACGGTCTATGATGGCTACGGTCTATGGCTACGGTCTATGATGGCTACGGTCTATGGCTACGGTCTATGGCTACGGTCTATGGCTACGGTCTATGGCTACGGTCTATGGCTACGGTCTATGGCTACGGTCTATGGCTACGGTCTATGGCTACGGTCTATGATGGCTACGGTCTATGGCTACGGTCTATGATGGCTACGGTCTATGGCTACGGTCTATGGCTACGGTCTATGATGGCTACGGTCTATGGCTACGGTCTATGATGGCTACGGTCTATGGCTACGGTCTATGATGGCTACGGTCTATGGCTACGGTCTATGGCTACGGTCTATGGCTACGGTCTATGGCTACGGTCTATGGCTACAGTCTATGGCTACGGTCTATGGCTACGGTCTATGGCTACGGTCTATGGCTACGGTCTATGGCTACGGTCTATGGCTACGGTCTATGGCTACGGTCTAGCTACGGTCTATGGCTACGGTCTATGGCTACGGTCTATGGCTACGGTCTATGGCTACGGTCTATGGCTACGGTCTATGGCTACGGTCTATGGCTACGTCTATGGCTACGGTCTATGGCTACGGTCTATGGCTACGGTCTATGATGGCTACGGTCTATGGCTACGGTCTATGATGGCTACGGTCTATGGCTACAGTCTATGGCTACAGTCTATGATTGCTTAATATATCTGATCAAACCTGTCACGTGAGTCCCACTTTGTATGTTTAACACTAGAACTCCTGGAGCAGATCTTTAGTAGTTTTTATCTGTTATTATCTTGATAATAATAAGATAATTTCTTATTATTATCGAGTGTACTATAGCAACACACTTTTTACCAAGCAGCATCCCCATCCTGGGAACGCAGCATTGGTTTTGTTCTATTGGTCCGCTCCAAAATATTTATGATTTATTTTTTGAAGCTACAGGCTGGTCGCTTCCATTCCTATTTGAAAACACATGATCACCTGCATACACCAGGGTGTGACCTAAAGGCATGTATAGCTACTGTATCTATAATATCTATGTACATCTCAATTTGTGTTTAAGGCTGGATGACCTATAATTCAGGTCAGGTTTAGGTGTAGGACTTTCCAAACCTCCCACAAGACACCAGCCCCCCCACCCAGACATGTCACGGTCTTTTCATCGTATTTGCATTAGACATTATCAAACAGTTGAACTGAACCGAGGTAGTGGCTTCACAGCACGGCTTTTCCATTGTTGTAAATAATCTTCCACACATTTTATGACACATTCTCTTTCCACAAGTTCACATGGCATGTTACACTACTCATTTCACAAAAAGTTATAAAGTTTGAGTTTTTCCCCCTTGATTTAGTTTTTTTTTAACAACTTAGTGGTTAAACACCAGCAGCAGATATGACATACTGTAGGTAGAAGCAGTCACAGCGGCGACAACTGTCAAACTCTGTATTGTAGAAGTCTGTGTTTCAACCTTTTCTCACTCGTCTGAGAAAAGAATAAACATTTCTAGGTCTTGTCCCACTGAGAGAAGACATCCCTTGTGTTGAAATGAAAGTACCTGTCTTGTGGTTCAGCTTCCTCTTCATTGGCATCTATATTTGTGAGAAAACACTCTACAGACACTTGACTTAAACTGACATTCACTTTCACACTCAACTCACTTTCGCACGGCTGCCGTCACGTGATAATTTAGAATAGACAAACAATAGCGTTAACGATAATAACAGTGATATTATCGTCTGCTCCACCTCTGCTGCTGTGGTTATAAGTGCGGCTGTAATTTTTAAACTATTGTTAGGTTTTTGTTTTTTTTTGTGGATGGATGTCTTTCTGCTGCTATTAGACACCTGAATTTCTCCTACGGGGGTCAATAAAGTATATCTATCCATCTCTCTATGTCTCTCCTGTCATCATAAATCTTCAATTGTACTAATATGTGTTTTTTATCAGAAAAAAAAACAATACAAAACCAAATATTGCATTCTGAGGTGAGTAGGCTCATCTCTCCAGTCTTGTAAATGTATGAATGAGACAGATATAAAAGCTCTTTTGCAATTCTCAGTTAAAGGGCATACGTTTTTAATAAATCACAAAAAGGAGATTCACATTAAAATAAATTCTGAGTATATTCTTAAGTAGTTCATCTGCATAGTTTCTGTTCCTGCTGACTTATTTTGGCTCAGTATATTACATCCCTCCTGTGATATTATCATTACAACCAGGAAGTAAAATGACATATGTTGAAAATACAGCCAATACGGGATGAAATTTGAAAATGTAAAATGTTTTAAAGTGGTGAATTTATGTTGCGCTTTTCAACATTTTCAAGGAAGTTAAAGTGCTTCACATCAAGGAACCTATCCCCAGCTCACACCCACATGCACGTACAGCTGTGTGCAGACGCTGGGGGTGAGGCAGGTTAAGTGTCATGCTTAAAAAACACATGGCAGCCATCACCAATCAAAGCCCGCCAACCACTGAGCGACTCATTCTGCCCACTGTTTATGTTAAGAGCAGGATTCGAACCACAAACCTTCAGCTCAGAGGACACCAACTGCGCACAATGCACACTTATATACTACATGTAATAATATTGTGATCTGAGTCTGTAAAGTCACTTGTATTGTGTCCATGGCTTTAGGAGACCTTGATGGCTGCATACTCTGTCTGCTCCTCCGGGGCCGTCCTGGGGCGAGAACCTGAGGCCAGTTGCTGATGGTTCAAAGCAGCATAAACTACAGACCTCCCCCTGTGTTGGTTTCTCTTTGTCTTGGAGGGAGCCGATGAGGACTTGTGGGGGCTCGCTCTCGGTGACGTCGTGGTGCTTGAGTGATGGGCAGACTGTTCCACCATAGGGACGTCCATATACTGCAAGTGTTAAAATGACATGGGCTTTTTATTATTATTGTGAAAGGTAGTTTACAGTAAGGGCTGCAGTCAGGTGAGAGCAAGTCAAGATCTCATACACACACACACACACACACAAAAATACACAAGATTCATCTGACAAATGTTACATAAACTAATTTCTATAAATTAATGCCTAATTGGGAATTAAGTAGCAGGTGACTTCCATGTTTAACAATTCATGATAATAATAATGGTTGAATGATGAATTTACCAATGCTACACTGTACTGTATACAGTATTTCATTCTCTGATTTTAAATGACATTTTTGTTCGTGAAATCATGGCTGGAATCATGGCTGATATAACAATAATAACAATAGTAATGCATTGGTTTTATAGAGGGCTTTCCATGGTACTCAAAGCATTATTCATTCACTCTATACATGGTTGAGTTGAGCTACTATAGAAGTCACAGCTGCCCTGAGGAAGGCTGATGGAAGAGAGGCAACCAGTACGTGCCATCGGCCACTCCGAGCATCAGTCATTCACGGACACACCAGACTGATGCAGAAAAAAACTGTAAAACATGGATCCTACCTGGTTTTCATCTTCAGTCTTGTCATTTGCTTTATCTGCAAACAACAACATGCATTATGTACGATAGATGGACAAGTTAGATTAAAATAACATTGTTTCTTACCATTACATTGTTTCATTGATAAAACCGATATGACCGTCACAACTATGACAGTTCCCACAATCCCCACAGTACAATATAGATACAGCCAAACATGTTTACTGTCAGTGGATGTGGAATCTGCAAAAGAACATGGTCAACAAAGCTTCCACCTCTTTAACGTTTAAGATTATATGACAACATTTACTTTTCCCATTTGGATCCTGGAAAGTGTCATTCCCATGGTCACCTAAGATATGAGTATTTATTGTTATTGCTCTAATAAAACACCAATAATCATGTGATGACCAGACACAGAACTCACCTTTCACTGTAACATTGATGTAGTGACTCCTTTCAGATTCAAATCCACAGGCATACAATCCAAAATCAGCTTTTTGGACATTGTTAATTATTAAAAAGGATATTCCGTTCTGATTGTCTTCTTTCCACTCTGTTTGAAAACGGCCACTGACGTTTAGCTCCACAGAGTCTTTATCCTCCATTTTTAACCATTTGATTGTCGGAGTATTACAAAAACGAACAGGGCATTCCAGCCGTAATTGTCCTCCAATAAAGGCCTCATAGAGCACACCGCGACGGACATTGATTTCCTTTTCACATGTTGTGTCATCTGTGGGGAGTATTGAATATTGTAAAAATATGCAAAATGAAAAAACAGTCACAGTCTATGAAATAAATCACATGCATAAAGACCCACATACTTCCTTCATCTGGAATTAAGGTTGACAACAAATAGACGATATATAGACTAAATTATACAGTATATTTCTATAACAAACTTCCTCACAGCTTTGGAGACTCAATATCTGCTGTGACGACTTCAGAACAGTAAAGAAAAGCAATATAAACACAAATATTGACATAAACTTACCGTCTGCATTCAAAGTGAGACACAGCATGGTCAGAACAAACAATTTGGAGATCCATCCAAGTCCAGCCTCCATCTTATCGAGTCATCTGCTTTATGCATAAAACCCAAGAATTTGGTACATTTTACAGGTTCTGAAATTGATGCTGGTGCTGCTTCCTCTTTCACTACCTGAAGACGATTTCCTTAAAGGGTTAGAAGGTAGGTTTGTGGGAGGGAAGACGTTAAACACCATAACGTATAAGGCTTATATTAGTAAGGAGTCATATGTGCTTTCCCTTATAATGTGAAATAATCATAAGAAGTTTTTATTTCAGAGTGGGTTGTACTCACTTCCTCTCCTTGCCTCTCATGCATGTCTTGCAAAATCTCTGTGGCTTTAGATGGAAGATTGTACAGTGTGCATTAAAGAAAGTGTTAAGTTATGACCTTGTAAACTGCAGGTTTGTGGTTACAATCAGTCAGTTCCATCGTGCGGACTGCCACACAGGCAAAACCATTTTTTTTAATTTTTTTTTAAATCTAACTAAAAAGACCTTTTTTTTCGCAGCCTTTGAAATGTCCTTGGAATGAACTAATAACATCCCTTAAAATCAGTCTGATAAGTATGAATACTTTGTGTTTGATGTTTGCTTTGTACTTTGTTTGCATTGTATCTGTCAAAACGAATGGAAACAGGAGCCTTTCTATATCTGAGCTATTTACACAAAGGTAAATAAAGATAAATAAACCAGATGCATATAGGCCTTAGAAAGTTATAACAATGCTGATGTGTTTTGTATGTGCGTATGTAAGGTATATGTGCGTATGCAAATATGGTACTACATGTGTACATTTTCCATAATCACTTTATCTGTTCATTCTGCCCATGTCCTTAAACTGCTTTTACATGTTCAGCAGTAGAGTGGCTCATATATGGCTTTAATCATGATACTGCAGCGTGCGACACATGCACAAGGACTTTAGCTTGTAGTAAAGTGGGCGGACTCTTCTTCCTCCCGTGCAGAGCAGCTGTGTATGTTTTTTGAAGGAAATGTGCAATTAATGTTTACAATACGCAAATACACAGCCAACATTATTCAACTTTTAATAAATATAAACCTTTAGCTCAGAGGACACCAGCTGAGCATGTTGCACACATTTACCACATGTGATAATACAGGCTTTTGAAAATGTGATTCTGTAAAGGCAGTCACTTATGTCCAAGGCTTTTTTTTAATTTTATTTTTTGTCTAAGTGATTCAAAGACATACAAGATTGATACAACGACAGAAAAACATTGAAGCAGCGACAAAACATGGGCTCATACAAAGAAATACAAATATTAAGACAACATGAAAAATTACTGTGTGTGTGTGTGTGCGTGTGTCTGTGTGAGTGTGTGTGTGTGTGTGTGTGTGTGTGTGTGTGTGTGTGTGTGTGTGCGTGTGTGTGTGCGCTAGAGAGAGAAGAAAAAAAGACATTCAATCATCAAGATCATCAACACCAACCTTATTTAATCCGACTTAAATTTATGTTTTATGAGTTAAGAGATACTCCAGCCTCTGCCTTCTTTGCCTGTTATCTGCTGCCTATGGATTGTGTGTGTGTGTGTGTGTGTGTGTGTGTGTGTGTGTGTGTGTGTGTGTGTGTGTGTGTGTGTGTGTGTGTGTGTGTGTGTGTGTGTGTGTGTGTGTGTGTGTGTGTGTGCACTTGTTTTCAACTCCTGGTGGGTTCCATAACCTGAGATTCCACTCACGTCATGGGGACTGGTTTTACGTGGTGGGGCCCGAACACCGGACCCCACTGGTCCAAGCTTAATAATCAATGGGTAATGCTTTTCTAACGGTCCTTATGCAGTCTCTGTAAAAATATGGAAAGGACCCCTGGAGGTTTACTTTCCTGAAAAAAGTGTGTTATGTGTCGGAACCCTGGTGGTGGGTTGCGGGATATCAAGGAGGGGCACACTGGGGCAATTTCAGTCCAGCAGGCTGGAGCCAATCATGGAGCAGCACAACAGAGGAAATCAGGTGTCAGGCTAGAAAAAGGTGCAAGTGTGTTTCATTAGGCTGCAAGAAATCATGGAGGAGCACACTGAAGCGCACGCTTACAAACCACTGGTAAGTGCTGACTACAAGTCATGACTTCAAATTGTTATATAGAATGATTACAAATTATTTGTTGTTTGTGCAGCTTAGTCAAGAGTCCCTAATTGATGAAGTCGACTCAGATTCTGACGATTTAACTGTCAAGAAGAAACCTGTAAAAAAGTATGGAAAAAGAAAAATCAAAAACACTTTTCTTCAAGACTCGGAAAGTGACGAACCAAAGGCAAATAAGATTGTTATCATGCAGCTGCAAAAGAAGAAAAATGGGGGGCGAGTATACAGCAAGAGACACTTCTGCCTCTACTGTTCAATGTCCTGCCACAAAATGTCCCGTCATTTGACTAGAAAACATGGAAATGAAAGTGACGTAGCCAGAGCATTGGCTCTACCTGTGAAATCTAAAGCACGTAAACTTCAGTTTGATTTGATCAGGAATAGTGGAAACCGTGAGCACAATTTTGAGGTTTTAAAGGCCGGCATTGGAACTTTAGTCCCAGCTAAACAGCCAAATTCCCCAGTTAAATCCAGTGAGTTTTTGCACTGTATAGACTGTGGGGCATTGCTTAAGCGAAAGTCGCTGTGGAGGCATGTGGCCAGGTGCCGGCTTTCACAGAAAGATGCCCAGGCTAAACCAGGTAGAAGTAGGGTCCAGTCCCTCTGCTCCCTAGCCCAGCCTGTACCGGAGGGCATCAGCAAAAAGCTGTGGTCTTTAATTTCGGCAATGCATCAGGATGAGGTCACGGGTGTTGTCAAAGCAGAAAAGGGGATTCTGAGACTCGGAGAGCACCTGTACTTAAAACACGGGCATGATAAGACAAAGCATGATTACATTAGGCAGAAAATGAGAGAAGTCGGTAGGTTAATTAACGAAGCAAAAACCGCAGGGAAACTGAAAACAATTAAGGATTTCTTTATTCCTTCCAACTTTAACCATGTGATTGATGCAGTCAGGTCTGTGGCTGGATATGATGAGGAAACAAATCAATACAAGACTCCATCCTTGGCCCTCAAACTCGGCCATAGCCTCAGAAAGCTAGCAGATATTCTTGAATGTGACTCAAAAATGGAGCATTGTGTTGATGAACTATTTATTAAAAACCTCCAACGAAGCCGGCTGCTTTTTGAGAAGAGGTGGGACGTCTGTGTTTCTTCTGCTGCCCTACAGACCCTCCGGCAAGCCAAGTGGAACACTCCGGACCTGCTCCCTCTGACTGAGGACGTTAGAGCCATGCATGCACATATTGAGGTATGTCGACCTGAATATGTGCAAACCCTAATAAGTGAGCCAACGTCTAAGCATTGGTCTAAACTGGCAGTTTTGACTCTCTGTGAGGTCATCATTTTCAATCGAAGAAGGGAAGGTGAGGTTTCAAAGATGCCACTGACAGCCTTTACCTTAAGAAGTAAGACTGGGATCCATTCTGACATTGCTCTGGGACTGTCCCAACTTGAGAAAAAGCTGTGTCAGCATTTTCAACGCATTGAAATTAAAGGGAAAAGAAGTCGGAAAGTGCCGGTTCTTTTGACTCCTGAAATGATTGCTTCGATGGAGGTGCTGGTGGAGAACAGAAGGGCCTGTTCCATCTCTGACCATAACCCATACTTCTTTTCCCGCCCGGGCGCAGACACCCACATCAGGGGATCAGACTCCCTACGCCAGGTAGCCAAAGAATGTGGTGCGGTGCATCCAGAGATGCTATCCTCAACCAAACTTAGAAAGCACATAGCTACTATGTCTACAGTTCTCAATATGAAAGAGAATGAGATGGACATACTTGCCAACTTCCTCGGCCATGACATTCGCATCCACAGGCAATATTACAGACTACCAGAGGGGACACTGGAGCTGGCCAAAATCAGCAAAGTGTTGATGGCCATGGAGCAGGGAAGAGTGACGGAATTCGAAGGAAAGAGCCTCGACCAGATACAAATTGAGCCTGAAGGTAATTCTTGATATTATTAAAATATGTATGATTTTTTTCCCCTAAAGGCCACTTGTATTTTTATTTTCTGTGCGACAGGGAGAGCAGTAGAGATCCTCTCACAAACGGACGGGCTAAAAGAAACTTCAAGCGGAGAACCTTCAACCATTCATCCAGATGCACCCCATGGTAGTGGCAGTGCCCCTTCTGGTAAGTGTACCAGGTGGGGGATTACAGCCAGGCTGCTTGGTCCTAACCCTGGGAGTGTATATTGCTAATATATTTTTATTTCTCTCCCTAGAACATGTAAGAAAGCCATGGTCTGCATCTGAGGTGAAGGCTGTGGAGAAGACCATGACACCTTTCATACAGACTGGAAAGGTCCCTGGGAAGTCTCACTGCCTGGCCTGGCCTGGCCTGGCCTGCATTAATGCCTCACCAGATGACCTTAGACATCGGACATGGAGTGGCATTAAATTCTATGTCAAAAATAGAATCACTGCAATTCGAAAACAAAATCTAAAATAAAATTCCTTTAAAATAGTTGTTTGGTTTCTATTGACTGTTTTGTATTACTTAAAGTCTTGGTAAAAAAAGATTATGTCTATGGGTCCCATTCTGAACGGCCCTGTCAAAGGGACCCACCAGGTAACAAAAACGTGTATGTGTGTGTGTGTGTGTGTGTGTGTGTGTGTGTGTGTCTAAGATGCATTAAAAAGGACATGATTGGGATGTTGGAGCAGCGGTTCTGCTTCAAGTTCTCCTCATGCGTCCTGAATCCCTTGCCATGTGTGTATATGTTTATTTTCCCTTTTTAAGTTTCTATTTATTTAGAGTGCGGTGCATTATAAACACAAAGGATGACGGTGGCTGGGATCAGGGCTGTGCTGAAATGAGTTGATGACCGGTGTTGGTGGTGATGACAGCGACGATAGGTTTATAGAAGGTAAGGAAGTGAGTAGAAAGAAAAAAGAAAAAAGTGTGAGATATAAGCAATATATGAAAGATTAAAATGTCCTGTTGTGAGTGGCTTTGTTGATAATTCTAAATGAAAATGTGCTATGAATGATGCCCATGTTTCTCCCTTCTGTGAGATATTTTAAAATTAAAATAAACTCACAATAAACTAATATGAAGGAAAGATAAATAAAGATTATGTGTGTACGTGCATGTACATAATAAACAATAATGAAAATAATATAAGTATGTCCAAGGATTTAAGAGAAACTGATTGTCATGTGGGGGAAAGGAGGACTCAATGCAGGAATGCAGGAAAAATATTGATTTAATGATGAAAATTAAACAAAAGTCCAAGGTGAAATCGAAATCCAAACAAAACTCAGGAACAGAGTAACAAGAGGAGAGGAGCACAGGTACATACGGACACAGAGAGACACAGGTGAAACACTTCAGGGCGGGGAAGACAATCAACACAGGGGAAAAGAAGTCAAACTAAAACCAAACCAACTGAGAACAAATTTCAAAATAAATCCAAAGTACAAAAAAAACAGAAAATCCACACTGAGACTGCTCCTCCGGGGCCGTCCTGGGGCGAGAGCCTGAGACCAGGGGCTGATGGTTCAAAGCAGCATAAACTACAGACCTCCTCCTGTGTGTGTGGGGGGGGGCAGAGGAGGACAGACTGTTCCACCGCGGGGGACGTTCATATACTGCAAGTGTTATAATGAAATATTATTATTTTATTAGTGCTTTGAGTTGTACATTTCTTCATTGTGAGATTAACACAGTTTTATCTGATCGTATCTTATATTATAAAGCTGGAAAATCACTGATATGAGAATAATGAGAATAATAATTGGTTTTATAGAGAGCTTTCCATGATGCACAAAGACTCTTCACATGGTTTTATTCATTCACTTTATAAATAGTGCTGGTGAGCTACTCTAGAAGTCACAGCTGCCCTGAAGAAGGCCGATGAACTCACCAGACTCACACAAGGCATTGTGGGTGACGTGCCTAAGAACACAGCAACAAACTGTAAAAAATGAATCCTACCTGGTTTTCATCTTCAGTCTTGTCCTTTGCTTTATCTGCAAACAACAACATGCATTATGTACGATTGATGGACAAGTTAGATTAAAATAACATTGTGTCTTACCATTACATTGTTTCATTGATAAAACCGATATGACCGTCACAACTATGACAATTCCCACAATCCCCACAGTACAATATAGATACTGCCAAACATGTTTATTGTCAGTGGATGTGGAATCTGCAAAAGAACATGGTCAACAAAGCTTCCACCTCTTTAACGTTTTAAGATTATATGATAACATTTACTTTTCTCATTTGGATCCTGGAAAGTCTCCTTCCCATCTATGATTTGAGTATTTATTGTTATTGCTCAAATAAAACACCAATAATCATGTGATGACCAGACACAGAACTCACCTTTCACTGCAACATTGATGTAGTGACTCTTTTCAGATTCAAATCCACAGGCATACAATCCAAAATCAGCTTTTTGGACATTGTTAATTATTAAAAAGGATATTCCGTTCTGATTGTCTTCTTTCCACTCTGTTTGAAAACGGCCACTGACGTTTAGCTCCACAGAGTCTTTATCCTCCATTTTTAACCATTTGATTGTCGGAGTCAGTTTATTACAAAAACGAACAGGGCATTCCAGCCGTAATTGTCCTCCATTAAAGGCCTCATAGAGCACGCCGCGAAGGACATTGATTTCCTTTTCACATTTTGTGTCATCTGTGGGGAGTATTGAATATTGTAAAAATATGCAAAATGAAAAAACAGTCACAGTCTATGAAATAAATCACATGCATAAAGACCCACATACTTCCTTCATCTGGAATTAAGGTTGACAACAAATAGACCATATATAGACTAAATTATACAGTATATTTCTATAACAAACTTCCTCACAGCTTTGGAGACTCAATATCTGCTGTGACGACTTCAGAACAGTAAAGAAAAGCAATAGAAACACAAATATTGACATAAACTTACCGTCTGCATTCAAAGTGAGACACAGCATGGTCAGCACAAACAATTTGGAGATCCATCCAAGTCCAGCCTCCATCTTATCGAGTCATCTGCTTTATGCATAAAACCCAAGAATTTGGTACATTTTACAGGTTCTGAGTTTGATGCTGGTGCTGCTTCCTCTTTCACTACCTGAAGACTATTTCCTTAAAGGGTTAGAAGGTAGGTTTGTGGAAGGGAAGACGTTAAACACCATAACGTATACGGCTTATATTAGTAAGGAGTCATATGTGCTTTCCCTTATAATGTGAAATAATCATGAGAAGTTTTTATTTCAGAGTGGGTTGTACTCACTTCCTGTCCCTGCCTCTCATGCATGTCTTGCAAACTCGTGTGGCCTTGTGCAAAATCTCTGTGGCTTTAAATGGAAGATTGTACAGTGTGCATTAAAGTAAGTGTTAAGGGATGACCTTGTAAACTGCAGGTTTGTGGTTACAATCAGTCAGTACCATCGTGCGGACTGCCACACAGGCAAAACCACATTTTTTTTTTGTAAAAAGCCTAAGCCTATTTTGCTGGAGTGAGTTAACTAATATCATCCAATAAAACCACCTGAGATCAGTATGAATATTTTGTGTATGATGATTGATTTGTACTTTGTGTTGTACCAATCCGTCAAAACGAATCAAAACAGGTCCCTTGCTATAAATGAGCAATTAACACAAAAGCAAACACAGGCCTTAGAAAGCAATAACAATGCTAATGTGTTATGCATCTACGTATGTAAGGTATATGCATATGCCATATGGTAATACATGTGTACAATGACATTTTAATGCCCATGTCCTTCAACTGCTATTGCATGTACAGTCGTAGCCATGCTAATTTTATATAGTGAACTTACCTATCTTGCATGTGAAGCTTCGTTGAGTGTCCAAAAAAAAACGCTATTTAAAATTGATGCATTATCATTATTATTATTATAATTATTATTATTATTATTATTATTACAAGATTACTTCAATAGTGTATTATAGGTTTACACTTTTACAACAAATCTTTAATTAAATATATAAAGAATAAAAGTGGTGCTATTTTTAATTTTGACAGTTGTTTGTCTATTTGCGTGCTTCTTTTTGGGACAAATACATTCATTTTTTGTTAAAACACACAACTATAATATTTATTATTTGTGAATTCATTGATGCTATTCCGCTATTCTATTATAGTTGAACAGTTTTTGTTTTTCTTCATATGTCTGTTTCGGAACAACAGCGCCCTCATGTGGCCACTTATGCTTACGCAGCTCGCATGATTACAGCACGTCGTACGCGGTGACGCACATCCTTACGTTCCAGCAGCGAGCCGAAAATGGCGGAGTACCTGGCGTCCATTTTCGGCACAGAGAAAGACAAGTGAGTCATTTAACGTTTTAACAGCGCGGTGGGCGAGTTAGCCACGCATTTTCAGAAACATTACACGGCTCTGCAAGTTAGCATTCAACGATGTGTTTTTATTCTTACGCATAGACGCTAGATCAGCAAACTAAACACGGCGATGCTAGCGCTTTGAATGAGACGCGTGTGACTAGCATACGGCGGATCTAGCAGCACCCCGTAACCCCGTGATGCGGATGTGTTTCTCTCGTAAACCCAAAGCGATATGTGCATTCTTTTAGACTTCGTGGCTCATATATGGCTTTAATCATGATACTGCATCGTGCGACTCATGCACAAGGACTTTAGCTTGTAGCAAAGTGGGCGGACTCTGCTTCCTCCCGTGCAGAGCAGCTGTGGCTGTTTTTTGGAGGGAATGTGTAATTAATGTTTACAATACGCAACTATACAGCTAGCATTTTTCGGATTTTAATAAATGTATGGACAATATACGCACTATTTATCAAGCGTTAATAACAATAATGGGCAAGGGTGTCCATTCCACACCCATTGCAAACTCCTAAACGTAACACTATCGGTTCTTAAAATAGCATAACGAACAATAATCGTGTAAAATATTGCTGCAAAAGAAACCCTGTTTGCTAAAATTCTTGCTAAACTTCCCATAAACAGATACATGTTTGAGTAGAAAAGTTATGATCCTAGTACACTGATGTTTAACGTGACTGTTTATGATAATGATGATGTAAATTATAATTAAGAGATATATTTGATGTTTATGCAAGTTTTGACTGAATCGAATCATTTGAAATTTTATAAAAGAAGCGATAGATAAAAAAAAGTACAAAGTGGTGGGAAACACAAGTTGTCTTCTACTCCTGTCCGAGTTGTTTGTATTTTGTCCTATTGTATTGTACAACGAATGTTTATTTTAAATTAAGACTACATCAACATTTTACAGTTAATGAATACAGTCCAAGTACAGTCATGTACTTGGACATGTAGCCATCATGTAGCCATCTTACCATGGCTTCAGATATGTTTCATGCATCACATTACAACATGCCTTCCTGGGGAGGTGTTCCGGGCACGTCCCACCGGGAGGAGGCCCCGCGGAAGACCCAGGACACGCTGGAGAGACTATGTCTCTCAGCTGGCCTGGGAACGCCTTGGGGTCCCCCCGGACGAGCTGGAGGAAGTGTGTGTGGATAGGGAAGTCTGGGCGTCTCTGCTTAGACTGCTGCCCCCGCGACCCGGCAACGGATAAAGCGGAAGAAAATGGATGGATGGATGGACATTACAACATTTAATACTCTACTCAATATTTTTTTAAGGGTAAATTGTTCCTTCTACTTCAAAATCGGAGCGTGCAGACATGGCGACCGCTGCTCACGATTGCATAACAAACCAACTTTCAGCCAGGTCAGTATTCTGATTATCAACTCTCATTATGTGCACGTGTGTGTTGTTTTTGTTGCTTTCAAAGTACAAAAAGTCCCCTTGCAGTTTTATTAGTATGTAACAAAATCTCTGCTCATTGTGTACTTTTCCTGACTGATTTCTGCAGACTATCTTGATTCAGAACATCTACCGTAATCCTCAGAATAGTGCCCAGACAGCTGACGCCTCTCGCTGTAAGTACAATAATTTCTATAGTGATGGCCCTTACAAATGAATTCATGGTACTTCCCTTTAGTTAGCTGGAGATGTGTTATCTCTGCATATATTCACTTAAGTATAAATATCTACTCGTAGTTGTCTGTGTGGGAATGGGCCAAGCATCCTGTGATATTTATTACATTTTTCCTTTCGTCTAAACGTCTTTTTGAACCATCCATCTATTGTCTTCCGCTTCATCCGTTGCTGGGTCGTGGGGGCAGCAGTCTAAGCAGAGGCTCATCGGGCAGGGGGCCCAAGGCGTTCCCGGACCAACTGAGAATCATACTCAGAAATACTATTGTATCACAATGAACACATTTGAATGGTGTGAAGTGAACTCTCTGAACCAAGTGCAACGCAATCATTCCTGACTGAATCCTCTTAATCCTTTTCTTTGCATATTTAGACTTGTTTCAGGGTTTTTGCACAAACATTCAAACACAGACTATACAAAAACAATGAACTGGACAATTCAAAACATTCTCTGGTATAGATTTGTCAACCTACCAATCTCTAATGATATGTTTCCTCCCCAGCTCTAAGCATTGGTGGGGTTTTTTCTCAAAAGTTTACGTTTTGTATTTCAGACCATTCCCCTCTTGAACATTTACCTTCATTACCTTCAAATCTCTGCCCAGTCTGCCGAAGGTTTACACTGTAAGTCTTCCCTTTATCTGCAGGACCCTCTGGCACTGACTGCTCTTGGTTTAAAAGAACACCTCCCTGTAGCTTGGACTTAATTTGGCTTAGGGCAGGATGCGCCATCACATATTCTGGTCCCGTAACTGTCCACATGTTTAGAGTCACACTGATGTGGAACCTGTCACAGAAGCATAATGTTTTCTGGTGACGGTCAAAGAAATCCGCAGTATGTTTTGTACCTGCAGATGGTCCGTGCAAAGCATTAAACTCTTTGAAACAAACCTGTTGCCTCACTGTCCTTAAACTCTACTCTTGACTTTTTGTAGGTGCCGTCAGCGATGTGGAAATGCAAGAGCATTATGACGAGTTCTTTGAGGTCAGTCACCTTTTGTGCTCATTCCCATTTTCACAGCTCTCACACAATCGCGTCATCTACCAACAGATGCACATGAATTAGTAGTTTTTGTTTAACGTTGAGTTTACATCCATGTCATATTTTTCCAAAATGAGACAGATTGTTTGCTGTTGTGTTCTTATGCTGCTATGTTGAAATAGGAGGTGTTTACAGAAATGGAGGAGAAATATGGAGAGGTGGAGGAGATGAATGTCTGTGACAACCTCGGAGATCACCTTGTGGGCAATGTTTATGTGAAGGTAACGGATGGGGCTTATTTCTAAAGTGTAGGTTTTCTGAACACCTTTTAACTTGGACTTTGTTTTTGCAAAACTAGTTTCGTCGTGAGGAAGATGCGGAGAAAGCCGTCATGGACCTGAACAATCGGTGGTTTAATGCACAGGCCGTCCACGCAGAGCTCTCTCCGGTCACTGACTTCAGGGAAGCCTGCTGTCGGCAGTATGAAATGGGGTCAGTCGCTTTTGCTGTCATTTCGCTGGAGGATTGTTCTGTTTCGACATTATTGGGAAATGTTCGGCATTTACGGCTTGTGCAACTGACGAGGCCTAAAGAATTACATCCTCATGGTTCATATATTCGAAATATCTATATTTTTATAATGGCCACAGTGCCATCAAATAAATTATATTTTGAATGTTATTTTTTGTGTACAATGCTTTGTTTTTGAAGGCAATGTACCTTTTGTATCACATTTTGTACCAAATGGAGATAGTTATCCTTGCCGCCCCACAGTACATTTCCACTGTTTACTGTGGGTTGGTTCAGACGTAGACGTAAACTGGCAAACCACCAAACATGCTTTGACACTTTATGATCCTGTTGAACAGGGAATGCACTCGAGGAGGTTTCTGCAATTTTATGCATCTGAAGCCCATTTCACGAGAACTTCGTAGGGAGTTGTATGGACGCCGAAGAAAAAGGTAATAATGAAGAGTTTAGTTTGAATGAAACGAATGTGAAGAAAACATCTGAACAGTTCCTCGTCTGCTCCAGGCACAGGTCTCGCTCTCGTTCTCGGGAGCGCCGTTCTCGCTCCAAGGATCGGCGGAGGGACCGTGAGAAGCGGAGGTCGAGGGATCGGGAGCGCTCTGGCCGATTCTAAAGGACGAACAACAAACCCACATCCCCTCATCATACCTGTCATGACAATTTTTTTTTTTTGTGAATTGTTAACTGTTTTCCTTTTATTCCCTTTTTTAAAGAAGAGCGTGTGTCACTTTCTCAATAAAAACAGATTTGTAACTGTTCTCTTGGTTTTGTAATATAACATTAGAAAAGCAGATCTTAAAGCTATTGGTTATTATTGCATTTGTTTAATTTACAAATGATTTAGAATAAGTGTCATCACTGTAGAAACATTAAGAATTAAGTTACAATTGTCTTTATCATTGAACTTTTATCTTTTTACCGGATTATGCTTTAGAGATAGGGTGTAAATGGATGGAAAGTTTAATACTATTCTGTGGAAAAACCCTCCAGCATGAAACTGGCAATGCAATCACGTCAGATAACGAATTCATATGCATGCACACGAGGATATTGTTTTGCAGCTCTGGTTGTGGCGTGAAGAGTCGTAACACTGATAACGCATGTGAAGTTTTCAAGATGTCCAGTCCTGGCATGCGCAGTGTTCAAGCTGCATGTGCCAATAAAAAGTAAACACATGCTGTACACTATTTGTGTACAGCATCCCTTATGGAGAAAAATCGCATTTGATTGGCCCAGGAGACCAAACAGACGCCCTCGCCGCCTCCAATCACCTCCAGCCATTTAACATCGCCTACGTCACACTCACTCGACCCACGTGTTCCTTCCGAAATGCTTCTCTGTGCTTTGTCGCCGGAGGACCAGTCATCAGCGCGCTCTCCTGCACTACGCCTGCCTCTGCATCGCTGCGTTTATCATCACCATCGTCTTCCGTGATCAAGTAAGAGGAAACATACTCCGCAATCGCGTTGTCATCCCAAATATTTCATACAGCGTCAGCACGTGTTTGATTTGTGTATTGGCTCATATGTGGTAGTGGACGTCGTTCGTGCGTCACTGTCTGATGCAATGGTGTCCTTCGTTGGATTTAAAAAGCATCTTTAATACCGATAACGTAATACACATAGAAAACCCTGTGTAACGCCATTTATAAGTCACGATCGTTCGCGTTTTACCAATATACCCTGCTGTTGTCCTTTTTTAACCTACGCAAATGGTATCACGGTAACGCAGACTTGAGCTATGATGCTAACTGCGATGATTTATTTTTTTATTATTATTTAATTTAGACTTTATTAAGGACTCGCATGTAATCACGTTGCTAAGAATAATTTTCAAACATAATTTTAATTCTACATATTTGCTTTATGTAGTTAATTATATTCTCTATGCAGGTTATTGCCCAAATATCAAATTCTCACTTTTTTATTTTTACTCCACGTTAGAACTGCTGATATTTAATCTGATCTCCAAAAACAGCTGATTAGCAGACGTGCACCTTTTATGACAGCAGCGTGTATTTAAAGCTACTACTGCTGGGCTGGGTGGTGAGAACGTGAGACCCCCCAGGCTGACCCCCCCTCACGTTTCCATATTGTTTTTATATAGCAGCCCGCATTCCTGCTGCTCATTGCAACCCTTTTTGTGGTGGATGAATGGGTTGTCTCTTTCTCTTCACAAGGGGCTCCAGGCATAGGAGCTTTGTAGGTTTAATACCATAGTTTAATACCCACTAGCACTTAAGCAGATAAACCACCACAGAATGTAATGGTTCATGTAAGATTGCCTTCAAGCTGATTATTTGAAGTTGTATTAAATTTGAAAAACGTCTGGATCACTGTGCGTGTATATACAGGCCTCTTTAAGTGCAGGGAAGGCAAATATTGTTGGACGTTTTGCTCATTCAACCTATAGTGTTTACTTGCTTTTATAGGCATTTGTGTTTATTTTCCATTATCGAAGCATCATTTAACTACAGATAAGCAAATATCGTACCCAGTCAAAATTAATGTTCAGCTTCTAGTCTGTATTATCCTCTATCTTTTTATTGCCTATGAACATAAAGTACCAATGGTGTTATAGATAAGATAAAGTGTCTTATAACTTCCTAGCACTATCACAAAATTAGTTAATTTGTGCTTTGATGAATGATGCAACCTTGCGTAGAACCACGTCGAGATAGGGCCTTGAACGTTAAGCTTGTTAGTTTTGTTGTCTCGTGATGACTGGTTAAACACTCCTCAATGACACACAATATCTACTTTGTTTTATTCTATATTTTATTTACAGTGAACATGAAGTAACAATGGTGTAATAGAGAAGATAAACCATCTTCCTACTATTAAGAAATTGGTTTATTAGCGTTTTTTTCTGGCTCATAATGACTAGTTCAAAACACTTCTGAATATATCACAACATTGAACTGTTTTCTTTTGTTTTCAATACTTTAATAATGATGAAGGAAATTGTGAATTAGTCCGTTGCTCTAGTAGTAAGTAAGTAATCTTTATTTATATTCCGCCTTTTCACTGCAGATCTGAGTCTCAAAGCGGTTTACAAATGTTCATTTTGGGCATTTCTCTCTCACTCCACACAGAGATGGGAGCGGGGTCGCCAGTACAGGAGGCACATGCCAGATCTATTGGACATATTTTTAGTGGTAGGGGAAACCGGAGTACCCGGAGGAAACCTATGCAGACACAGGGAGAACATGCAAACTCCACTCAGAAAGGCCGTGGTCCGACCGGGATTTGAACCCAGGACCTTCTTTCTGAGAGGCGAGAGTGCTATCCACTCAGCCACCATGCCGCTAGTTTGTTTCATCCTCTATCTTTTATTGACAGTGAACATAAAGTTATATTGGTGTTGATGAGATAAACCCTAACTCTTATGACTTCCGTATTACTATTAGAAAACAAGTTAATTAGCCTTTTGTTGATGAATGATCCAACCTAGTCATCTCACACCACCTCCTAAAGCTTTTTTAAAATTTTGTTGTCTCACAATGACGAGTTTCTTTTACTCCTGGATGACTCACTGGTCGGAGCGGTTTTGTTTAGTAGCAGCACAGGCCAAACAGGAAGCGTGAGATGCGTGTGAAAGGTGCCAATAATTAATTATTTATGTTGTTTTTGCAGTTGCCGATTCTTAGGTCGAATAATGCCGTCAGTCCCTTTGCCCAAAGAGAGCCCTGCGGTCAACGGGTCGCTGTGCCCACACGCCACCAAGATCCTGAACAGAGATTCCAAGCCTTTCCCACTCAACGGCCTGGATAAGAAGCAGGACTTGCCCGATGCGGAGGACTCCAGCAGAACTATTCAGATCAACACAAAGAACGGGGCTGTGGAGAGAAAATGGATCCGCCCTGACCTCCCCAGTCGCTGCACCTGGAGCATGGGAGGCTCCAACGCAGACTCTCCCCACACGCATGTGCCAAAGTGCGTTTAACAACACTATCACACGTCTTATCTTTAACTATTCAACAGCTCCACACACTGCTTATTTACTTTTGATTAACCATTTTCCCCCACTTTTCTTACAGACCACCCAATCCATCTATTCTTCCAAACATCCTCCATCGTATTGGGGACACTCCTCTTGTGCGCATCAACAAGATTCCCAAAGCTTATGGGCTCAAATGTGAACTCTGTGAGTCATCTATTTTATTATCTCGAGGCCTGCAGGAACAACATCCTGACATGTCTCCTCTTGTGTCTCCATCTGGACTCCAGTGGCTAAGTGTGAGTTCTTCAACGCTGGAGGCAGTGTGAAGGACCGGATCAGCCTGCGGATGGTGGAAGACGCAGAGAGAGCGGGGATCCTGAAGCCTGGGGACACCATTATTGAGCCTACTTCTGGAAACACAGGTGTCTGACTGTTGCAAGTCATTCAAGAACATGAGAAGGGCACTGTTCTAAAATGTGCGCTTTTTGAAGGGATCGGGCTGGCTCTAGCAGCCGCTGTGAAAGGATATCGCTGCATTATTGTCATGCCTGAGAAAATGAGCATGGAAAAGGTGAAGATTGTAGTTTTTTAGTCTCACATGTACATATTTTTGATTGGTATTACAACACTATTATTTCTGTGCAGGTGGATGTACTGAGAGCTCTTGGGGCTGAAATCGTCCGTACCCCCACCAGCGCCCGCTTTGATTCCCCGGAGTCTCATGTGGGTGTGGCCTGGCGCCTCAAGAACGAGATCCCCAACTCTCACATCCTGGATCAGTACCGAAACGCCAGCAACCCTTTGGCCCACTACGACACCACCGCTGAGGAGATCCTGGCTCAGTGTGACGGTAACCTGTGTGCATTGTGAAATTACATGCTTTCTCTACTGCATCTTTCATTCATCATTTGCTTTGTATGAAACAGGTAAAGTCGACATGTTGGTAGCTGGAGCGGGAACAGGAGGGACCATTACTGGCATTGCACGTAAACTAAAGGAACGCTGCCCTAATGTCAAAGTATGTGGTCCTCATGCACATTTCTAGCCTCCAAAGAATGCTCTCATGGCCAGTACTCGACGGCACTAATCCCCCGTCCCCCCTGGCTAAATAACGTGTTTATTTTCCCTAAAAGATTGTTGGGGTGGATCCAGAAGGCTCTATACTCGCTGAGCCTGAAGAGATTAACAAAACCGACAAAACCCAATACGAGGTGGAGGGCATCGGGTACGACTTTATCCCAACAGTGCTGGACAGATCGGTAAGTTCAACAGCCTTCCCATTATGTGATTACGTTTATTTGACTTTTTACAAAACGCTTTTTGTATTCACAGGTCATTGACGCGTGGTACAAATCCAATGACGAGGAGTCGTTTAACATGTCTCGAATGTTGATCCGAGAGGAAGGATTGCTGTGCGGTAAATCTCCCCCACCTTTTTCAAAGAATCTTTCTCTCTCTTTTGTAGAACGTAATGCAAGATTAGTAACCTTTTTTTTTTTTTCTAAAACCCTATAACAGGAGGCAGCTCTGGCACGGCGATGGCTGCTGCAGTAAACGTGGCCAAAGAGCTGAAAGAAGGCCAGCGCTGCGTGGTGATCTTGCCAGACTCCATCCGAAATTACATGTAAGTGAATCCGTTTGGAACTAAGGCAGTAACTTTATATACACTGCAACTCGAGACCCGCTCAAGATGAAAAACTAATGCTAATCATGTTTTTTGCAGGTCCAAATTCCTGAATGACAAGTGGATGGTTCAGAAGGGATTCCTGAGTGAGGAGGACCTGATGGTGAAGAAACCCTGGTATGTATTGAACCTCCGATTAGCATGGAGGCCCAGAAACGGTTTTTAAATGTCGTTTGTCTTTGCAGGTGGTGGAACTTGAAACTCCAGGGCTTGAACTTGTCAGCTCCACTCACTGTTTTGCCAAGTGTGACCTGTCAAAAGACAATAAAAATTCTTAAAGAGAAAAGTTTTGATCAAGCCCCTGTAGTGGATGAGTCAGGGTAAGCTTGCTGTTTTAAAAGTAGGGGAACAACAAGAATAGTGCTTGATTCTTTCCGGTCTAACTGTTTGGGTCCATCTCCAGTTTGATCCTCGGTATGGTGACTTTGGGCAACATGTTGGCCTCTATTCTCGCTGGGAAAATCAAGATCTCAGACCCAGTCAGTAAAGTGATCTACAAACAGTTCAAACAGGTAAGGCTAGATTTATATTAAAAAAACATGTAAGTCAAATCAAACTTAAAGCTTCCAATATTTCTTGTTTCTAAATGTAATCTACATTCTCAGGTCCGTCTGACTGACAACTTGGGGAAAGTGTCACGCATTCTGGAGACGGACCACTTCGCCCTGGTGGTGCATGAACAGATCCAATGTAAGTTTACAGAAATAACATACAGGCATGCCTTTGACTTTGGCGCCCCCTACTGGACACATTACTGTGGTTTAGAGCGAAAGGACAACAACAAAAAAGATTTGAAAAAAAATGGTTGCATTAAATCTTTTAGATATACAAGATGTTAAACGTTTGGTATTTACACCACTTTTTAAAACTTGTTGAAACTCGTTGAACCCATGGATCTATGAACCTAATGCGCTGAATAGGTTGCGTTCATGTTCTGGAATTCTCTCTGTTGGACTGCAGGTGTCAATACAAAAAACATTTTTGAAGCATTGTTGACAAATATAATGTCCAAATGTCCCAGATCGTTAGATTCACACATTTACTGTTTTCCTATGTCTGCTAGTACTTTCTACTGGCTAACTCATGCTTTTTGAATTTTGTCATGACTTTAAAAGAGAAAAGGATTAGACCATGGTGAATATGTACCGACAACGTTTTTGTTTAATTTAGATTGGCCCAGGGATTTCAGAGAAACTACAAACTATAAATCTCTTTTTGACCACTCTTTACTAACTATAGGCTCTTTGGAATGTTGTGACGTCGTCACATAAACACAAACTATTGAGTTACTTGAATATCACAGTCCACGTTACATACATGTCTCTGTGTTGTCTTGTTAAACCTGAATAGTGATGCACTTTTCTCTTTCCTGTCTTGCACCAGACCTGACTGACGGCTCCCCCTCACTGAAGCAGATGGTCTTTGGTGTGGTAACGGCTGTAGACCTGCTCAACTTTGTCACGTACCGAGAACGGAGGGAACGCTCTATGTCAGAATCAACTGATGAAATGTGACTGCTTCCAAGCTTTTAGCAATAAAATAAGAGTAGTTTAGAAGACATCAAGGCAATATGTTTCAAAGTTTCATTTTCATAAAAAAAACTATCTTAACATTTGTTTAATTTCAATACAATAAAGTCTTAACAAGAGCGAGTTTGCTGCTACTCTGAAATGTTGTGGAACTGTAGGGCATTGTTTCCTTTGGATTACATTTTGTATGATTTGCTTCTGGAGTCCTGTATGGGATGTGAAAAAGTACAAAATTGTTCACCAAAGCCTTGTGTATGCGTAAACCATACCATTATACATTATATATTTTGTTACATTAGATATCTGAACTGTTGCTGTATATACGCCTATTGTTTTTCTTGTATTTTTTCTGCATTTCTTTCTGTATTTGTACTGTGAAAAAACCAGGCTTGAAGGTTGTATGAGCGATACTTTTGTGGGATGTGGCTTATGCTGCTTTTCCTTTCTTTTACTATTTAATCTTGGAAGTGTATGGGTTTTGAAAATGTTTTTTTTCTTTTAATGAATGTAATTAATAAAAATGAATGGATTTATTAAACCTTGATTATATTTGCTTGGCTGCTCCACCAGGCGATAACATGTTTGATTATTAGACTGTAAATGTGCGTAGTTCTGGCTGGGTCATGTTCGGGTGATGTTCGGAAGGTTAAATAAATGAGTTTGTAAAAGTATGTGTCCAGAGTCCATGAGACTGAGGGTCGTGGTGCTTTGTGCGCTGTGACAGTCAGGTGGCACTGCTGCTGTGTTGTGTGAGTGGTGTGAGTGTGTGTGGTGTGTGGTGTTGTGTGTTGCAGCCACAGACTCAGGCCCACAGCAGAGGCACAGCAGAGGCACAGCAGAGGCAGGAGCAGAGCCACAGCAGAGGCACAGCAGAGGCAGGAGCAGAGCCACAGCAGAGGCACAGCAGAGGCAGGAGCAGAGCCACAGCAGAGGCACAGCAGAGGCAGGAGCAGAGCCACAGCAGAGGCAGGAGCAGAGCCACAGCAGAGGCACAGCAGAGGCACAGCAGAGGCAGGAGCAGAGCCACAGCAGAGGCACAGCAGAGGCAGGAGCAGAGGCAGGAGCAGAGCCACAGCAGAGGCACAGCAGAGGCAGGAGCAGAGCCACAGCAGAGGCACAGCAGAGGCAGGAGCAGAGGCAGGAGCAGAGCCACAGCAGAGGCACAGCAGAGGCAGGAGCAGAGCCACAGCAGAGGCACAGCAGAGGCAGGAGCAGAGGCACAGCAGAGGCAGGAGCAGAGCCAGATCAGAGGCACAGCAGAGCCACAGCAGAGGCAGGAGCAGAGCCACAGCAGAGGCACAGCAGAGGCAGGAGCAGAGGCAGGAGCAGAGCCACAGCAGAGGCACAGCAGAGGCAGGAGCAGAGCCACAGCAGAGGCACAGCAGAGGCAGGAGCAGAGGCAGGAGCAGAGCCACAGCAGAGGCACAGCAGAGGCAGGAGCAGAGCCACAGCAGAGGCACAGCAGAGGCAGGAGCAGAGCCACAGCAGAGGCACAGCAGAGGCAGGAGCAGAGCCACAGCAGAGCCACAGCAGAGGCACAGCAGAGGCAGGAGCAGAGGCAGGAGCAGAGCCACAGCAGAGGCACAGCAGAGGCAGGAGCAGAGCCACAGCAGAGGCAGGAGCAGAGCCACAGCAGAGGCACAGCAGAGGCACAGCAGAGGCAGGAGCAGAGCCACAGCAGAGCCACAGCAGAGGCACAGCAGAGGCACAGCAGAGGCAGGAGCAGAGCCACAGCAGAGGCACAGCAGAGGCAGGAGCAGAGCCACAGCAGAGGCACAGCAGAGGCACAGCAGAGGCACAGCAGAGGCACAGCAGAGGCAGGAGCAGAGCCACAGCAGAGGCAGGAGCAGAGCCACAGCAGAGGCACAGCAGAGGCACAGCAGAGGCAGGAGCAGAGCCACAGCAGAGGCAGGAGCAGAGCCACAGCAGAGGCACAGCAGAGGCACAGCAGAGGCAGGAGCAGAGCCACAGCAGAGGCACAGCAGAGGCAGGAGCAGAGCCACAGCAGAGGCACAGCAGAGGCAGGAGCAGAGCCACAGCAGAGGCACAGCAGAGGCAGGAGCAGAGCCACAGCAGAGGCAGGAGCAGAGCCACAGCAGAGGCACAGCAGAGGCAGGAGCAGAGGCAGGAGCAGAGCCACAGCAGAGGCACAGCAGAGGCAGGAGCAGAGCCACAGCAGAGGCACAGCAGAGGCAGGAGCAGAGGCAGGAGCAGAGCCACAGCAGAGGCACAGCAGAGGCAGGAGCAGAGCCACAGCAGAGGCACAGCAGAGCCACAGCAGAGGCAGGAGCAGAGCCAGATCAGACCCAGGATCAGAGCCAGGATGGCGGAGCAGGGCATTCTGTGCGACTTGAAGAGTCTGGAACAACAGCTACAGTCTCTGTTCAGCCGTTTCGCACAAACGGATTTACAAACCGACAGTAAACCATTCTGTTCGACCTTTTGCAAGGTAAGAAACGTTATTTTAGGCCAGTGACAGCAGTTGTCATGATAAGGAGCATATTGTTGGCTCCCCTCCCCCAGAACTTGCTACTTGTAGCCAGAGAAGGAAACAAGTACCAGCCGAACCCGACACCGCCCTGGCCTGAGCTTCTTACTGTTGTTCTGAGAATGGCATTTACACAAAAGTATATGTTCATGCTTCTGGATGTATAAACACACTCAAATGTCACAATGCTGGCTTCTCAGCTAGTTAGCTTAGCTAGCTAACAAAGCTAACAAAGCTAACAAAGCTAACAAAGCTAACAGAGCTATCTCCCAGATCCAGCTAACGCTAGCACCTGGACCAACTTGTTTATCACAGGGTCTTCTTCACGTATTCTCTACATAAGTTTAATATAACTTAACACTGCACTGTACAGCGCTTTTTCACACACACAACCTCAGGCCAATGTCTGTCTTTTTGATTTAATAAATCTTGCTCTGTAATGTCACTAAGTCCATTTAGTTCAAGTTAATTTGTCCAAACAAATGTTTACCCTCCTTATACTGTGTTACCGTCTGTTTATCTTAGCACGGCTTGGAGGATCACATTATAACGGGATATTGTAATGGACTAAAAGCTTCTTGGCGTAGATTTATGAGAGGATAATTGAATAAACCTGTTGGAGGAGGACTGTCCATTATTAGTATCAGAGTTACATTGTTACATTGCTCTGCATCTGTCATCATGAGACTGCATCTGGACAAGAATCAGTGTTGTGTCCTATCGAAGTTGACTTATAACTGCGTATATAAGTAGTACATATTTGTATTCCTTCTATTTTATGAATTTATTGTGTTTATTTAAGTTGTAAGGGAGTGGCATCCTAAGACTAAGAGGAGATGCATTTTGTGGCTGGTCAGCCGCCGACCCTCAGTCCACCTGTATTTTACATCTGTGTCTGCAGCTGGTGGAATACTATGCGTCACGCTGGAAGGGGCCACTGCCACAGCTCGGGATCCTGGAGAGAGCCCTTTGCTGCTTCACCCAGGCCTCTGTGTTCTTCACAGTGAACTGTGATCATGTGCTCCGGACACTTAGCAGCCTTGCCTTGTGAGTAAATGACCCAAACTGTCTGTTTCATGTTCTTACCAGTTTTAATGTTGTTTGCATGTGTGAGTGATGTCCTTAAGAAATCTTTTTTTTTACAGAAGTATTTTTGAGTTGCTGCTTTTCTTTGACCAGACGGACTTTTTTCAAAATCCTTTGAAAAAGACCACAGTTACATTCCAGGTATCAATCATCTATAAACTTGACTAGGAGAACAAAAAAAAAATCTATATATATATATTCACATGTTTGTACTTTTTCTAGGAATGTTTCGCAGCCCTTGCAAAGTATCAGAATGTTCACTTGCTTCATGTAGAGCGATTACTCAGAGCTGGTGGGCCTTGGACAAACCAAAATTTACATGCCATTCTCAGTGAATCTCCCTTACCTCAGACAGAAGGTAAGCTAGTCATGGCCTTGTATACACAACATTGGGAGGTTTTTTTTATTTTACATAGTTTGTGCTCTCTGATTTCTCACAGTGGAGGAATGCATCACCTCTGAGCCTCCTGTGTTCTTTGAGTTGCGAGTGCGTTACCTTCTGTCCTGTCAGCGGCTACCAGAGGCTCAGGCTTTGGCCAAATGTTGTGCTGGGCATCCCTCTGTCGGGCAGCACTTGTTCTTCTACCAGGTCTACCTCACTGGGCTTTATAAAACTGTAGATCATGAGCGCCTACTAGAGGAGGTTTGTTTTAGTTTCACTTCCTCTGATGGTTGTCATTGTTCTATGTTATTGGGTTCAAGTGCTTCTATCTTCTGTTTCTCAGTTTGCCGACTTCAGAGGGAAAGATGCAGTCCACTTTCTCTGCACTTTGGAGAGCGAAGAGAATGATGAGCTGCTGCTGGACTTCAGCCGAGCTTTTCTCTCTCTACAAATGCACAGAGGAGACATGCACTTTCTTTGGTAAGAACATATTTTTCCCAAGTCATATTTTCTATTACGGAGGACTTTATGTTTCTGTTTTCCAGTGACTTAGTTTCTATTTGGGGACGACTTCATAGTCGATTAAAAACCCCAAAAAAAGTTCTTCTTGAAGAGTGTGAGCAGTTGATTCTATCTACCACCAACGTTAATGCTATTTTTCCCTTTATCAAAGTCATAATACGTGAGGTGAGCTCTTAATTGGGGCCTAGTTATTTTCAGATATTTGTCATATAAGATTCATTATAATACTCTGTTATTTCCAGTTGAATGAAGAAGGGGTCCAGTTCTGTGTGGAGCTTTGTGCTAACGCTCTACGCTCTTGCCTTCCCTGTGATGTCATCACCAAGTCTCTGATTTACAAAACAATGGCCAGCCTCGTGCCCCGCGACCTGGAGATCTGCCGAGCCTGTGCCCTCCTTGTGTTCTTCTTGGAGCGCTCTGTGGAGGCCTATAAAATGGTGTACATTCTATATATGCTTCCGGATCAGGAATATCATGTTGATTGCTGCCCAATTGGGAATTGTGTTCGCTTTGAAACCCTGCAGGTAAGGGCCTGATCAACTGTAACATTCAGTGTGGCAATGTTCTTGTGGAATTTAATGTCATTGTGTTTTGTTTTTGCTCAGGCTCTGAAGAAGGATTTGTACTTTGACCCAGAGTTTTGGAACCTCATTGCTTTGAGAACAAACTGTTTGAAACTTATGAACGAGAAAGTTTTGAGTGCTGCGCTGGACGAAATTATGGAAGAAAAGTGGGTCCCAAGCTATTGCCGCAAAGCAAATAATTCATCAAGCAGATCAAAAAGCACCAAGGAAAATGCATTAGCCAAAAGAAAGAAAAGATTAAAAGAAGACCGACAAAATCACAAGAATGCCAAAGATAAAGAGCCTCCAAGGAAACGAGGAAGACCCAGGTTAAATAAAAACCTCCCGCTCAATAAGAAGGGAAACCAAGGTTCAAAGCAATGGAAGAAGTCTTCATCAGAACCATTGTGGCGTTCTTCAATATGGCAGATGGACCGATTACACCCCAACAGGGCTTTGGATTACCGGGAAAATAGGCGTACTACGAGGCATTCTGAGAGAGTCCCAGCCAAACGCATGATCCGGACCCCAAAATGGCTTCTTGAAGACTCGGGAACGTTGGATAAGACTGCACCGCTAATAGTGAGACGGCAGCATGCAAGTTTACCGTACTTGCCTCTCAGGAGGAGGAATGTGGTGGTCAAAAGCAATGCAAAAGAAAAGGATACATCTGAAAGTGCTGAACAGGATGTGCCACCTGATTCACAAACTGCCTCGACTGCACCACAGCTCGTTTTGGAGCTGTCTCTTCCAGATAATGAACTGTTTGATACATTTACAGATGACACGTCCGACAAAAGCAGAGGCCTTCCCCAAATGTTGTTCTACAGGCCCACTCTGAAAGTCCCTTCTGAAACTTTGATGGGAAAAGGCAGTCCTGTAATAATCAAAGCACAAAGTACGCAATCTTTTATCCAAATGCTACATTGTTACACGCGGAAATCGAAAGGGAAGAAGGTCTGGACAAGGACTCAAGGCTCAGCTTCTACGATAACACGTTCAAGTCATGTGGACGCTTCAAATAAGGAGCAGATCAGCGACAAATCCACAGTGGAAATGAAAGTCACGATTTCTTCACAAACCCCGCCAGTGGCCGATAACATTCTGAGAAACTCCAACGAGAATCATGGTCCTCAAAAAACATCTGCCGTCTTAATAGATACAGAGACCATGCAGACAACAGTTACTCCATTGGAATCGCCTGCACCAGGTTCTGTTGCAGAGATGGATGGCAAGGCTACTTCTGGTTCTGTCATGGAGGTGGAAGCCAAAGTTCCCCTACTTTCTGCCGTGGAGTTCGAAGTCAAAGATACTCAAGCTATTATCTTGGATGTTAAAGTCAAATCCCCTTCAGTTTTGGTTACAGAAGTGGAAGTAAAAGCCACTCCAGATACCCCACATTCCGCCATGGAGGTGGAAGTCGAAGTTGCAGCTCAGAAAAACGGGCAGTCACCAAGACGAGAAAGTCAGACAACAGAACATATTGCAAGCATAGCCTCGGAGATGACTACTGCAGAGGAGAACAAAGGGCAAATCAAATTACCACTTCCCTCCATTGCTACTGTTATGGAATCCAATGCTTCTGCAATTGCAAATAATGTAGCCCCAGTAAAAGAAAGCGAAGAAGACACACCAACAAAAACTATTCCAGTACCAATAAACAAGCCCACGGTTAAAGATGAACATGTGGAAGATGTTCAAATAGTCGTACATAAATCTGAGACTCAGAATATTGACACTCAAGCCACAATGGGCAATGCCAATGATAAGCCTGCTTTAAAAGAAGAAGGTGAGGTCAGAACTGAAATGAGCCCAAAGTCTAAGCAGATCGAGAGTGTAGTAGATAACATTGCACCTGTACAGTCACAAACGGAGGCTGATGGCTCCATGTCATCACAAACTTTTTCTTCTCCATCGAAAGTGTCTGTTCGAGATGATGATTTGGCTGCAAATGAGCCAGAATGTGAAGAATCCCGACTAGAATTTGTTTGCCACTTTTGCCACAAAGCGTGCAGAGGCCGTTATCTGGTGCCCCACGCCATGTTTCACTATCGCAAAGACGAATGCATGTTTTGCGGGGTCGCGTTCAAAAACAACCTCAAAGCTATGATTCACCTGTCCAATCACCTCGAGAAGCTGAAAAAACTACAAAACCCCACCGCCGCCACGTCACCGGACAAATCCATGACAAAAGACAAAACGGAGAAAGCAAAAACCTCAAGCAAAACCAAAGCTGTATTCAATGTGAATAAAGTAAGGCAAAAGAAACCCATTCCACCAGTCCGAAAATTAAGATCTGGCTATACATTTAGACACATGACCAAACAAGAGCAAAGCAAGGACTTGAGAACGAAAGCAATGCATAAGATTAATGGTCATATTGGAAAAGGGAAAGAAAACGACAGAAGTCTAATAACAAAAACCAGGCTGCGACGTCGAAGTCATGAGATCCATAAAGATCTTGGTGGGGAGGGTACTGGGTCTGTGCCTATTAAAATGGAGAAAGGGGATATGCCTTCTGAAGCAGAAAATAAAGAAAAGAGAATGTCTAAAGTAAACATACAAATGGAAAGAAACAATGATTCTAAGGACAAATTTCACTGCCCTGTGGACGGATGCACATGGCTCACTGTCAAAAATCAAGTTGCGCTTTTTGTGTACCACGCGTTGGATGACCATTACTCCGACCAAAGACCCCTGGAGTTGGCCTTCAGCAAAACCAACAACAAGTGTAGCATTTGTAAGCGCGTATTGTACAGCTTTGAGCATTTTCAGCATCACGTAGAAAGGCACAGATTCTCTCCACGACATCCTTGTCCGCATAAGGGCTGCACGGCCAGGTTTAAAACAACATTTGAGATGAGAAGGCACGCCAGAAAGCACAGCCCGTTACAGGCCATGTGTTGTCTCCCCGGCTGTCCCAAGCTCTTCATATGTCTGTGGCAACTCATTCTGCACGAGAAGGACCACTACTCTAACAGGCCCAAAGCAATGCAAAAAGACCAGCCAGAGAAGAAGCGGAAAGATCAAACCATAGAGTCAACCGATGCAAATAAAAAGGTTTCTTCCATCTCCATCTGCAAATCCACGGGTAGACATAAGACAAAAGATCCCATGCTTTCAAAGAAGAAGTTATCCGCACAGTCTGCCGTTGCTTCAAGGCTTTTGCAAAGGTTAAGAAAAAGGCAACTGGTCAAAAACAGCCAAGTAACTCACAAAATGGTGTCTTCTGCTGGAAAATCAAATGATAAACTCAGTCACTCGTTACAAAGGGACAAGAAATCAGACGGTAGTAAAGACTCAAGACCCCCAAAGAACTCCCATAATGAAAATATTCGGCCACAGAAGTCAAAAATGATAATCCATTCTAGAAAAGAGAAAAATACATTGAAAATCCACACTAGACCCAAAGAGACTGTGAAGAGAAAAGGCGATTTTCCAAGCTCTGAAAGAACGAAACCTACTGGCAAGGCTAAGAAAGTGACAAATGTGAATGTAGCTACCACAGATACAAATGACAAGCTGGCAACACGACACACAAATGCTGAATTAGTTGCCGAAAATATGAGGAAAACAAAAAATGATTCTGCATTATGTGAACTCGGCGCAAAAGACGTCCCAAATACAATATCTACAGATGCTATGAATGCAATGCTGGCTGGAAAGCTCACGGAAATCAAAAATTCCAACATGGCTGTCCCGGTTTTCTCTTCCTATCCCCCCATTCTTGGAGAAATTGTAGCATCTCCACAGCATGCAGGGGAACCACAGTCAACGGTTAAAAACACTGACAGCACAACAGAGACGTCACACAGAACAGAAGTTTTGCACATTTCAAATCAAGTGAGCGCACTGACTGAAATGCCAGAGACTGCATTTGAAATTATGAGAAAGCATGAGCAACGGGCTGCAAATTTGGAAAGTAGAGATACGGCAGCATGCGACATCACAGACATGGAAGAAATGAAAGATGCTGAGATTACAGTAAACGAAGGGAGCTCCATGGAGATCCTATCCCAAAATGCAATTGAGTCTTCACCGTTCAGCGCATCCAGCAGTCCAAATGAAAGTCCAAATGTAAAGAGAAATAGGCCATCATTGGGCAACAAAAACGAAATCTTATCTGGACTGAAATCCTTAGTCAAATCCAAAAAGGATAAAATTGAGAACGAGGATAAAGACAGTGGTTTAAAAAGGAAAAATGAGCTCTCTGAATCTGTGTCTAAAAAGTTGAAATTTGAAAGTCAAAAGCAGGAGGAAGCGGAAACATTGGGAGAAACTAGTTCCGAAAGTGATGGAAAAGTACAAATGACAGATTCTACACCTGTTGCCAATGACGTCAACAAAACAAACAAGATAGAAAAAGCTGGAAGGAAAAATAAAGTGGATGTCAAAGTTAAGTCTAGTTTAGTCAAACCAATGGTGAAGCAACAAAAGAAAACAGTGAAGCAACCTAAAAGTACAACAACAAAAGAGCAACCTCATAAGAAAATGAGAAAACCAGACACTAAAATTCTCAAGCCAAAACCAGCAACTCTTAAAATTGTTAATATTGTATCAAAAACGTCGACTCGTCCTGAAGTGTCCCAGTCCAGCTCCAGTGAAGTCAATGGTGGCCCAATATTCAAGGCAGGAAACCATTCAGAGCACAATAGTGGAAATCCTGCAAAGAGAAAATCTTCGAACAAAGAACTTACACCAAAAATCCCCGGTGAGGAGCAAGGCGAGACCTGCTTAAAAGACACTCGCATCTACAACTGGACGGCCGTGAGTGCGCCGGTGGAGCCGGAGAGTCCTCTGGCCACGTTTGAGAAAGCTCTGAGCGAATACAAGAAGAAACCATACATGCGTCTTCCTGCCACCGCTTACCTAGAGGAGCGCTTCACTGTCATGCCCAAACGCCGAAAAGACCTGTCCATGTTTATCGGAGCGTGCAAGAAAGTGCCCAAGAAGCCCGAAGCCACGCCGCCGGTACCACCGCCGCCGCCGCAGAGACAGCGCTGTACCAAGTGCTTCAGCACCTTCAGCAGCGACCAGGAGCTGCAGAGGCATGTCAAACAGACCTGCTCCAGCCTCTTTGGATTTGACTCTGATGAGGAAGGTGAGTGTCCGCAATAAATCCTTAGTCGAGCTAGGGCAGGGCGATGTGGGGAAAAAGTAAAATCTCGATTGATTTCCTGCTTTGGACGATTTTGATTTTAAATTCCATCCATTTTCTACCCCTTAATCCATTTCTGGGTCGGGGGGGTCACATAGCACCAGCCCTTCACTGATCCTCTGCAGGTGGTGAGTCCACATGAGTGTCTTGCCCAAGGACACAACGACAGCAGACATCAGTGGGAGTTGGTGGAGAAGGTTTAAATTGATTTTCGTTAAAAGTCACCGAAGACAGACTTTGCCCTTAAAATATTTTTTGATCTTTCCGCTCAATATTCAAGTTACAAAACAATTTTTAATTTGTTTCCCCCAATTCGTATTATAAAAGTCTTGTACAAACTGTGCTGATATTGCAAGTATAATTCATGTGCTGCTGGAACTCTCACAATATCCTTCATTCGATTTCACAATTGTCAAATTTTTCACAAATTTGATTTGTTTTTTTTCAAAAGCAGATTAATTGCCTAAATATGATATAGTGCCCAGCCCTAACTCGAGCCTATTCCAGGGGTGCAGCTTTTAGTTCCAATCCGAGCGGGAGCACACCAGACTCCACCCATTTCCTCAGATGAATCCAATATTAACCTGAAGATTTTCCTGGAAATAAAACCTTCAAATGAACTTTCTGGAACTGGTTGGACACCCCTGACCTGTTCTTAGTAATAGGTAGTAATATCTCATGCCACGATGTGATCTTGTGAGATTTCCATTGTTTTGTGTGATTGGACAAAAAAATAATTCAGTGCTGAGGTAGTGCTTTTATCTTCATGTTCTTCTCTCTGGATGACACAGCTGTTGGTTCGGCAACACGTTTTTTTCAATGATTCTGAAGATTTAATTATAAAGCCTGTGATCTATCTGTAGTTGGAGTCGTCCCACAGTGGGGAGATTTCAGTGTTGGATCACCAGGACAGTAGGAATGAGAAGCACAGATACATAAGCAATAACTCCACACTAAAATAAAATAAAATCTATAAAGCAAAACATCTCAAACTTTAGCATCAAACCCAATGTTACTTGAAAAATATGTTTTAATTCATTAATTTTGTCTTCGCTCAGGTGCCAGTTGAATGTTTTCTGAAATATGGATAAAAGGAACTTTGGCATGGCGGATTTCAGCTTCCTACGTGAACTCCCCCTCGAAGAGCAGTGGTAATTATTTCGGGGGTTTTAAGAAAAAGTCGGAAGGGGCTGCTGAAAATGGGATCTGTGTGAGACTACTGAACGGCCCCAGTGCTGAAGTGCCTGCTCTGGACCTGCCTCTGTCCAGCTGCTTCACAGGGATTTTGTGCGGACTAAAGCTGTGAAAAGACACCGACTGCTCCTTCTATCACTGGGATTATATTTTTGCATTTGTAAGCCATAAAATTATTTGTATTCTTTGCACTCTTTTTGTTCCTTATAACATCATCTCGTCTTTTATGCCTGCTCTTGCTTAAAACGTTCACTGTTGAGATTGATTCTAACTTTGGTTGCATTGTCTTAATGAAAGTTTTTAACATATTATATCAAATGCTTATTGTATGTTGCAGCGGTGCCTGGGTTCAAGGGACAGTTTTCTTGTTGGTCCAGTAGGGGGCGAACCTCACATGTCTTTGATGGATTTTTCATCATTTACAATTCTAAACATGTATTTATTACTGTATTCATGTAGAATGTTTTTCATTTATATTACCAACATATGGGCCCCATGCTCTTTTGCTAATTAAAAATTTTATGGAACAGTCACAAGTCAGAGAAAACTACATTTTATCTCAATTGATGTGTCTTGAGACTATAGCAGCATAGATTTACAGACTTGGCATCTTAAAGCGCCATATTTTGTAAGTATTACTTGGAAAAAGGCCACGTCAGATGGAAGAACAAGTTATATTTATTTGTATTTTACTTTCAATCTTTTGTAAATATTTGAAGAGTTTCAATAGCTTACACTGTAAAGGGTGTTTGCGTTGGGTTTATATTTCGGTCTTAAAACCTAAAAAATAAAATCTGAAAACCATTTTGTGTTCTGACTTTAGTCACGGCAAAGTAAATGAATGTTTATCCTAATTGGTCTTAAACCTTGTCTTCACTTGCATACTGTTGTAATAATATGATGATTTGCAGTAGTGAAATCCCAGGTGCACTCAGAAGACCTTGGTATTTATGCCTCGTGGCCTGAGGCGGCGCACGTCTAAACCTTAGTTATGTGCGAAAGAATCTGCATGTCATGGATGAAGTAGTTTAAAGAAGGATAATTTCCAGTTACTTGACTTGAGGTGTTGATGTGTCAATGATATTCATTACCAGAACATGGTAAAAGACAGACACTGGTACTGTTTTATTGTAGCAGACAAAAAGGTTGTGGAGGAGGGGGCCTGAAACCAGAGACCATGAGAATATTGCACAGGTGTGTGTGCACTTTACAAACAAGCCCACGTTTCTGTTTCCACTGGATTACGCACAAGCTTTTGCTCCAGTCTCAAACCAACCACCTTCTTAAATGAGGGGGAAGTGGAGTCATTTGTAAAAATAGTCTTAAAATAAAATAAACAATTTCTAGGATCAATGGCCGCCAAATATATTATTTTGGTTATTTCCCGATTGTAACTTAAGACGATCAGTGTTAGTGGTCTCCTCTTGAATAAAAACGAGGCCCTCTCCTGTGTTATGAAATGTTATTTTAGCCTCACACTTCACATGTAGTAACAATAACCTTGTGATGGCAGAAACTGACATCAAGCAACAAATCATCTTTACAAAGCAGAGGTTTGGTTTCCATTAAATACAGCATTTCACAATCAATATAAATACATAAATTAGTAAAATGGATTGTACCTTGATATAAAGGTACATAGTTGATGATCACAGGCCAGTAAAAGCAGCATCAGCAAGATACAACTGCATTGTGCTTGAAATGTGGACAATTCTTTAGTCTCCTTCAGAACTTGGACAATATAGCTTCAAAACATTATGGGCCGCACACACTTTATGTGAACACAGGACAAAAGTGACACCATGTTCCATGTCTTGTGAATACATCCTTCACTCGCAGATTTCTCATTTGCCGTGGCCTGGAGCGTATTTAATGGCGTCTGGTGAGTATGGAGCTTCCTCTGTCATTATGTTATTCCACTTTCCGTTTCGCGCTGCCATGGGGGCTTATGGTCCTGCTCCAACACGCCAGCTGGGAGCCTCCTGTGATTGGCCGTGCCCAGCACCTTGTCATGGCGTCACCGCCCTCACGCTTCCCCCGGTGCTGCAGTCAGCACTGTGGTATCTGCACCGGGCACAGAGCCAAGTGCATCAAATATCTGTCTTTCCCAGGAAGATCTAATCTATGTATTTCTTTCCGGGTAACTCTGCAGTGGCATCTCCAGTGCTCTGTGATTGGCTAGTTCCACTCTGGCCTCATGTAGTTGGGGATGCACTGGCAGACTTGATGGCTGTAGTAAAATCCTGCCTGGCACACGCGCCTGGGCTTTCTGCACGGGAGTCTGTAACAACTGGACAACAAACACACACTTCAGCTCATGGGAACATTCTCAGAAGATCATCTCTTAGGGATCATAAATGACAACTTTAGCTGACTCTTAAGTTGGGCTGCAGCTAATGATTATTAATTATTCTTTTATTATCAGGCATTCCATTGATTTTTACTTTCCTAATCCATAACTATCAGTAACTGCTTGTTTTTTCTATTTATATTTAAAATACACTAAGCATTAAATACTTACACAAAGTTAATGTAAAACCTTTTAAAAAGATAAATCAGATTCAGAAACAAACTAAAATGAGTTATCTGTGCTTGATTCAATGTGATGTGGAATTTCATATTGGTTTGAGTCGTTATCTAAATCAACCAGTTAATTAAGGCCAAAAGAATAGATCAATTCATTCAATTAACGTTTTATTCCTACTTCTAATTGGTGACGTCACTATTTAACATTTTCAAACCTATATAAACTTGACGATAGATACTAATCTAAACTCCACAGTGAAGACATAGACAATAGACTATCCTACAGTCGTCATTTGTGCTGAAACAACCGTCCTTTACAGAAATAATATTAAAAATAAAATATTGTCCTAACCTTTTTGAACCACAATCTTTTATATTTCTTATGAGATCAAAATTATTTATAAAAATCAAATGTATATTAAAAAAAGTTTTTATTTCAATATTGATACTTGCTGAAATCAGTTTTAGAATCAATATCTGATATCTAATTGTTTTGGGTTTTATAAAGTAGTGGAAGCTGATGGATGTCTGGGTTCCAAGCCCAAAAGATGATAAACAACTATTATAAGATATTCACCTCAATAATAAGGACAGGACAATGTACTAACATACTAGTATTTGTACTTATAGAATGTCATGGAAGGCATTGGAACGCACAGTCTAGTCCCATATTCTGATGTTGAACTCTCCCACATTTGAAACTATGTTTGGGTGAAAAGGGAGTTCTGTGTCAGTGGATCTCGTCTTTTCACATCATCAGTCTCTTATATGGCTGCGCTGCTACTACTGTCACCAAGTTCACTCTGCAGGACTCTGAGGTCACTGCACGCTGCCTGTGGGAACCGCAACACGCATGAAATGTGCACACATGGGTACATTTAGAAAGCCAAATCTCCATAAAAGGCTGGGAGACCAAAGCAGACGGAAAAGTAAGTAGATATACTTTGACTGTGGAATGTTTGATATGTCCATTGAGAGTTCTGAATGCAACAACTTCTCTTTTTAGCTTCATTACATATGTACCGGGCAAGTGACTGTGACGACTTCTGACAAACATCATAAATGTAATTTCAGGTTTCTATAAAAGAATCATCTTTGAACTCTGCCCTTTAGAATGAAAAGTTCAAGTGTTTCCTGGCCTGGGTAGTACAGCACTGGTAAAAAGAGTTTGATATAAAACCTACTTAAACACATTGACTTAAACTACAGCCCCACCTGCAGGTGTTGGGGTTGAACCTCTTGCCTTGCCGTAGACACGTCTGTATGCTCTCTCTGCACTGACACAGGCACGTGTCAGGGTTTAAGGGCTGGTTCCCGGGACAAGTGGTATCACACACACAGCCACACAAATCCTCGTCCCATCTTTGTCCAGGAGGGCACCACTTTCCCTCTTCTGGACCTTCACACTGACATTCACCTGTTTAAAACACATACTTAATGAATGATATAATCACAGGTGACCACAAGGCTCATGAATGCCTTACAGGTGTCATGGTCCAGTTTCCAGCCCAGGTCGCAGCTAGCTTCAGTCAGGCCATTTCTACACACACACTCACAGGTCGACTGCTCCAGAACTCTGTTTGGTCCACACAGAGCCAGCAAGCTGGAGTCGAGAGCCTCTGTACAGGTTTGAAAACACGTAGTCACATTTTATGGTTTTATGTTCCAATATAAGATAAGATAAGATCTCACAATGGAGAGATGTACATGTCCAAAATATATGTCCAAACCATTGTATAAAGTAGACGGACAAAAGCATGTTTCTCATTACCAGCTTCTCGTTGGGAGTAGTTGATTGTGTCCATAGAAACACACATGCAGCTGACGGGGTCCCATAATGAGCCTGCAGCACAGGGAATGTCAGGTGGAGAACACCTACAAACAAATAGAAGTAAAACATAAAAGCTCAAAATATAAATGAACCCCCACTTCCTGGACCAGCTACTCACAAGTGGTCTGTGGCTCGTCTTATGATACTGTGCAGGGGTCTTTTGGATAAGCATTCACATGAAGTGTGGTTGACAAAGGTTACCATGACAACAGTCCTTTCCATGCGGGGTGGGGTCAGCTCCATCAGCTAAAAAGAAGAAATGTTCAGTAATTGTGCGGCTTTTGTTTATTATGTACTCACTATGGATTAAAATCTGTTTTTCATTTCTCTTTTTACTAGGAGCCAATTTGCAGTATTTACTGTAGGCCAACGCATGACATTATGATTAGGATGACAGCCAAATGCATGCTTATTTCAAAGGCTGTGCAGTCAATGATGATATGATGTAGTAACAAGCAGAGATGACTCACTGTCTTATTGACCAGAGAGTGGCTGGTGTTGGTGCAGTAGGAGGCCTCGGTGTTGCAGCATCCTCCACAGCGGTGCACAGCCACACAGCGGGGGAGGTACAGCTGAGTCGTGGAGTCTGGATATTCTTTGGAAACTTCAACACACACTTCTCTAGGCTGACATGATGTCCTCTGGATCTCTTCAAGGATGACTACAAGAGAAACATGTTGTAGCAGCCCACACTGAGGATGTGATTCATATTGATGTATTGATGTTACCTCCCAAAGTTCCGTCAAATTTATAAACCGCTTCTGAACGCCACAGATCTTCATCATCAGACAGTGGAGGCACAGCGGAGGAAAAGGATGAAGGCCACGGCCTCTTCCTCAGACACTGCTGCAGCAGACTGTACTCCGGGAGCAGGAGACGGAGCAGCTCGTCCACACTGTTCACGGAGCTGAAGTCCGCTTCAGTCACAGGGCTCTGCAGGAAACACGTGTAGGTGACCTTTACACATCACATCTTTACACAGTGTTATTCTCATTGCTTCTATAAACACTTTCATTCAATCACTTAATCTTCGCAGTGAATCAAAACAAGCCTTTTTACGAGTAAAACCAGCGTAAAACTCCTTTAAAAATGTTAGAATATTCTAATTACTGATTCATTAACTAAAAGAAAAAAAAACATTACAAAGTAGTATAACAGATTCACGTGCATGTACCACGTGCCTCTCACGTGGAGCCTAGCTTGTAGCCTGTAGCCTGTAGCTTGTAGCCTGTAGCCTGTAGCAGAGACGCTAGTTTCTATCGCTTATACCTGGCACATCATAAACGTTTTTGTCATATCAGCTTGTTTTTCACAAGCTCAGATAAGTATTTTTTCATTATAAATATCAGTTTTTAGAACAAAGTGTTGAACTAGAGACTGGAGGTCTTGTTTGTTTCATTCTTATCATTCCATAAAACTTCTTTTCAGTCATAATTAATACAAATTAGACTCTAGATCACTTCTTATAATATTTGACATGTTAAATATGAAGTGGCCTAAAGGTTTAATTAGGTGTTTGTCTGATTAACCCATTACAATTGTGACATCACATTATCGATATGATTAAGAATGACCTAATTCCTAAAAGAAGAACGACTAGTAATGGAGAAATAGAGAACAACACTAATTAACAATTAATAAAGACATGGACAATTATATAAATGTTTTAGAAATATAGCAGCTACTCATATTGTAATTTTTGTGTGCTCTTACTACTATCCTGTATGTGTGCTACAACATTGAAATGAAGGATGTCTTATCTTTACTGCTCAGTGGAGGATGTTGTTTTGAACAGGTGCCCTCAACAGGAGCCTTCTTCAATCTCCATAAACCTGACTCAAATGTGACCTGGTGTTCTCTCAAATGTTAAAGATTCCAATGGAAACATGCCGGTGAGAGACCACCTCAGAGACAGCAGCATCAGGAGATCTCTCAGGAGACCCCAGACCCAGGGCCCCAGTGTTCACAAGGCCATTTGGATATTTGAGATTGAGATGCTATTTTTGATGGTCCATCCACATAAGTGTCCTGGCCATAGACTGTAAACATTAACTTCTGGCTTTTATGGAGCTACATTCATTTAACGAGTGCCTTCTGAAGTCCACAGCGGCTAAACTAGAGTGGTCCAAAAACAATATACGCTCCTCAGCATTGACACGCATCTGGAACGTAGTTTTTGCCCAAGAGCAACTTTTGGACCATCCTATAAAGCCATTTTCCTGGTTCTGCGGAGTGGACAAGATCCCACAATGCTTTTCGCCAAATACGCGTGTGTGGCTCTCATGCATGTGCACAGAGGGCAGTGTTCTGGCCAATCAGAGCTGCTGATCAGAGCGGAGATAGAGCAGGAGGAAAACCAGCAGTTTGTTGCACTAAAGTGTGGATTTATAGAAAACCAAAGGATTTAAGAAGAAAAAAAAGTTCAGGATGACAAGGGACACTTAAATCCCAATGAAATCCGACCTTCAGAGAAGCTGCAGGTTCTCTGTCAGCTGAGGTCGAGCAGTCTGAGTTTATAATGTGCTCTATGGGAAAATGTCTGGATAGCCCACCTGAATTTTGTCTGGTTTAGTCTGCAGTACCCTTGAGAATCCCCCGAGCACATGGATCCTTCAGCTCCAAGCAAGTATACCCTTTCCAGATATTATAATAGATCGTTGGTCCTGACTCACTATCTTCTTTGATTTCAGGGTGTAAACAGCCATCCTCCATGATGTCATTGCTGTGGGACAATGAGGTAATGATGGACAGGGGTGTGTCTGTCAGATGTTACTGGCAAAAGCTACACACCCACAATCACACGAACACTCAGCTGTCACCGAATAGACTGATGTTTTATCACACCACTACACTCGTACTACACACATGACCATTTAGCTGTAATAACATCGCCGTCTGCGGATGAAACTCCACATTCATGAATTATTTATCCAATAGATTTTATCTCCTGTTCCATTTGAGTGAATGAAAATGTGGTTTCTCCTCCACCTGTGCCTTGTTCATTAAATCAGACAACAATAGGGAATGTGAATCTTGTCATAATAGTGGGACTGTTTACAATGTGATCTCAGAGTCTTATGTCCCAGTATTGGAAATCAAACGTAACAAATTCCAAACGATTATAGACAGCCATCTAATTTTCATTAATAAACCACGTCCTTTGAGTCAATCATTCAGTCATCAGTTAAGCAACACTTGATGAGATACTTTCCCGTCAACCGAGGCAAGTCCCATTATTCTAAACAAACAACAAAGCCTAGAATTATGTACTGTGATGTGAGTGATGTTTTTATATTACAAAACCTTATCATTACAGTTATATATTTCTTAAGCAGACAAACTAATCCAGGAGGTTTTACACCACTTTTCATAAGCTTGACATAAACCCACCTGTTTTGTATACAGGCAAAGTCAAATACCAATGTTTCTCTAAGTCATCATTAATACGTAGCTTCTTCTAATCTGTAGGTTTGAGAGCTTTTGGAGAATCCGTCGGAGAACCCCATCCACTGAGATGTAGGCTCAGGCTTTCACAGGTAACAATTCATTTCACTTTACACAAACAACATTTAATTGACTGAATAAACGTCTCACCTCTGTGCCCGTGTCCCCCGCCTGATTATAGTCTGTATAGTCTTGTCCGAAGCACAAGTGGCTGCTGTTAAGGATCCATAGGAGCAAGGCTGGTATCCACATAGTGAGCTGATGGAAGTGAATGGGATTACTGATGCGTGGAACATACGGGAACGGCAGCAGCAGAGAGTGAGGTGGAAGCAGGGAGGAGTGGTGGTGGGGTATCTCAGACCGGGCACATATCCGCTTGGCTCCTCTCTTCATTCTACCCTGGGACAAAGTTGCTCTTCCGACGCTGGCCGTTTGCGTTCGGGAACAGCGCTGAATAAAACATGTTGGGTGAATGGTGTCTTTGGTATCGAAACAGACGCGTTTTTCTTAGGAGCAGCTACTTCCTTTGCCTTTGCCGTGCGTGCATCGTCTCAGTTGCTTTGTAGGTCAGGTGTCTGGCTTCAAAAAGGGGCGCAGAAGTAGCCGGTTGTATTTTCTTGAATCGTGGATGCCTTGCGTCTGTCCTTGACCTGAAACTGAATCTATTTCTAATCCTTAACTTATCCCCTTGTCTCCTTGTCCTTCAAACATGCGCTCGTCCTTGCCTGCTTTATCTATATTGTTACTTCTCATGCACTAAGCCAATCTCTGTGGAACGAATGGCTGGTTTTGAAAGAACTCCTGTTTCTCTGGCTCCTAAATCTGTCAAAACTTTTCCTCTTGGACTCACAAAGCACTGCAGAGAAAAATAAAAGGCTTATCCCAAATCCCTCAAGAGTTGCAAAATCTTGTCTGGGTATATTTCAGTCTAAAACATGTGGTTGGAGGAGTGTGTCTTGTCTGCGTCCTGTCTGGTGAATGAGGAAAAAAAATACACAAATGGATGGGTTGTACCAAGTTGTGGGTGGGGTTACAGGATTTGTGCATCTTTAGTTGGAGATATGGGCTCATTTCTCAGTGTGTCATTGTGCAGGCTATAGTTTGTGTACGATTCGATGTCTATAGTTACAGTGGAGATGCTTTAGCCATTTCTCTTTTCATTCGTTATTTGATTCAGCTCACATTAACAGCGTTTACCAAACTTGTTCACCTAGGAGCTAACGTGACATACCTGCCTAACTATGCCCAGAGGCTTTATGGCTTTTTTGTCCCACAGGAAGATGGTAAAAAAGCTCAAATCTAATTCTCTCCTGGGACAAGGAATGCACTGGGAACACTAAAGTGAATAAGGGAGGAAGGCTGTTCTCAGTGGGAGAGAAAGGTGTGTCTGGGAAATGGTTGAATGAGAATAAATCCAATTTGTGAGCCAGTCACGGCCAGCCGCGCCGAGGATTAAAGACGCACGGCCTACTCTCACATGGTGGCAAGTGCCTGCATGCACTACGCTTTAAGTGAAATCCAAATTCCGCATTCCACTCATTGCTTTCCCCATTTCATCATGTGAACCGAATGACCATGAAAGTGGAAGTCTTCATGGATTGGTGATCGAAACGACATTTCCTATTCAGATCAGAATGTTTTTTTTGTAAAATCCCATTTACAATTCAAGTCTCCCATTATTTAATTCAATCACACAAATGATTAAAATAGTTTAAGCAAATAAAGTGTGTAACATGCACTATTCTGTAGGGTTAAACATAAAAACATGTTTTCATTCTCCTTTTAATGAATGAAATCACACATTTTTAAATTGTGAATCAGTGAGTATTCAAATATTGGATGTTGCATGAACGTTGAGAGATGGGTTTAGTGCAGTTCAAGTGCAGCTTTGTGAAGACTGTCCTTGTTCAGAGTCTGGCAGAGAACATAAGAGTGTGATTGTGACCTGTGGAAACACTTTCCAAAATGAAAGTGTCCTTATTTCAAAAAGCGACCGTCTATGGACCTGCTGCAGTCGTCTCTGCCGATGTAAATGTGTATATCTGTTTTAATCAGATTGTGTAAAACAATTCAAATATGAGTATGCAGAGGAATAACTGAGGAAAAAATCATTTCGTTTGGAGAAGACTTCAAACGGATTTGAATTTTGGGTGCTTTATCCTGTTATCTGTTCACTGTTTTCAAAACCCACATTATTTTAAACAATTAAAACATGGGATACAGTTCTAAGACATTCAGCATCGTGATCACAACTAATTAATGGGAAGTTTGTCTAGCACTGTCTCTCAGAGTTGTAATTAAAACATAGTATTAATATCCAGTTGTAATTTCATGATGTTAATAACTTTCTCTGCACAAGAAGAAAGTGGTTTTGACATATTACCGGTCTTGAGATAAAATCATTAGAATTACAACCAAATATACAGTAACACTGCACCAAATCTGAATCTACAGAAATATAAACTTGAAATATGGTTGCAAATCATAAGTGTTGAAGAAAAGAATGAGTGGGTTTCAGAGTAAATCTACAGGTTTAAGGGAAGATTTCTTTTTGACAGAGACATAAATTGGATTTATAACATCAAACATGATGTTGTTTTTTATATATTGTTTATCATTCATACAAAAGAATCATGATCTTTCTCTTTGGTTCTTTAGGTCAAATAAGAACGCTGTGTATTTTGGCGCACTATGAAATATGAGGTCAGTGAACAGACATTACATAATATTTTGGTCAAACTAAAACAAATCTAAAAAGTGCTGTTTCTGGAGTGCGGCTGTAGGATCCTGAATGTTATTATAAGTCTCACCGCTTTTCTAAACCAGGGATAAAACATGGCATAAATTAGCGGATTCATGCATGAGTTCAGCATCATGATCCAGGACAGAATAGAAAAGTAGGATAAGTTATTCGACAGTTCAACCCCAGCAATAGCGGGATAGTAGTACGGACAGAAGCAAATGAGAAAGACAAGGATCACAACACCCAGAGTGCGGGCCGCCTTCTTCTCCGAGGCCTGGACCACGGTCACCACAGAGGCCTTTGTGGTGGAAGTGGTTCTCAAGCGAATGGCACGAGCCTGAGAGACGGCGACGACAAACACTCGAAAGTACAAGACAATCATGACAGTGCACGGGCCCACACACGTGACAAAGAGGTCGACCGTGCCCGCGGCGTGGCTGATGACCACCACGCACTCGCCATGGCAGGTGCTGTAGCGCTCGGGCCGGCTCAGGTGTCCTATCAGAATACAGCCGTTATAGAGCAGAGAGCAGGCCCAGCACAGACAGATGAGCACCCGCATCCGGTTCACGCTCACTTTGGACGAGTAGAGCAGCGGGTCGCAGATGGCCAGGTAGCGGTCTATGGAGATCAGCACCATGCTTCCTAAAGAGGCCGAGAGCAGGCAGTAGGACACATACGGGGTCAGAGCACACAGCAGCCTGCCCAGCACCCAGCACATCTCCATGTGTCTCACCCCCTCTACAGGCATCACCAGCAGCCCCACCACCAGGTCGGACAGAGCCAGCGACTGCAGCAGGGCGTTGGTGGGAGTCTGCAGCTGCCTGAAGTAAGAGATGGCGACGATGACGAGCAGATTGAGACACACGGTGAGCAGAGAGATGAAGGCCAGGAGAGAGTAGAGGAGCACTGTGGAGGAGTGAGGCTGCTGCAGACGCCTGCATGAGCTGGTCAAGTGAGGGAAGCACCAGGACCACACCTCAGCCTCCTCCATCAGGGACACAGCACGAGCAAACCTCACTATAGTCACGGTATTTATCCTCTGATCAGCCACACTCACCCCTCCCTCTGAAGACTATGATGCAATTGTTGTAAATAATTTGAATATTAACACATTGGAAGGACTGACTGGGATGTGGTTGCAGCATGAGTGTATTAGATTGATGCTCCAGATAACAGAGATAAGAATCTGAGCCTCATATAACCCTACAATAATAACCACATGTCAAGTCACCTTAAGTCTGAGATAAAAGACAGCATTCACTCACAGTATGAAGGCTGGGATTTGAACTGTCAAACTAAAACAAGTGAATTGTTGGTTGCATTAGAATGACCTGAACAGCTTTGGTCTTATGCATAGAACAGTCAGGAGTATATTTATCAAATAGTGCAATTTAAAAGGTTTTGTTCTATCTGCATGTGGTTCTTTCATGTCGAGGGGGCGCTAATCGCTTTTGCACACAGACATTGATAAATATACTGTTTTAACTTGCTGTCTTGTTTAATGTAAGGGCTTGATCTGACTATATTTATGCCTTATGCAGGAGCAGTAAGTTTGGAGAATGTGGAAAGACAGTGAACGCTCAGAACATTTATACACGTTTATTTTGTCTTGTTCTGTCATCATTACAACACACTCAGTATTTGTACTTTTTGATGAACACAACAGTCATGAAATAATAAAAACAACAACATATAAAGCCATAGAAGAACTTTGTGACAACTGGAGGCATTAACAACATTAGACTATTGTAATTCATACAAATGCAGATTGCTTTTATAATGCATCAGTGATTAAAGCTGGGGTGCCTGACTTTCAAACCACAACCAAATTTAGCTTTGTGATTAAATCCATCAAACGACAAAATCATTCACTTCTGTATTTCCACTTACAAAATGAAACGAATGTACGACAGACTCAGAACACGCAAAAAGAAACATCTTCTATTTGTTATAATGTTAATAACAGCCTCACAGCTTGTAATTTACCATCCCAGAAAATGAGAATATTTTGACAAAAACTAAACTATAATCATCAAAATTATAAAAACAAAAGCTTGGCATATGTCACGTTGAATATAATGAATCTATATCATAATTTAGATTTTTATTTTGAGTTGAATCACAGAAATAAATGAACTTCTGAACAATATTCTGATTTTTCTAATTTTCACCTGTAGCTTTCTCATTCTCTAAACCGTTTTCTACAATCTCTAGTTTTCACATGCATGTTTTATTTTTTGCCTCGGCCACATTTTAACATAGACTTTTCCAAATAGAGATCCCATTGTGTCAAATAGTGTCTGACAGGGTTTTCCTACAATATGCTAAAGCTAAGGTGTTCACAACATTTGACTTTAGCGACACATATTTCTCATTAGACAAACGACATGTATTATAATGAAAGAAGAAAAACAAGTTATGCTTAGTTTTAAGTGGAGAACGTCAAACATGTAAAAGAAAGAGGGTGGTGGGACGAGGAGAGATGTATGCTCCAGAATATTGTGAATATGCATAGACTGGAGCAGTAGTTTGTGTGTTAGTACTATGTTATTTGCAGGTATATGTTTCTTACTATGTACAGTTCAACTTGCTTCGAGGAAATCCTTCTCTTACTGAGGGGAAAGAACGAGACCTGATTGGCTGTGGGGGCAAACCAAAAGAAAGCAATGTTGTCATCGTACGTGTGCTCACGACAATACATTTACAGAACCTTTGAGTTGTTTATTATACATTATGGAGCAATGATATTATTTAGAGTCAAAGATTTGGGTATTTAAAAACTGGGTTTACAAATGAAAAGTTGTCTGTTCCGCCTTTGACACATTTTCAAAAGTCTCTATGTTCTCTTTAGTTAATCAGTATGTTGTCCACATGGTAGTTTATCTAAAATTAGAATAGTTCAAATACACTCTGCAAAAAGTTATGAAAAAAATAAGTGAAAAATTGCTCAAATTAAACTAAATATCACATTTTGACTGCTTTAAAACAAGATTTGCCAATGGGACAAAGCAAAATTATTTGTTTTAACACTATACAAGAAATGTCTCCAAAATAGGATTTAAAAAACACTTGATTCAAGCATTTTTTTACTTCATATTTTATAATTTTTTTCAGTGCAGTGAATATTGTTGGAGAAAGACCACTGATTATTCTCATTCTTTTGGCGCCATCTAGAGGATATTGGCATCTTTAGAGTGGGGCTGCATGATTCTTAAGGTGATTATGAGCCTAACTGCTTTTCTAAACCAGGGATAAAACATGGCATAGATCAGAGGGTTCATGCACGAGTTCAGCAGCATGATCCAGGACAAGAGTGCGTAGTAGGAGAGACTAGTGGAAGTGTCCTGACCAGCGATGGCAGGATAGTAATATGGACAGAAGCACATGAGAAACACAGCTATCACGATCCCCAGCGTTCTTGCCGCTTTGGTCTCGGAGCGTTTCACTCTGGGGCCTGTCTCCTGTGCGTTCAAGGTGACTCTGAAGTGCCGAGCTCGGGCCTGAGACACCGCCGCCGCCAACACACGCATGTACAAGATCACCATCACTGTGCAAGGCGTTACAAAGGAGATGAGGAGGTCGACCGTGCCCGCGGCGTGGCTGATGACCACCACGCACTCGCCATGGCTGGTGCTGTAGCGGTCGGGCCGGCTCAGGTGTCCTATCAGAATACAGCCGTTATAGAGCAGAGAGCAGGCCCAGCACAGACAGATGAGCACCCGCACCCGGCTCACGCTCACTTTGGACGAGTAGAGCAGCGGGTCGCAGATGGCCAGGTAGCGGTCTATGGAGATCAGCACCATGTTCCCTAAAGAGGCCGAGAGCAGGCAGTAGGACACATACGGGGTCAGAGCACACAGCAGCCTGCCCAGCACCCAGCACATCTCCATGTGTCTCACCCCCTCTACAGGCATCACCATCAGCCCCACCACCAGTTCGGACAGAGCCAGCGACTGCAGCAGGGCGTTGGTGGGAGTCTGCAGCTGCCTGAAGTAAGAGATGGCGACGATGACGAGCAGATTGAGACACACGGTGAGCAGAGAGATGAAGGCTAGGAGAGAGTAGAGGAGCACTGTGGAGGAGTGAGGCTGCTGCAGACGCCTGCATGAGCTGGTCAAGTGAGGGAAGCACCAGGACCACACCTCAGCCTCCTCCATCAGGGCTCCCTGAGCCACACACAGGGCCACTTTTATCTGCTGTTAAAACCCCCTCAGACTCCCGAGGGAAGACATCAAGACACAAATGATCCTGACTGACCATACTTCATCTTACAGTAGAAGGATAATGTAAATATAAACAAGGTGGTTAGAAAATGACAGAAAACTTTCTAGGCCTCCCTGAGCAAGTGCTCCAGTGAATGTGCTCTTTGGCTCTGTGTGTATTTAAATCTCATATCTACATCCTGTGTTCAGAGAAACGCACTACAAAAGTAAATTGTAACTGTTACAGTGGCACAGCTCCATTCAAGTCAATATGAAATCACATCTTGCTCTTCCCTTTAACCTTTGTGCTAATGTCGAATTGATTCATTGATAACCTGAACATTTTTTTAGAGCTGAATTTAGATTTTTCCTAACTTGAGCAGCTCTTTTAGACCCTAATTTTGTATTTTTCCTCTACTTTTAATCAATGTGAGCACATGTGTATTCAGACCAATGCACATAACCATGCACAATTTAAGTTGTAAAAATCTGCACTTTTGTAATCACTTCAAACTCTTGTAGATTGGACTCTGGTTATATAGTTTTTTGTTGTTTGGAAAATGCTTCATGAATCAAATTTGGGACACCAAGGTAGTGCCTCCGAGACCTGGGCCCCACTTTAGGAAGTTCTGGTTTTAATATATTTACAGTACCTTGCGAAAGTATTCGGCCCCCTTGAACCTTTCAACATTTCAGGCTTCAAACATAAATATATAAAAATAATTTTTTTTGTCAAGAATCAACAACAAGTGGGACACAATCGTGAAGTGGAACAAAATTTATTGGATAATTTAAACTTTTTTAACAGATAAACTGAAAAGTGGGGCGTGCAATATTATTCGGCCCCCTTGCGCTAATACTTTGTAGCGCCACCTTTTGCTGCAATTACAGCCTCAAGTCGCTTGGGGTATGTCTCTATCAGTTTTGCACATCGAGAGACTGGAATTCTTTCCCATTCTTCCTTGCAAAACAGCTCGAGCTCAGTGAGGTTGGATGGAGAGCGTTTGTGAACAGCAGTCTTCAGCTCTTTCCACAGATTCTCGATTGGATTCAGGTCTGGACTTTGACTTGGCCATTCTAACACCTGGATACGTCTATTTGTGAACCATTCCATTGTAGATTTGGCTTTATGTTTTGGATCATTGTCCTGTTGGAAGATAAATCTCCGTCCCAGTCTCAGGTCTTTTGCAGACTCCAACAGGTTTTCTTCCAGAATGGTCCTGTATTTGGCTCCATCCATCTTCCCATCAACTTTAGCCATCTTCCCTGTCCCTGCTGAAGAAAAGCAGGCCCAAAGCATGATGCTGCCACCACCATGTTTGACAGTGGGGATGGTGTGTTCAGGGTGATGAGCTGTGTTGCTTTTACGCCAAACATATTGTTTTGCATTGTGGCCAAAAAGTTTGATTTTGGTTTCATCTGACCAGAGCACCTTCTTCCACATGTTTGGTGTGTCTCCCAGGCGGCTTGTGGCAAACTTTAAACAAGACTTTTTATGGATATCTTTGAGAAATGGCTTTCTTCTTGCCACTCTTCCATAAAGGCCAGATTTGTGCAGTGCACGACTGATTGTTGTCCTATGGACAGACTCTCCCACCTCAGCTGTAGTTATCTGCAGTTCATCCAGAGCGATCATGGGCCTCTTGTCTGCATCTCTGATCAGTCTTCTCCTTGTTTGAGATGAAAGTTTGGAGGGACGACCGGGTCTTGGTAGATTTGCAGTGGTCTGATACTCCTTCCATTTCAATATAATTGCTTGCACAGTGCTCCTTGAGATGTTTAAAGCTTGGAAAATCTTTTTGTATCCAAATCCGGCTTTAAACTTCTCCACAACAGGATCTCGGACCTGCCTGGTGTGTTCCTTTGTCTTCATGGTTCTCTCTGCGCTTTAAACAGAACCCTGAGACTATCAAAGAGCAGGTGCATTTATACGGAGACTTGATTACACACAGGTGCATTCTATTTATCATCATCAGTCATTTAGGACAACATTGGATCATTCAAAGATCCACTATTCACTCGTAAAGTTCATTGAATTGCATTGATGGCTTAATCAGTTACTAAAACAGGGTGGACTCCCACTTTCCATTTCATGAGAGAAATACACAAACTTTATGCTTCATGTAATAGGATTAGAATTTATGAGGTTTTCACATTCTTAAATATGTTTTCACCTCAAAAGTTATTGACACCATTTCAATTCAAATACACAACATTGTTGTCCCTGTAAATAGTGATAATGAGATCCAACTTTCAAACTTCTAATTATATCAACTCTAATGGAAATAAGATTAGATGCATAGAAACTTTGACAGATGTGTTAAAAGTGATTTTCCACTCATCAGTTGCATCATTGTTTTTTTACACCTCAGATTGTGCTGTGCCTCTGAGCTGCAGGTGTCACTGCAGCTGTGCCTCTGAGCTGCAGGTGTCACTGCAGCTGTGCCTCTGAGCTGTGCCTCGGAGCTGCAGGTGTCACTGCAGCTGTGCCTCTGAGCTGTGCCTCGGAGCTGCAGGTGTCACTGCAGCTGTGCCTCTGAGCTGTGCCTCTGAGCTGCAGGTGTCACTGCAGCTGTGGCACTGAAGACACACAAACACTTTAGCCTCATTACTTTGTGTAAACAGCATTTCCTCAGAAGGGTTTTGTTTATTTACACTGGAAACAAGCGATTACAATACACTTGTTTGTATCGGCAATGATTATTAAAATTCTATTGACACTAAACCAATATAATCAAAGTGCATTTCAGTCGCTTTATTGATTCTTTTACAGAGCTTGTCTTTTTTCCTTAGATTTTGGCATTTATACCAAACACAAACATGTCATTTCACAATCAAATGGAAGAGTAAAATCACACTCGACCAACAGTTTTCCCTTTAACTCAGAACACGGTCCCAGGATGAAGAATGAAGGATTTCACACCCTTTATATACATGTAATAAAATACATGTAGTAATGAATATTGTATCCGTGATCATTCTGGCTGTAGACACGACGGGAGACAGGACAGGATGCGTTTCCTGACAGACGGTTCTGCTGCAGACATTTCCAAAGAGCTTCTTCTAAACGCAGCGAAGGGCCTCATGGTCACCGGAGAAGACGTGGCCCACGGCGTCGCTGCGCTGGGGGTCGAATGTTGGCCCGAGAACAGAGTCCAGGGGGGCGAAGTCTGGGTCAAGACATGGACATCTGAGTCAGAGCTGAGAGAAAGTAGAGAGGACTTTAGTGCACTGCCAAAAAAAATGATTCTAAATGAGGTAATAATAGCTTGAAATGTTGTGTATTTTTTCCTTTATTTTAGTACTTTTTGACAGTCTTAAAACAGGATTTGCCAATGGGACAAAGCCATTTACTTCCAAGGGTGCCATTTCTTGTATCTTTTTAAAAGATCATTTTTAAGTAAAAAGGGATAGGTTTTAAAGCAGTCAAAATGTTCAAGATCCATTTTGCCATATATGAGCCATTTTCAACATATTTGTCATCACTTTTTGCTGTGTGACTGTCTATTTGTGATGACATTGGGCCTTGTTACAAACAGTATTATAAACACAGACTACAACCGCACCTGCATGACGTCTGCAGAAAAGAGAGGGACGTGTTTTTCCGTGGGCTGATCATAGACATGTACTCGTCCTGGTGGAGGCTGGGACTGAGCTGTGGGGACATCAGCATGTACTGAGGCCTCTCACCGAGCGGAGAATTCTCACTTTTCATTTCCACGTAGCTTTCGGCCTCTGGGTCATAGCTGGGTTGTGTTCTCACAGGACTCAGGCTCACACTGTCTGTTCCTAGACTGTCCTCGGTGGTGGAGTCATAAAGGTTCTCACGCAGGACCCGCGGCGAAGGGCAACTGTTTTGTCTTCGATGCTGCTTCTCCCGCGGTTTGGGTCGGCTGCGCTTTGGGTCAAACAGACTGTGGGAGAGTGAGCTACTGCTCTTATTGGGACTAGAGAACCAGTTAAAGTCTGAAATGATCCGGAGAGCCCGCACTGCTTCTCTGACGACCTCGTGAATGTACTGTGCCAACGAGCGGTTTCCTGGTCGGATAAAAACATTGATCAAAATTGAAATTGAAGGACATTGATGTATTTATTCAGGTTTATCTTGTGATCTTTTTAGAATAAAGTTATTTGGTTCTTCTTTTCCAGACAATGACATTGATATTTCCGCACTGTTGGACCAATCATGGCTCCATATCTTATCATCACATCATATCTTAATTTTAAGAAAGCGATTTTGGACACTCAAAAACGCTTCATATGTCATTTGTTCACTCCATACCGGTGATAAATTACTACTGTAGCCTATGCTGCCCTGGGGCATACTGACAGAAGCGAGGCAACCAGTCTGTGCCATCGGCCCCTCCTACCACCATCAACCCACACATCAGTCTCATTTTAGGCAATGTGGGTGAAGTGTCTTGCTTAAGTATACGGCACTTTGGCACTTTACAGCCGCCCCATTGTGGCACCTGGTGTTCCCAGAGGTCTCCCATCACAGTACTAACCAGGTCCTACCCTGTTTAGCTTCAGAGGTCAGACTTTAACACGCAGGTATGGCCACATGTTATTACCTTTACATGTTTCAATTGTATACTTTCGTCTTCCCCAGAATGTCTCAATACCAAACCACTTTATTCTACAAAGAAGACAAACCTTCCTAAACTGTCTTTAGAGTAAGTACCTTCATCTTTTGCCTGCATCCAGATCTCCCCAGGTCCATGAGGCGCACCCCTGCCCAGCTCCAGAAAAAATAAGCCTTCCAAATGACCAAAGCGCCGCACGGCCAGCAGGGGCAGTGTGACTGAGGGCAGCTCGTGGTCGTGGCCCACTCGGACCAAGACCAGAGCAGATGCTGTAAGACACAGAAGGATCTCACCTGAAAGTGCTTTGGAGCGACCGAGACCTCTGGGTGTCACAGTGACCGGCCACACCTGAAAAAGAAAAAACATTAAAAAAAACTTGCTATATCCAAAAGCAAGTACAAACACTCTCTGCTGACCTGCTTGAACAAAGACACCGGGGGTAAAGTGCAGTAGCCGGCGTCTTCATCGTCAAAGCGGTCTCCTTCTCCGTCTCTTATCTCCTCCTCCATCAGCTCCTGAACAGCTGCGTACCACTCCTGTTGTTCTTGTTCGTCCTTTCCCACAAACACTAGGGTTTGGTCTTTGGCGTACAGGGCGACTTTGAAGTCATTTCTGCTTCTGATGAGACTCACGCCGAGACAGCACCTCAGGAAGATCACCCTGTTCCAAACACAACCCTCTCATCACTCGACATTCATCAACATTTATGGACGTTTATGGACATTGGTCATTTGCCCTTATGGACCAATGGCTCTATGTGTTTTTTGTCATTTCGTTTTGATTCTCTGATCTGGGTTGGCAAATTCACCTGTTTTGTCAAGTCCTACGTTTTTACTTCTTTCCCACTCCATTTCGAGGTGACAAATTGTAAATAGAAATGGATTTGTAGATACATATTGAAATTGTAGATGGTGAAACTAGGGAAAATATTGTTGCTTGATTGTGTATGTGTATCTATGTATATAAATGTACATGTTTTAGGTATTTACTGTAAGCTCCAGGGGGCAATATAACACAAAAGGTCATGTAGACTAGGGAATGTAGGTATTTTAAATGAGATAAGATAAGACTATTGATCTCACACTGGAGATCAATAGTCACATTTGTATAGATAGATAGGGCGGTGCGGTGGCTGAGTGGTTAGCACTCGCTTCTCAGCTAGAAGGTCCTGGGTTCGAATCCTGGTCGCAACAGGGTCTTTCTGAGTGGAGTTTGTATGCTCTCCCCGGGCCTGTGTAGGTTTCCTCCGGGTACTACGGTTTTCCCTACCACTAAAAACATGCACACTATAATCCTCCAGCTTCAGCAGTCCTGACCAAGCCGAGTATCAACATCTGGAGATGGGTTCCCGGGCGCTGTTACTACGGCGACCACTGCTCCTGACGTAAGCCTTAGCGGCATCAGGATGGGTCAAATGCAGAGGATGAATTTCCCTTCGGGGATCAATAAAGTGAACCTTTGCCTTTACCTTTAGAATCACTCAAATTGTGCAAAAGTCAGAGTTACTTATGAATGTAGAATTTCTGATTGAATGAATAAATCAGTCCTCTGAGATAACTATTGTTGTGATTTAAGGCTATACAAGAATACGGTGAAGTAAATTGGCTACATGTTGATTTGTAGATCAGAAAAGCGCCCATCCTTACCCTTGCCTGTGAGAACCAAAGAGCCCCTTGTCGCCCGCAGACTTAACATCTGCCCTGAACTTGTCCTGCGTCTTGTACCACTCAAGTCGACTGGGTCCAGAGTGACTTCCTGCTCTCAGGACAAAATACCTCCTGTGCTTCTGCTCCTGCTTTCCCAGATAGCCCTGTTTGAGGACATCGCTGCTGGGCCCCAGGAACGCTCCAAGGGCCAGAGGGGCCAAAGCAGCAGAGGACAAAGTGGGACAGAAAAGCTCCTCATCCACATCGGCCGGATCATCGGATTGTGTCTCGGTGTTACAGAAGCTTTTGTCCACATGCTGTGCTTCATTCATATCAGGAAATATAAACCTGGATCAGAAAGAGAAATGTTTATTTGTGTGTGAGCAGTGAAATTTTAACGCTGCAGTAAAAGGGAGGATTAGGAAACTAAATCAGACTTAAAGCTCGGGGTCCTAACTTTTAAACAACAACATAATTCAGCTATACGTAACAAAATCCATTAAACTACTTCCTCGCCCTTGATATAGTTTGTATCTATCAGTTTCACATGTTTTTTTTGGCCTCTGTCACATTTTTAAATAATATTTTCCAGACAAAAGTGATAAAGAGAGTCAGCTCTCAACCTAAACGTCAAGAAAATGACTCGCAGGTCTGCAAAAATCATTCCAGGACAATGTATTTCATGAAAAAAGTTTGGTAACCCAGCTTTACACATGTATTTTCATGTGATACTCACTCATACACGTTGATGATTTCATATTTAAGCTTACCTGGCAAATAATAAGGATCAAAAGGCCCTGACTGTGTTGTTTTGACTGTGGCAACATTTCCAGCCTTCTCATAGAGCTCATTTGTTCTCAGGTGTGTCAATGACGTCACATGGACAAAAGCTCTATCGCCATCTGGTGGTAGGTTTTAGTTTGACAGATTCCCTGCCTCATGCACTGCTAAAAGAGATAAAAAATAAGTCACAAATTGTATCCAAGAATTACTGGACTGAGGTGTCTACAATAATGTCGGGGGTAGTGTGTAAAAAGATTGATCCAAACCCATTTACTGCTCTTTTTTTTACCAGCTTGGCTCTCTTTGACATCCAATCAAAAATCATCAATAGCTTTTATGAGTCTTCTTGCCCGTAGATTAATATTGCTCAAGTGAAAAAGCCCAACATCATCATATCATTTTCACTGGATTAGAGATTTCATTGTAAGAGATTCTATTGTTTTGGTTTTTTGTCTGTTTTTTCTTTTTTTGTATTGGCATTGTTCTTTATAGTGTACATTACGCTACTGTTAATTATGTGCCTAAAATTATAAATAAAATTGGGGGGGAAAAAATATCCTAATTTGAGCACATTCTGACTGCCTAAAAACAAGATTTGCTAATGGGAAATTAATCTTGTTTTAAAAAGATACAATAAATGTCTCCTGTGGAATGAGAAAATCAAGCAACAGTTTAAAGACAGTTTTAAGAAATGTACTAAAATTAAAATCACTACAGCCACTCGATTCAAGCATTTATGACTTCATATTGTCTCATGTTTTGCAGAGTGGTTGTTGACTTGGAAATGCACTTAGCTTGAGTGTCATAAAAACCAGGCAATGAAGAAGAAGAGAAGGAAGTTGTTGATTTATTGACGGCAATATATGTTTACAGTTACATTTCACGGGATGTTGACCCATGTATGATTGTAATACAACTGTAGCTGCAACGTGTTCCTGTTGAGAGAATCAAAAAGTGGAACATTTGGATTTCAACATTTTAACTTCTCTTTCTGCTTTCTCTCATAGTTTATCTGTGTCTTTTCCACCATCATGTCTGTCCATCGTGGCGTTCTGGATCTGCTCCGGTTCTACAGCCCCTGTCACATCCTGGCTGTGATCGGAGCTGGACTGGGGGCAATAGTGCTGATCTGGATAACGAACCTGTTGGTGCGCCATGCCTGGTACTCACACAGACTGTCCTGCTTCAGCAAGCCGCCCACACACTCATGGCTGCTCGGGCACCTGGGCCAGGTAGGACCACTGCAAACGCACACATGACATTGTTAAGAAGGTGATGTCACAGTAGTACAATGACATCATACTATTACAGGACTTTTAGACATTAGAAGCAGAGTTACTTGCTTGGGCCAGAAGCTCCTGATATGAGCCAGGATGGATCTAAAAACAATGGGGCAACAATGCCTTAGTTGGTAAAGCAATGGGACTCTCAGGAGCATAGGGACTGGCCTCCTGCTGGGACTCTGAGGAGCACAGGGACTGGCCTCCTGCTGGTGCCCATAGTCTTGACTAAACATGGATTTTATATACACATTTCTGTGGATTAAATCTGGAACAGTCTTCCTGAAAATGTAAGACAGTATTCTAATCTGACCATATTCATATCCAGATTAAAAACAGTTCTGTTTAGCTGTGCGTAGGAGTGTATCTTGTATCTAACTCTTATAATATACTCTTGATTATTTTTATTTTATTTTAATGCGGTGTGTGATTCCACTTTTGTTAAGCACTTCGAGTTGCCTTGTCTATAAACTGTTATACAAATACACAAAAAAAAAAGTTAATTTAGCAGAATATGTCTTTTTTTAAGCAGGGTGTGGCCTATTCAGCTTGGCCCTGTTTATGTCTGGATTAGAAATTGCAGAGAGGGTTTTAATTGGCTAACGATAGATTACATAGAGACAATATAACTTCCTCTCTCCAGTTTTGGTTCATCCGTTCTTCTTTCTCTCTCAATTTTCAATTTCTCGAAACAAACCATACAATTTCACAATACATTCTTAGAGGATAAATATTGCAGACTTGTTATAATACTTAATGTAGATGCAGAGCGCGGAGGAGGGTCTGCTGCAGGTGGAGGAGTTGGTGAGGACGTACAAACACTCCTGTAGCTGGTTCTTTGGGCCCTTCTATCACCTGGTCAGGATATTCCACCCAGACTTTGCCAAAACTCTTCTCATGGCACCAGGTATAGGCCTAATCAACAGGCCCTTAATTACAAAAAATGATATTACTTTTATGTTGGTAACGTGTCTTTTCAGGCAGTATCACGGTCAAAGATGAACTTGTCTATGGCCACTTGCGTCCATGGCTCGGTACGTTGTTTTGTTGTTTGGTTTTTATTAATATCTTGAGTTATTTTCACCTCTTGTGTTCCAGGAGAGAGTCTGTTGATCAGCAGCGGCGACAAATGGTCTCGTAAAAGGAGTCTGCTCACCCCTGCTTTTCATTTCAACATTCTGAAAAACTACACGGTCACGTTTAATACCGCCACCAACATCATGCATGTGAGACGTCGTGTTTTTTGTTGTTGAATTTCCTGATCTCGGTCATCACGCTCTTTTGTCTCTGTCGTCAGGAAAAGTGGCAGCGCGAGATCCTGAGTGGCAAAAACAATATAGAGCTGTTTGGTGATGTCACACTGATGACTTTGGATAGTTTACTCAAATGTGCTTTTAGCTACAACAGCGACTGCCAGGAGTAAGCCCCATTTCTACTTCCTTTATCCACAAATATGACTAATTTATCCAATTCTTAATAATTCCAGGTCCCACTGTGAGTATGTGTCAGCTATTGTTGAGTTGAGCGATTTGATTATGGATCGAAGGCTGAAAATGCTGCACCACTGGGACTGGTTTTACTGGAAGACGCAGCAAGGACAGCGGTTCAAAAGAGCGCTGGGCGTCGTTCATGAGTAAGTTTTATAATCTTTCGTTTTCGCAAAGTGGACGAGAGCTGACCAGGTTGTTTCAGGTACACTAGGGACGTGGTTCAGAAGCGGCGTGACCTGATCCGTCAGCAGGTAAAGAGTGGGGTCTCCATGGCAACACAGAGGCGGAAAGACTTTGTGGATCTCATATTGTCTGCACAGGTACAACTCTATTAGCCTGGTCGTACCACACCATAGTACAAATTACATTTCCTAATAAGGTCTGGAGGTGCTCCATTGACTCCGTTAACAGGTGGGAGGGGTTAACTCCTTTTGCAGATTGAAATGATTGGATCCTAGTTTACCGTGATGTATGTAATGCGCTCGAGTGAGTCGTTAGCATTTAGCCTAGCTTTAGCCATCTCCTTTGCCGCTAACGTGGGGAGTAGAGCCACACATTTTGCCAGCAATTTCATTTGCTAAACGTTCTTCTTGCTCCAGCTTCAATTTCTTGATAGAACCAGACCGGGTTACTTCACATTTTTCGCCATTGCCAAACTACAACCTTCCCGGTCAAACTCCTAACTACAACACCCGCCTTCCGCGCTCACTGATTGGTCGGATGGAATTCAACCGATTGTAATCGCTAACCATGGATGTATTATAATAACTGGATAGGGTATTACTAGCTTGTAGCTGAATAACCCATGTGCTCGGGGGATTCTCGCGGTACTGCAGACTGAACCAGCCTAAATTCACGTGGGCTACCCAGAAATTTTCCCCATAGGACTCAATGCATATTAAAACAGCTCGACCTCAGCTGACAGAGAACCTGACAGAGAACCTACAGCCCTTGTCCTCCTGAACATTTTTTCTTCTTAAATCCTTTGGTTTTGTTTAAATCCACACTTTACTGCCACAAACTCTGCTCCTCTGGCTCTCGCTCTAACTCCCGCTCTGATGAACTGCTCTGATTGGTCAGAGCGCGGCCGAGCCCCTCTGTGCACGTGCATGAGACGAGACCCACACACGCGTGTTTGGCGCAACGCATTATGGGAGATCATCCACTGCACAGAACCGGGAGGACCAGACGATGCCCAAATACAGGCGAGTTTCCCATAGATCTTTGCGAGTTTCAGGCAACTTCCGCTAATCTTTCAGCCCCCATGCCATCACAAAGCGCCACTGAGCACAACCATTCATTTGAATAGGGCGCCATCTTGAATCGCCGGTGCTTGTCGCTAACACAGGAACCAGACCGACCAGACCCGTTATTATTATAGATTCATGGACCAGACCCAGAAGTTAAAAATGATGATTGAGCAGAGTGTACGGATGGCTAAGCCCAGGCTACAGCTCTGTACAGAAAAAAAGTGTGTTATATTACATCAACTGCCACTTGCTGTGCCGCAGTGGTCACAGCAAGAAGGTCCTGGGTTCAATTCTAGCTCAGTATCTGTGAAAAGTTTGCATGTTCTCGCCGTGTCTGCAAAGGTTTCCTCCGAGTGCTCCGATTTCCCTATAGCGCTAAAAACATGTGCAATAATAATTGAGTGTCGGCGTGAGGGCGACAGTGGAAATGTGACCATAGATGGAAATTAGCTTCAAAAAGCCCTTGTCCAATCCAAATAAACATAAATACAAATGTTGCCAATTTATTTGGTTGCATGAGGTACAGATAAAGAAGAAATTACACTTTTTAACTACAACTTTTAACCCTGTAGAACCCAGTCATAAAAATATTTGTTGAAAAAAATGACCTGTGCTATTTTTGTAAAGCAGCATTCAATGACTAAATTTAGCAATGTAGCATATTTGCTTCTTTGGGTTCTCGGTTACATACTTATATTAGTTAATGCAATAAACAATTTTGCTTCTCCCATTTGCAAATCTTGTTTAAAGGCAGTCAAAATGTGCTCAATTTAAGATACATTTTGCTAAATTTGGGGCTATTTTTGACTTATTTTACATCTCTTTTTGCAGTGTATAGAGTCAGATATAAAATGGTATTTCACTTTTCTCCTCCAGGATGAAGATGGGCGAGGCTTATCAGATGAGGAGATTCTAGCTGAGGCCAATACATTCATGTTTGCAGGTACGTCTCCTCTTTAATAGATACAAATCAAATGACTGAACGTATATATGTTATTTTTCCAGGCCATGACACAACAGCCAGTGCAATATGCTGGACACTGTATAATTTAGCGCGCCACAGTCATTACCAAGAGCAATGCAGAGAGGAAGTGGTGGAGTTGCTACGAGAACGAGACGGACAAGAAATTAAGTGGTAATCAAGGCACTTAAGTAGTTTAACATATGTGCAATAATATAAATATTTTGACGGTTTCTCCAGGGGGGATTTGTCGAGCCTTCCTTTCACGACAATGTGCATCAAAGAGAGTCTGCGGCTCCACTCTCCAGTTCAAGCTGTTACCAGAAAATACACCCAAGACATGACACTGCCAGGAAACCGGATTGTCCCTAAAGGTGATGGGAGACAATGAGAAGAGCAAGAGCAATCAAATATATCACTGTGGTTTTCATTTTAGGGGTTATATGCTTGGTCAGTATCTATGGCACACATCACAACCCCATTGTCTGGTCAAATCCTCAGGTAAGATTTAAATTTTTTGAATTTAAAATACATGATGTTTATTGTTTTTCACATATATATATAAGTGTGATGTGGCTTGTGAATGAAAAACGCTAAGAAATATAACAAATACTGTGAATTTAATTTGGGTTTATTTGAGTTACCGTAGTTACTATATGTTTACGTCCTTCAGGAGTTTGATCCCATGCGTTTTGACCCGAACAACCGAGCAGCACGATCGTCATCTGATTTCATTCCCTTTTCTGCAGGCCCACGGTACTGTGCCACATTGCCACGTACTAAACAAAAGTGTATTGATTAGAAACCTAACTGTGCACGTCTATAGAAACTGCATCGGACAGAAATTTGCCCTGGCAGAGCTGAGAGTGGTTATCGCTCTGACCCTGCTCCGATTTCGCCTCAGTCCCGGCGTGAACCCAGAGGCAGTGACCACGAGGGTGCGGAGACTTCCCCAACTGGTGCTGAGGGCTGAAGGGGGGCTGTGGCTGCAGGTCCACCCCCTCCAACCAAAGTAATCTTAGTTATTGACTGTAAGCATAGACAGAGTCAATCGTAGAGGCTCCCCCTGTTTGCAGTTCCTGTTTTCTCACAACTATTCAAATGGGAATCGGTGTGCCTTTGTGATTTGCCTAAATGTGGGACTTTTTCTGTATTGATGTCGTTTGTGTCATTATTTTTACGTAATCATCTTTTACTTTTGAACTACCATAGCAGTCATTTTCCACCAAAGAAAATAACTGTGTGTTGCCATGGTAACAGGCAAGTGCTAGTCCCCTGGCAACACACTGTCAATAAACTATTTTTATTCTGATATTCACCAGTTTTAACACTTCTGCACAAAAAACTTTGATGGAAGCAGTCAAAATTCTATTAGTTAAAGAATTTGGGGAGTCCTGGTGTGAAATATAAATAAGAAATCTATGTTTCGAAATAACAGAATTTATCATTAAAAGTAGTATTGTCCTATTCATAATTATATTAGTATTAATTTAAGTGAGTTAACTTATCAGATGTAACATGTAGACTGTTAAAAAAAAAAATCCTAACCGACTGGCAATACCTCTTGCTTTTGTTCATAATGTGCAGTTAAATCTAGTGTTTTTGCTTGAGTTTTAATTGTTTTCTAAAATAATCTAAAAAATGTGTTGCAATATAATAAAGTATAATTTGTAGCACATTAAAAAACACATGGTTTGTTTAAAATATCTGTGTCATAAATGTGTCATGTGGGTGGAACGGATTTTCAGTGTTGCTGTTTTGCCGTTTTTCGCCAGTAGAGGGCACTAGTCTGCACTCAGCTTTCCTGCTTTTTTAACTTTTGCTTACTTCTCTTTCCTTTGCTAAAAAAATTATCCACTTCTAATGTCTTCAACATTTCGCTCACAGTTTCATAACAGCAGTTCTGGTTTCATATTTCTGTTCATTTGCACCAGAAACTAGACTTTCACTTTCGGATCCATGAGGCTAGCATGTAGCATTCAACAGGGCATTATTAATGGCTAGTAATGAATCTATCCTTCGCATCGAAAATCCAAATAGCTCCAGCCTGAGCAGAATGAAGTCGTGGGTTTGTCTCTTTGCTCTTGTGTCTACATTGTTTGCTTCAGGATCAGCGCAAACAGGTGAGTTAACTTTAGTTTCTATCAATGGAAAAGTTTAGATGTCACTTTGAATGGAATCAACCACACCCAGTTCAACATAAAACACTTGCTAAAAAGATCCTAGGACATTAGGATTAATGCAGACTTTGGAGAAGCTTTGTAATAAAGAAGGTACAAACAAATACATTGATTGTACATATTATTACTATTGTATTACAAGATTTCCAGGCAGTTTAATTGAAAGTCAATGCTAGTCATGAATACTTAAATACATGTGTATGTTCTGTGCAGTGATAAATGCAAAAACAGGAGATGCTGTGGTCCTGAAGCCCCCGGGTCCCCCCACCTTCCCCATCACCATGATCTTGTGGAAGCACAACAAAAACCTTGCAGTGGAATGGGAGGAAGCAAGTTCTGACATTGATAAATACGAACCCTTTAAAGGTAATTCTCTGCCATAGGTTAGTAATTTAAAATAATTTTGATTATCAATGAGCTGCCTGTTCATTCTTTTTATCAATCGAAAACAGATAGTTGTCTAGGCCCGAAAGGTCAGTGAAAATGGGATTCTGTTTACATTCGATCCAAACAAAGCTCACGTGAGGCCCCTGGAGAACATCTTCATAGACATGAGTTATTACAGATAGAGCTGTTTGATTAATAATGCTTTGTAAACAAATAATCCTTTATTATAGCGATATCTATGCCATAAACCTGACTTAGATAGTATGTTTATGTCTATGTAAGGTTAAAAAACAGGTCGATGGCTGAATGAGTGGACAATATGTTTAAAAAAATGGATTAGTTGTAATCAATCAATGAATGTTCTTTGTACTTCTCTATATGCAATATACTCTGTGTGTTTTCTCTTACCTATGGACCATATCATATTGTGTCCATAAGGATGAACAATATCGGTACTAATATAAAAATAACTTTAACAGCCCTGCTATTTGATCCATTGTCTTTAAATTTAGGGCTTGTTCACATTTCAGTCCCAAGCAAACTAAAGCTGACTTTAGGCGGCCCAATTGTGATTTTTAATTAAGATGAAATGCTTGATGCTTAACAAGTGCAGACTGGTGCCGTAGTCACACAAGACAATCAAACCATTTAAATCAGTGACTTCATGAGGACTATTGATCAGATCAGTCTGAAACAGGAGACTGGTGGCTCACTGTAATCTTAACAGGGCTGAACGTCAACACTTTACACTTTTATGTTTTATTCTTTTGTATCATTAAAAACAGTTTTCAAATAAACTTGTAGAATACACCGCATAAATGGACACAATCTAAACACACAGATTTATTTCAGACAACACGTCTTTGAACATTTCCACTGGAGAACTCACCCTGACTGTGAGCGATCAGTTTGCCGGAGAATATGCTGTGGAGATCAATAGCTTCCTTCTGCCTGGATCAATAACTCTGACTATTCTCCGTAAGTGTGGATAAGAGTTATTTAATATCATCAACACTGCTTTATAATGAGGCCTTGCTGTTCTTTCAGCTCGAGTCCCAAAACCACATATTTCTGTGTCTTGTAACGAGGAGAAGACAAAATGCACTTTGATCTGCGAGGGGGACGTGACGGCGATGACACCTGAACCTGCCTACAAATGGAAGTTTAACAACGAAGAGCAAGAGCACCCTCTGAAGAGCCTGGACATTACACCGGTATTTTAGAACAATCAACTTTTATTTGTAGAGCGCTTTTCCTACACAAGGCAACATAAATCACCTCACAACCTATATCACATCTACGTTAACATTAAAAAATGCAATTAAACAAACATTAAGATCACAAGAAATATCAAAAACATAAACAAGAAAATCATCAAGTATTTAAAACTCCTAAAACATTTAAATCACACATGGGATTAAAATCATAAATGGCCACATTGCATTAGAAAGAGTAAAGATAAAATCCTTGTATGCACAGCTAAACAGAACTGTTTCAACCGGGATTAAAAACAAACAGAGTAGAAGCCAGTCTCTCATTTCAGAAAGACCGTTCTTGATTTTAGCTGCATAAATCTGAAACGCTGCCTCCCCATGTTTAGTCTTAACTCTGGGCACCAGCAGGAGGCCAGTACCTGTGCTCCTCAGAGTCCCAGCAGGAGGCCAGTACCTGCCCACTAAACATCCGACGTCCACTCAACCTCCAGATCACGTCAATATCGCGTCGGTCGGTCGTGACCTTTTATTTACGTCCAAACGACGTCTGTGCAAGGTGCGCATCTGGACGTAAAACAATGACCTCCCATATACGTAGATATGACGTTCAATCCCGACCTCCCTTAGACGTCGAAAACAGGTCATCGGCCGACCGACGCAGTACGTCTTGATCTAGCGATACAATATATAGACTGTGAAGCAGAGTCCGTGTACCTGACGGTAGTGTAGTGGTTAAGCAAACGTGTGCAGTCTTGGTTATGTGGGTTCGAGCCCACGTGTGTGTATTATTATCTTTACATATTTGTTTTGATTTTTAACGAACAATTTTTTTCTGTTTGGTTAAAGACTAATAAACACTCAACATAGGATTACGTAGTGGCTAATAATAAAACTTGTGAATGTATGCATTTGTTGTGCTAACAATCTCAAGTTTGCAAATAAGGGGTGAGCACTTGAGATTTTATGCAAATGCATGGGTTCACAAGTTTTATTATTAGCCACTACATAATCTTATGTTGAGTGTTTATTCGTTTTTAACCAAACAGAGAAATTGTTCGCTAAAAAGTGAAAAGTCAAAAGTTTTCCGACGGGGATTTGAACCTGCGTCGTTGGGACTGAAGTCTCATTACGCAACCGCTACACCACGGCCAGGCATTTTTTCTGACTACTGTGAAAAACTAATAGATAACACCCTAAACAACCGACGCACACTTATGCGCCGCGCGAGTATAACTCCTGACACGTGAGTCGGTCGAGGACCTGTTTTCCACGTCTAAACGACGTAAGGTCTGGACGTAAAGCAATGTCTTCCCAGACGTTGATATGACGTTGAATCTGTACCTCTGTCGCTGCCCTGCTTTATTTAGCTACTTGGAATCATCCTCTCTAGTAAGTACACAGTCTGCACAGTTTTTAGATATAGATGTATCATTTCCACATTGAAAAGAGTTGGAGACAGAAACTCAGTTGTTTTCTCACGTATACGTGGATTTTGTTAAGTATATTTTGTATATTATCTGTATTTTGAATTGCCAGTGCATGAATCTATAATAACGGCTGGCACTGCTCAGCTGAAAGGGAGACACCTTTTTTTGTTTTTAAGTTAAAGTTTAAAATATTATATTGTTTTTCATATTTCAAACTATTTTTAACACATTAGAATTCTTAGGTTAGACTGTCCAACAAACTATGTGTTAAAAAAGGTTAAGATTCTTGAGTTTTAAAATAATAATTCAATTCTAAAATGTAAAGTTACTGTATATTTCACAATGGTTTATAAACTGCAAAAAGACAACAGTACTTAGTAAACTAAGTTTAAAAACAGGGAGATCAGCTTTAATATTTGGGACACTCCCATCATTTAGACACCTGTGATGTCATCAGTTGGAGTTGAGTTCAGGTGTGGGACCATGTGGGACCATGTGGGACCATGGAGCACACAGATGTTACCTGCTGCAGAAAGAGAGTTTAATGTTCATGTATTGCTTTGTTTAATAAATGGATTTAATGTCTTCCCAGGTCTTCAATGTCAGAGACTTTCACTTCTTCTCACTGTGGCTGTTTAAATGAGCCACTACAGTTGTTATTTTTGTTATTGTTAGCTGCAAATATTAAATATCCATTCATCTGCTGGTAGCAAGCTAACTAGCGCTTGCAACTCTATTCAATTTCTTACTTTTTCTTATAAACTTTAAAACCAGCCATATGTTAATTAAAATACATTTACCTTTGCTAATGCAGTCAATGTTTGTGAAATCCATAGAGTATAATTTCATGATTGTTGCAATAACTAATGTTCTGTGTGTATTCCTAATGTGTCATGTGTGTTTGAGTCTTACAGGTGTCAGACTGTGTTGAAGGTGTTCAAAGGTAAGAATCACACTCTCACACATTGATTGTTCTTCTGTATTATTATGTTGTTTTGAGAATAAACCATTATTTGGTGTATTCTCTTTGAAAACATCTATCTTTTTCTCAGATTGTTCAGCAACTCACTCAAGATGAGGGAAAAGAGCAACAAGGGGAAAATGCCCCCTTGGAAATGCGACATGTATAGAGTAATACAGGGTAAGTAGCTTTCAGGGCTCATTTATGTCCATGTGCAAAACAAATGCACATTTGCAATTGTTTTTTACATGGAATTACTCCAATGACCAAAGCCTTATCCCAAGTTTCTCAGACGGAGTGTCTTCCAGTGTCTCGAGCTAGTGCAGTGCCAAGGTTTGTATCACATGGTGATGGATCGAGTGGTTTGAGGCATTAATAGAAAGTTATGTGTTGTTATATCACTTTGCCACATTATGTTGAAACTAAACATGTTCCACATTTTCAGGTGCTGTGCTTGGACCTTATAATGAGACTGAAGACCAAGAGAGGACACATGTTGGAACCTCAACATTCAATAAATGCATTCTTCTGCCTTTCAGATTGTGTTTTTACATCTGGGGAACCTAGAGTGTAGCTTGTGCCTGTTTTAATACTGATCCAAACATAGGCGCTACAATCATGTTTTTTTACTTTGGCATGAACTGTTCAGTACAGTAGTGTTCATAACACTGTGCCCTGTATGGTTTAACTTGTACTTTGATGTAGAGAAACATGATTTTTAATGCAGCTCCAGTTGCAATAATGACTGATATCCTTCTACTACAGTTGTTCTAATGATTTTTGAATGCTGTGTTTATCATTTATTGCCCAGAGTCAGAACTAAACATGATATAGCTGCATTTCAGATTCACAAGGCTAAAATCTGGAAAGGTCTTCCTGGAAATGTGAGACAGGCTTCTTCTTTGACAATGTTAAAATCCAGGTTTAAAACACTTCTGTTTCTGCTTCAACTGAGAGATTTTATGAGAGATTTTATTTGTATCTTTTTAATTTACTGTCAATATTTATAATTGTAATGCCTTGTTTGATTGTTTCTATCTTTTGTTCAGTGCTTTGAGTTTCCTTTTGTTTTGACTGTGCTATACAAATAAACTTGCCTTGCCTATTGCAAAAAGTATGTCTCGACCAGTGAGTGATTCTGCAGAGGTTAAGTAGGTCAATAGGACTGTAAATGGACGTCATATAAACGTCAATATTTTGGTCATATAAGACGTTGATAGGACGTCAGACCCGACCGGTTCTGTACCACATTGCAACCTTGAATGAACGTCCAGATGACGTTGAGAGTACGTTGTTTTGACATCTGCTTGCTTAGTGGGAACGACTGAAAACGAACGTCATATAAACGTCAATATTTTGGTCATATAAGACGTGGATAGGACGTCAGACCCGACAAATAGGGGGAGTCTTGACTACTAAGTCATTCTACAGAGGTCAATAGGACTGTAAATGGACGTCATATAAACGTCAATATTTTGGTCATATAAGACGTTGATAGGACGTCAGACCCGACCGGTTCTGTACCACATTGCAACCTTGAATGAACGTCCAGATGACGTTGAGAGTACGTTGTTTTGACATCTGCTTGCTTAGTGGGAACGACTGAAAACGAACGTCATATAAACGTCAATATTTTGGTCATATAAGACGTGGATAGGACGTCAGACCCGACCGGTTCCGTACCACATTCAAACCTTGAATTGACGTGCCATCAACGTAACATTTGGAGGTTGAGGTGACGTCAGGAAACGACGTCGAGAAAACTTTCATTCTGCACCCACCAGTGACCTATATTCTACGTCGGACGACGTTCAAATTACGTTGATTCAACGTCGGCTTGCTTAGTGGGTGTGCTCCTCAGAGTCCCAGCAGGAGGCCAGTCCCTGTGCTCCTCAGAGTCCCAGCAGGAGGCCAGTCCCTGTGCTCCTCAGAGTCCCAGCAGGAGTCCAGTCCCTGTGCTCCTCAGAGTCCCAGCCGGTTCATACGACACTAACATGTCACAGTTGTACCTAGGTGCGAGGCCATGGAGAGACTTGTACATAAGCGGTTTATAGACCTGTTTATTGAGCATGTATTTCATTCTTACACGATTCAGAGTCACCATTTTGTCTTTGATTTCAGGACAACACAGCTCCTGAGTTCATCTGCGAGCTCGAGAACCCAGTCAGTCAAGAGAGCAGCGAGCCCTTTGCTAACCCATTCACCAGTCCAAGCCCAGGTTCCCCCTCGCCATAAGACTATGTGCTTTGTGCAGGTCTAACCATATTCTCAATGACCTGTCTGTGTTTCAGTGGGCGGTGGTCCAAAGATAATGAATGCACTTCTGGTAGCTCTTTGCCTGTTGGCTGTTGTGATCATAGCTGTCGTTGTACACAGATTTAAATCCGGTAATGCACAACTAATAAGAGCAAAACACACTGCTATGTTCTATTTTTTTATGCATTGAACTAATTTATGTTTTATCTTACTCTTCAGGAATGTGGTTCTTCCAAAAAGGTATGTGTATATGTATTTATTGTTATTTTGCTTCATGTCCTGATGGAAGTTTCCCCCCCTGCCTTTAATAACTACTATAATAACAATTCAACTCAATTCAATGTATTTTTGTATAGCCCTGAATCACAACATTAGTTATCACAGAGGACTTTATCAAACCGTTGAATTCCCACAACAAATGCAATCATAAAAAAATGTTGATAAATGTCCATAAATGTGACTAAACTATTCTTCCTTCTGCAGATTCAATGCCGTGGGAAGCTGGTAAATGCACAACACATACAACTGGTAATATTGGTTTATTATGATATTCATGTTTTTATGTTTTGCGCCCAGACTTTTGGCAGAAAACGCAACCCCAAGGTGAGATTTTAAATGAATGCACAGTTGAATGGATTTCATTTGACAAGTTTGATCCACGGTTTTTGTGTAAACGAATCTGTGTCCTGTTCTTCAGCCGGTCCTGAAGCTCCACCGGCGAACGCTCGGCCAGGTCTGACTCATCTAAGATCTAAGAATTTATGAACACATGAATGAATAGCATTTTCTCTACTCACACAGGAGAGAGGAACGCCATGATGGAAAGCACTTCATAATTAGCATTTTACCAGAATTCCATCCACTTCAGCGTATGTGTCGTAAGTTGTGAGACAAAGGAAATGTGGGCCGTCTCAGGAAAGCTTCAGTTTCCTGTTTGGACTGCGGGACTAAGGATTGATCTGTTTTTAAAACTTGGTGGCAGGATTATTTTTCTAATGTTAACCCTGTAAATACCAAAGTAGCAGAATTGTTACATGAGTTTCTGAATCTAGAGCACTTTCTCTACATGTTACTTTATTTTATCTTGTATTTATTATCTTACCCCACTTTTTGCCGGTTTCACATAACATTTCGGAAAGATCAAATTTTATACAGCAACATTTTTTTATAGATTAGAATGAACATTGCTGAAAGATCACAGGGATGTACTCAAAATGAAAACCAGTCAAGAAGAGATAGTGCCTTTCCCAGTGCCCTTAAAATCAGAATAATTACAGCTGTGTTTAAGTCGAGAAATAAGCAGATTTCCAACCACCATTTCCATATTTACTTCAAAAATTGAGCGGAGCAGCTTATTTCACATTTAAGCTCACGTTCTCTTCTGAACCCTCTCCTCGTGGTGCTTGACAGAGACCACCTGCTGCCTTTTTTTATTGAAGAAATGTGTTTATATTAATGGCCTCCCCTCAGTCTCCAGTGCAGATGATACTGTGCTCTTTGTACGTGGGGAAAATGAATTCAAAGCAATATATGTGCACTGATTGTAGTTTGTGAAAATAACATGTTTAAAATTATGTCTTTTTAATCTATTAATCTATTTATATTACTCACTATAAATGCCCTGTCTCATGGAGGAAGAAAATACAATCTAGGTTTACTCATACAGATATCTTAATCATAATCGACCCATAAACTTACTTTCCAGGACAATACCAAACTCATCTTCTCTGTTTTTTACAAATGCTTCTTTGAATTAATTCTCACTGTCAACATTACAGCTCAGTTTGGTTCACTCGGTCTCCTACATCAGAATTCACTCAATAAGATCATTAAAACCAGCAGCAAGACTCACTCACAGCCATTTACAGTCACAAAGTTTTGAGGAAAGGCCCAGATCTCCACAGACAGCTGCCGCACTCTGCTCTCACACCACAGTCTGCTCCCATCAGGGCATAGGTTCAGGTCCCTCCCATTCAAAACAAACCTCGATGTGCCTTTTAAACAGCTGATTTTGTATTTAGTATCGCATATCTGCTATTTCACTGTGTTTATACTTAGATTGTGTGTTTTTGTGGTGCTCCCGGAGGAATAGTTATTTGAATTGAATTGAATTAAAACATGTTGTGGAATTGAAAGACTGTTCATTGCCATTTTTGTTTAACTGTATGTCTCAAAATGTCTTTGTGTGTGTTTATAATAATAACAAACCATGATAAAATGTTTTTTTTTCACTGAGGTCAATTACAGGTTTGTGTAGATATAGTTTTCTCCCTTCTCATTTTAAATCGTACACAGGTCGATACTGAGACAAAATGTTTTAATTAAGAATTTATTTTTATTTCTGCATAAAAAAGATTGAAATCACAAGGTGTACAGCAGTCAGACATAATCACATGGTTCACATGGACAGCGACATGGTTCTATTCATTATTATACTAAGTCAGGTTTGTTACTATGGCAACACAGTTTCGGCACCATATTAAGAGTAACACTTCCCACAAATTGAAGGCATATCAACAACAAACCCGCCCATTTCGACTGAGCCCGTCGCTGCGGTTACAGTAACAAGTGTCTGGGTCGTGTTTGTGCACTGAGTGAAACAGTCATTGATAAAAATACTGCAGTAAAATTAAAACTATTCTGTCAGTTGTCCTTATTACAGCCTAGTCCTACTGCTTTAATCAGTTACAAAACATCTAATACAGATGTAGGAGTGCGGCTTATGGCACGGGTCACATAGGAAGCATTCATATCTGTTCTATGGCAGAGAAAAGACAAAAATACATTGGTCCCCTATAAATGGATAAAGACGATTGCACTGGCCGCAGATAAGGCACTGGTTATCGACAATCTGCTCTGTATAATTATAATGTTTTTCTATCTCTAAACTACAACAATTAGGACATGACACTTTTCCCATTTGACAGGGGCTCGGTCTCTGAGGCTGAGGCTGCCACTGGGCTCAGCTCCGTGGGGGTGTCCGTGGTCCCTCCTCTGTCGGGCCGGTTACGAAAGTGTCGGATTAGGACCACAGCAGCACAAACAAAGTAGACCACTGTGAGAATGGTGAAGTAGATGAAGTAGACGAGGAACTGAAAGGAAAACATGCTGTTATAATAAGTCGACTTTCCAAACATTAACCACATAACTGCAGTACACTGCAAAACTACACACTGCCAGAGCTCATGAGAAACTTATCGGCCTAAAAAAAGGTTAAATACAAACCATGCACCCACATAACATGAACATATCATTATCCATGGGCTCTTTCAAAAATATTTGGAAATGAAAAGCATCTTTGATCATTTCGGTGTTGCAGCGCACATCTAATATATTATAATATAAGATAAATAGTTGTGAATACTTCTTAACTAGACTTAACGAGCGGAAAGTAAAAATAACTCATATATATATAGATATATATATATATATATACAGTATATATATCTATATATATAGATATATATATTCATATATATATATATATATATGAAATGTAAATTATATATACTTCTATGGCAGGATAAATAACGTAGATACAGTGACATCTAGTGGACATTCTGAAATTGCAGTATATAATTGCAGTAGATACTATTTACAGATGAGATGACACCAGTGGGGGCGGGTCCCAGCTCAAAAGTGGCCAAAATGACGTGCGCTGACATGCTGCAATACCACCCCGGGCCGATGGGGGTGGACCCAGAAGAAGAATTAGCCAATGCTAACATATAACGTTAGCAGACCTCTCAAAATCGTCTTTACAGGATGGACCAAAAGTTGGCTCTTGGCCCAAAGCTCCGTTCCACATGTGTGTCAATGCTGAGGGGGGTGATTTTTTTTGGTCCACTCTAGTTTAGTCGCGGGGAATTTTTGAAGTCTCTCGTTCAAATGAATGGAGCTGCGCCAGCTGACGCATGCGCAGATGCGTTTTTTCACAATTTTCTTGTGGGCGGGACCACTCGCGGCCATCTTGGATTGCTCCATGAAAGCACTTTTCATGGCCAACTCCTATGAACGGCGGAGATAGGCGTGACTCTGTCCATTAATATATACAGTCTATGGATGACACGTACAGATTCAGCAGTTCTCATTGTACAGTCTGACAGCAGGATGGACAAAAGACTTGCAAAACCTCTCCAGATGTTTCATAATGTCCTTCACGTCAACAGTCCATTGTCCTGTCACTAATGTGCAGTTATTTATACTTTCATCAACATGCACTGTCCAGAGTCAAATAAATAATCAAGTACAACAAACATAAGCAAAGGCAGTTCTTTCCTTGAGCGTACACACAAGTACGACTGGAACATTGTGCAGGGAAATGGCTCAAACGAAAACAGAGGTGAACCTGAGACTGACCTGCGAGTGCACGTCCAGCCCCAGCCCTCTCCTGTCCGAGAATATGATGTTGATGATGCTTTTCAAGATTGTTCCGAGGAAAGTGTTGAGCCCAAACACCAGTGCGCACAGTTCCTTGGTGAGAGACGAGGCGATCTGAAATCTACACATGGAAAACATTCATATACCGACAATAAAAACCAATTCTCTCATCTAATATATTCTCTGATGTAGTTGCTCACGTTGCTATGGGAACCAAGAACTGGTAGAAGCCCCTGAAAAGCACGTAGGCGGCGTAGCACACCCAGATGTTGTCTGTGGTCCCCATGAGCAGCAGCAGCCCGGCCTGGAGCGCGGTGATGGCGGCGATCACCAGCTCCGCCCAAACCTTCCATCGGATTTTAGCGTAGCCCGCGCAGAAAGCAGTCAAGGCACCTTCGAAGAATAATCAACAACACGTGTACGTTTATCTGTGTTCCATAATCAGGTCTTAATGCCAACAGAAAATGAAATAATAACACAGGGCTAGGGTAAGGGTTAGTTATAAATCTTTGTTCATCTTGGTCTTTTCTCATGGACCTAGAGTATGTAACAAACATTTTAGTCCTTTCTTAGCCGATAATAGCTATGATCTCCCAGCTGCATTACCAATTGAAGCCGATAATTATAAGAACGCAAATAATTATAAAAAACTAACCGTTACCGGCCCCAAGATAAAGGTAAAATATTTTGCAATTCCTTTTGTTTTTTTATGAGGTGAAAAAGAATGGTTAATCCTTTAGGTTATTTGAGAAATTTGATATGAAATGGACAAAAGGTCTAAAGGTGATACTTTCATGGAATAGAAGTTTACAAAGATCAAATAAAAAGAACTATAAATGTAATAAAAATGTGGGTAAACATTTGTCCATAGAAATACCTGGATTTAGCTCATGTAGAAATATTATTATCTACTATAATCTAAAGCAGGCCATGTAATAACATAGTGTCGCAGCCTGATCCCACTTATAATAGCAACAATTACATTTTTGGGAAAACTTGTTGGAGCAAAAACCTGGTAATGACCGTGAAATCTAAATATCATACTTAATAAAGTAGACGCAGCCTCCACTCCCCCGTTGTACACTTTCTTGTTCTCTGTTGCCGGATAAACCTTATTCCACAGAATGTGAACGTAGAAGAGGACCAGGTAGTACCCGGTGGAGTTGAAGATCCACCAAAGCGACCACAGTCTCAAATTCGGCATCTTGGCCACGTGTTTAAGCTCCAGCAACATCTGCACCAGCACCGACTCTTTCCACTTCGAGGCGGGAGGTTTCTGCGGATTCATTTTGTCCATTTCTACTTTTTCTGCCTTTTCCTGACTGCGGTTGAAAAACAGCGAGCGCTTGGGCCACGGGAGGCAAATGGCGAGCAGCAACCCCAAGCTCACGAACCCTAAAGAAATGGAGCTCAGGGTGTAGAATGTGATGTTTCCCAGCGACAAACAAAGCTGTCCTAAAATTGAGCTGGTGAAGACGCCGAGAAGCACGGAGGAGCGAGAGTAGCTGGCCACACGCTGGTACAACCCGGGGGTGACCAGGGAGAAGATGTAGGAGGAGTAGGCCACGCGGCAGGCCATGGTGATGCCGTAGAAGAACTCCATCAGCTGCATCTGGAGCAGGGAGGTGCCCATGAGGAGCAGCAGCCAGATGACCACCTGGCTCAGACCCTGGATGATCAGAACCGGCTTGTAGCGCAGGAAGTCCGTCAGCAGGAAGGCCGGCACCAGCACCACCATGTAGGAGTAGGTCAGCACGGGCATGATCTCGTTAGTCACCTGGCCACGAGAGGCAAGAGTTTTAGTCAAGCACCAAAAACGTCATACATAAACTTTCAAATGGCCAATTAAAGCGACAGAACCTGCTGTTTTGGTTCCTTAAAGGAATAGTTCACCGTTTTTACATACTGACATATGTTCTTACCTTACCTTAGACTAGTTTATACGTACCTGTCTGGTCTTAGTCCGTGCGCTCTGTCATGCAAACGGAGCAAAAACGGGAGCACAAATGCAGCCTCCTCTGTATATTTTGTAGCACCAAAAGGTAGCTCCCGCTAGAAGCTACCAAACTCTTCCAAGTGTTCCCTATTAAATGTATATAGTTACGTGACGTGTTACACTGCAAAGTATAGTAACACAGAAATGTAACAGTCGATTTTCTCAGCGGATAAAACGGGTACTATATTGTGAGGCGTAGTAATCTGAGGAGCGCTACGTCCGCGCACTAACTTCTCTCCGGAGACTTCTCTCTCGCTCACTTCCGTCAATAGAAGCAGCGTGACTTGTAGTACACACAGTAGCAGCGAGAGAGAAGTCTCCGGAGAGAAGTTAGTGCGCGGACGTAGCGCTCCTCAGATTACTACGCCTCACAATATAGTACCCGTTTTATCCGCTGAGAAAATCGACTGTTACATTTCTGTGTTACTATACTTTGCAGTGTAACACGTCACGTAACTATATACATTTAATAGGGAACACTTGGAAGAGTTTGGTAGCTTCTAGCGGGAGCTACCTTTTGGTCCTACACAGTATACAGAGGAGGCTGTGTTTGTGCTCCCGTTTTTGCTCCGTTTGCATGACAGAGCGCACGGACTAAGACCAGACAGGTACGTATTAACTAGTCTAAGGTAAGGTAAGAACATATGTCAGTATGTAAAAACGGTGAACTATTCCTTTAAAAGGTACAGAGGAGCTTTATCGCAAATTATATGAACGAACCGCCCTCTCCACTATAAACTCTCCAGAATGATTGACACTTGGGAGGACCAATAGTCTTGTTGATCCATCCGGAAGTAGAAAATCCTCCTATATTCATTACCTTTAATACATTTAGTTTTGTTCAAACAGAAAGAATCTTGTTTAAGTAACATTTTGTGAACATAATATTTAACTTTTTATAAAATCTTTGATCTTTTACATGCTTTACATTCATTTTTGATTTTAATATTTTATTAAGATTTTAATAGTTATTTTTGCTGTGGTTGTGTTGTGGTTAGGTGCTCCAGCTTTTCACAATCATATCTTATGTAGAGAAAGGTAATTAAAAAAGTGTATTACCTTTGTTTTATTGAAATATATTGATTTTTGCGCAATAAATCTGCAAGATAAAAATGTTGCATATTTGCCAAATAGTACTTTCACTTTCTTGATTTTTTATTCTATTATTTTATCGTCAAGCAATATATATAGAATACAATTGTAATACAAATACAATTATATGTTATGACCAAAGGCTTCAACATAAAAAATGCCAAAATAAAGTCAAACATAAATAAAAAATATATATAAATGTAATAATGAAAATGTAGTTTGTATTGTAATGCCACTGTCTGTTATTCAGAGCCTGTTTGCAGTCTTCACAGTCTGGTTAACAATTATAGAGTACAGTACATTTTTGTTTGTAGTCCTGAGCTCCACCTCCCAGCTCACATATTTATAAATACTTTGCCTCTTTCAATGTGTTACAGAACTTTCAGAAAATACCGTTGATGTGTTATTACTGTACAATAATAACCTTTATCTGAAGACATCTCATAAATGTCCTAACCAGGCGAAGAAGCAGCTGTTTATTTATTATCTTATCTTGAATCCAGTCCAGTGCAGCTGTGGAGCATTCAACACTAGAGCCATCAGGCCGACAGCGGAATGTGCCAAAACAACCAAGAGACAACAAACATCCAACTCAGGAGGGTTTCTCATGTTCAATAGCTTTGTGGGAGTCAAACAAAATGATTAACAAAATGTATAATTCAGCCTCTTCAGGGACTTGGCTACTCTTGTGACCTACTTGTGAAAAATGTGAACTTTGACCGTATTAGTCCAGCAAACTCACCACTGGGCACTCATTAAACTCTGTGTGTCATGACGGCTGTATTAAAGTCAAACTGACATGCTCCATACCTCCTCCCGGGTGAAGTTCTTCTCCACGCTCAGCAGATATGGTGTAATAAAAGCCTCCCCCGGTCTAATGGATGACATAAATCCATAGACACACAAATAGATGACGGCAAACTTCCACTTTCTGGGTTCTTCTTGCAGAATTTCAGGAGATGTCGTAGAATCTGACGGACACACAACCAACTCTGCATCTCCGTCTTCCACTCCTGGCAGTTTCATATGTTTATCTCCATCCATCTCGTCTCCGCTGGCGTTTGGGTCTTCTACTCCCATCTTGAGTGATGGGGGGGAATCACAATGTTAAATCCACATAGAAGCTTTAACTTCTCAATTCAACTTCTTAATTAAAGTTGAAGTTGAAGACAATTGCTCAAAGATTATGAGCAACTGAAAACCGAATCTTTTAACAAGCTGGTTAAAACGCTACATGCTGGGAAAAATTGTGACCTTTGTGTCCATCCACACTGTCTGACAGAGTTATCCAGAGTTCTTAATCATTGTTCACCTGAAAATACAGAGGCTTTGAGTTTAACACAGCATGACGAAAGATAAAACATGTTTACGTGTCGTATTCTGTGCTTAGACAAACTTTGAAACAATCAAAGCATACAATAAACTTGATCAACAAAGACTACAGAACATGTAAGCCTGCAAACCCCTGCCTTCTCTATGGCCAGCCATGGGGGAGACAGCATATGTTAGCACATGTGTAATTACATGTTATAACGCAGATTGTGAATTTTAAATGCTAATTGTGAAGGATTCATCTTTTTCATGAACACAAATGTTTGCACTACAGCTAAATTGTGTAGCTGGCTAAAAGTAGCATAAATCTGTCAGAAAATGAAAGGCTTTTGTACAGACCTGACAGATGCATTCAAAGTAGATCCATGAGGATATAACAACAGTACCTTCACATTCTGTATCTCTATAATGCTGTGTCCATTTATGAACGTACACATTAGCAGCGCTTACCTCGTGTTTTGTACATCACATTCAGTCAGCCGCTCGCTTTAACGCGCTGAGCATTCTGGGTAGTGTAGTTTTAAAGTTACGGTTGTGCATGCTCGTTTTGAAACAGTGACAGTGACAGTTTCGCAAGCCAGTTAATGTGTATTTTGTTCACAGGTGCTGTAACCAGTTTATGAACTGATTTAGAGTTGTAAAACAATTATTTATTCCCGAGTTACTGTATTTTTAGAAGTGTATTTTTAGCCTCGGACTCGCAGTCGGATATGTCTCATTTACGCCATCTGCTGGATACTAATGAACATTTAACATAAAAAGATAAGATAAGAATTCCTTTATTCGTCCCACAGTGGGGAAATTTCGATGTTGCATCGCACATACAGGACAGTAGTAAGAGAGCACACAGGGATCACACACAATATATACAAATAAGTAGTAGCTATGTTTCTTAACTAACATAACTAGCTGTAGATGCTGAAAAAGCTTCAATACCAGTCAAAAAATATATATGTAGTAGTGCAGTTATATACTGTACAGTTAAATAGTGCAGGATAAAAAGTATATAAGTAAAGTGACATGAGGTAAAGTGACATTGTTCTGTGACATCCTGAAGTTGCAGTATTGCACATTGCACATGATTTAAGAATTTACTTAATTACAGATGAATGAAATTTACAGGCTCAGCAGTTCTTATTGTACAGTCTGACAGCAGCAGGAAGGAAAGACCTACGGAACCTCTCCTTCACACAGCGAGGGTGAATTAGTCTGTCACTGAAGCTGCTCTCCAGAGCAGAGAGAGTGTCCTGCAGGGGGTGATAGTCATGGTCCAGCATAGATGTTAGTTTGCTCAGGACCCTCCTGTCCCCCACCTGCTGCACTGTGTCCAGGGAACAGCCCAGGACTGAGCTGGACTTCCTGATGACCTTGTCCAGCTTCTTCCTATCCCTCTCTGTGATGCTGCTGTTCCAGCAGACCACACCGTACAAGAGGCTGATGCCACCAGAGTCATAGAAGGTCTTCAGGAGTGGCCCCTGCACTCCAAAAGACCTGAGGTAGCAGGTAGAGGCGGCTCTGGCCCTTCTTGAAGAGGGCGTCTGTGTTATGAGTCCAGTCCAGTTTGTGGTTCAAATGAACACCCAGGTACTTGTAAGAGTCCACTCTTACACTATACACTGAAACTATACATTTCAATGTATAGTTGTGTGTGGCACAAATAAACATCATTAGTAATATACACTTATCGACATTTGAACTGTAAAAAATGTGTATTTATTTATTATTATACAAAAAAAATATTGTTTATGTCTCGTGACGGATTCATTTTGTAATAAAATCCCATTTCCTACTATGTTCCCTCTCTCACAGAATCAACTTTTATCCACATTAAATTTTAGTCTGTACCACAGGTAGATTTTAATTATGATTTTGAATTTCATTTAATTTTCCTTGAAAGATATTTTACATCTTATCTTACATGTTTGTATCTTATGTTTTTATGTACCTTTTGAAAAAATAATAATCATGAGAATTAATTTGAAGTAGGTAAAACTGAGACCATAAAGAAAAAGTCTCACAATGATATTATTATTTTTATTGGATCCAACATTCTATCATTGGTCATATAAAAGTTAACAGTGACATTTATTTACAGTGACATTTATTTACAGTGACATTTATAGTGGCTTAATCACCCATTTTCATTGCATTTGCTAACATACCTGCTTTACAGTTGTCATAGCAAAAAGCATGACTTATCATAATAAAAACATTACATTGGCTTGTTACATACAGCACGTAAACCACTGGATGACAGCAGTGAGCTTTAAAAGAGGACTGTCATGGGAACTTTTCAGGACTATTTCATCACACTTTTTCACAGGACTGTCCCGTTGCCTTCTGAAGTCTGAGAAGTGGACCTGCTGTATTTGGACATAGACAACCTCTCTTGGGCCATCTTTCTCTGCAGCAGCATCCTCATTCTCTTCCTGAACTTTTCCCCCACGAAGGCATAGAGAACTGGATTGATGCAACTGTGCAGGAGAGCCAAGCTGTTTGTGACTCCCAGTGCCGTGGTGACAGAAGTCCTTCTTGCACAGTCGTTTGGAATCAGGTCCGCTCTCAGAAGTGTATCAACAATCATGCTTAAATGATACGGCAACCAGCAAAACAAAAATACAACCACGACTGCTAGAATCACTCTCATTGCTCTGTGCTTCTGAAAACCTCTGGTGCGCAGAAGCCGAGCAATGGTGATGCTGTAGCAGGTTACCATGACACCCAGAGGAAGCAGGAAGCCAAAAATATGGCGAAACCCACGAATGGCAATCCTCCACTTTGCTGCGTTGCCAATGTCGAAGTTATCGCTGCATATCATCCAATCTGAATCATTTTTCAGCCTTGTGACGTCGTTGAAAAGAGCTGGCAAGGCAAGGGCGCAACCCAGGGCCCACACGCCAGCACACAAGATCTGACTGCACATCCTCTGTCTACTTTTTAGGCTTTCACTGGCGTGCACAATCACAAGGTATCGGTCAACGCTGATACATGCCAAGAACAAGATGCTGGTGTAGAAATTTGTGTCAAAAATGAGGCTCAAGAATTTGCACATGAACTCTCCAAATAGCCACCCTCGTATCACGACTACAGCCCAGAATGGTATGGTTAAAGCCATAAGTCCATCTGCTATAGTGAGGTGAAATAAGTAGACATCAGATGGGGTTAGGGCATGATGGCTGGTGCGTATTACCCAGCCCACTAACACATTGCCAGGGATTGCCAGAATAAAGATGGCAATAAGGAGGAGACAAATCGTCACGCCAACAGAAGGGTCCAGTAGTTTGACCTCACAGGGGATGGCATTTGGGTTCACAATGTAGGTTGTGACAGAGTTGTGACTGCTGTCGTTTAGTTCGTAAAGGAAATCTTCATCGAAATCCACCACAATAGACATGGTGGGAATAATACAACTGAAAGAAAAGAGACATTAAGAATTAGAATTAAATACTTTGTTTGAAAAATATTGTGATCTTACCTTCTGCCCTACAGCCACAGGTACTAAGGGGCTTGGAAGATTTAAATGATTTTTTTTCGAAAAGGATTTACCCAATATCCTGTCGCTTATAGCTTCCTTTAGGCAGGCTGTGATATTGCCCCATGTCCTGGCATCTTAATGCTGAATATTTTACCATATACTTTACAATATCTATTTTGAATGTTTATTGAGAATCTTTTTGAGACGTTTGATTGAAGTTAGAACACAAAACAAGATGTATAGTTTTAGAGAATGACTATCTTGAGTAGAATGTGGTAAGATGTTCCGGATGTCTCCTCATGGCACTTTTTTGAAACGCAACACTGTGTTTTTTTCCGCTGTTGAAATGCTTTCCCACACTGCCTTTGTTTCTCTGATTTTAGTTATCTTCAGCTGTATCGGTGAAGGGCCAGTCTTTAATGGCTAGGCAAATACTTTGTCAGGTCTTAAACATGTGACTAATAACAGGCTCATGCCAGGAGGAGGGCCCCAGAGCTGTCCTTGTAAATGTGAAGACACTCAGAGACAAGTATCGTCCCCACCTTCTGCTCACTGCAGGCGACATAAATCACCTCGTCACCAAAGAGTCCACTCAACAAAGCAGTGATTACGAGGAATCATTTTTACTTCATGGCAAATGTTGATTGCCTAAAATCCAGTATAAACATTTCACTTACTGGATGAAAAGACTTTTAAGTCATGTTTATTTATGTAACGCATTTACACCATTTTGCGCTTTTCCATTTTCAACCACCCTCCCTCCAACAAAGCAAAACTGCAAAGCAAAACTATGTTAGATATTATGAATTACATGAAAAAAGTACTATTTTGAAATGCCCCAGCTGAGAGGTGAGATGGATTATCTTGATGAAGGAGGAGTTTTCCTCACCACAGATTTGAACAGATTTGTGACTATGTTTTGTTCTTACAATGTACATGGAAAATCCTTTCAGCTCTTGAAATAGATAGATAGGTAGATACTTTATTGATTCCCCGCAGCAGAAATTCAGGTGTCCAGCAGCAGAAGACAGTACAGTCAGTCAGGTTTGTTGTACAGTCTGACAGCAGAAAGAACAAGGATCTCTTGAAAAGTTCCGTTCGGCAGCGCAGTGATAGGAGTCTGTTACTTCAATGACTCCTCTGGGCGGCCACAGTGTCATACAGACGGTGTCTGGAGTTACCCAGGATGCCCTGTACTAGAGCCCTCATCCTTCTCTCCAGCACAGCTCCCACAGAGTCCACACTTCTCCCCATCACAGAGACACATTTCCTGATCAGCCCTTCGAGCTGGTTACTGTCTCTCGAGGTCAGACTGGCCCCAACACACGACCCTGAAGAACACGGCACTAGCTACCACAGACTGGTAAAAAATGTGCAACATTTGACTGCTCACATCAAAGGACCTCAGTCTACTCAGAAAGAAAAGTCTGCTCTGACCTTTCTTAAAGTCCAGTCCAGTCTGTGGTCCAGGTGGACTCCCAGGTATTTATAGAAGTGAACTACTTTGATGCCCTGTCCATTTACTGTGACTGGTCGATGGGAAGGGCTCCTGTGAAAGTTGATGATCATCTCCTTGGTCTTGGACACATTGAGAATCAGTCCATTTCTCTCACTCCAGTCTGAGAAGACAGCCACCTCCCTGTACTCTGCTTCATCCCCCCTTCACATATGCCACAACAGCGGTATCGTCCGAGTATTTTTGTACACGTCATGTAGCAGAGTTGTCTGCAGTGTAAATTGTGAATAGGACGGGAGCCAGAACGGTATACTTGCTGGTGCCCAGAGTCAGAACTAAACATGGGGAGGCTGCATTTCAGATTCATGCTGCTAAAATCTGGAACAATCTTCCTGAAGATGTGAGACAGGCCTCCTCTCTGACAATGTTTAAAACCAGGTTAAAAACAGTTCTGTTTAGCTCTGCATACAACTGAGGGATTTTATATTTTATATTTTATCTTTCTTTTGAATGTACTGTGATTCTTTATGATTGTCTTTTAATTTTAATCTTATTTTGTTCAAGCGCTTTGAGTCGCCTTGTGTATTAATTGTGCTATACAAATAAACTTGCCTTGCCTTGCCTTACCCTGTGGTGCTCCCGTATTGCTTGCAACAGTCCCAGACACGCTCTTCCCTAACCTGACATACTGTGACCTCACAGTGAGGTAATTGTAAATCCAGTTGGTAAAGATGGAAATGGGGAGGGAAAGTTTTCATTCATATTTTTATTCTCTATATCAGTGTCTCCCAAAGTGGGGTCCGCGGCCCCCTGGTGGGCCGCGAGGGTACTGCAGGGGGGCCGCGGGAGGTCATAAAAAAAATAAAAAAAAAAATATAATTATTTAATGTTAAATTTATAATGTTTTGTTTGTAATATTAAAATATTTGTGTTCATTATTTGACTTGAATAATCCACTGTAATCATTTTTGTATTACAATGTTTGTAGCAGAGGCTATTTCCCCAAAATAAAATAACCAGAAGAGCCTATTCTTAATGTTGTCTTCTTGGTTATTATTTTGGGGGGCCACGCAGACCCGTCAGATTTTTAAGGGGGCCTCGGTGTTACTGAGTTTGGGAATGGCTGCTGGAAAAAAGGCTAAGGCTACCTATCTCAAATAATATCTAAAATGTGTGCTGTCATGCATTCATATAGTTTTTGTAAGAGATTCGGACAAATGCAGCACGTTTGAATGAAAACAGAAACGACATTTGGAAGAATACTTTCAGAACTGAAATACAAACATACACGTTTATTGATGGGAAATCAAAAGAGTTCCTAGACAAGGCAACAAACCCCGAGGACATAGAATGTTTCCAGAGAAAATAAACAAAACACATAACAACAATTCTTACTTAAATATAAATACACAGAAAGCCAAGTCTTTTTTTCTGGACACAGCCATTATGAATTTAAATGGAAATTCTTAAAATATTATGTTGGTTTTTATTGTTAATGGATGACGTGAGAGGTGACTTCGTTTTGAAATATTTTATATGCTGTAAAAAGCGATGATTCTTTTAGTGAAGCGAATGAACTGTTGTTGTTTCTTCCATTGGCCTTGGTTCTGTTGTGTCGACGTGCTCAGCAGCAGCTGTGCGTAAAGAACGCGGAAGTGACTGTGGACAGGCGGAAGTGGTCTGGACGGAAGCGGGTTCGTCTGTCAAGGGAGGAAATCGCTGAATTTGACACAAAGAGGGTTAACCCAACAATTCTCCAATATTATCCCCCCTATCCTCAGAGCCCAACATGATCCTTTTAGAAATTAATAACCGCATCATAGAGGAGACGCTGACGCTGAAGTTCGACGGCGCGTCCAATGGGTAAGACATGATGCTCACCTGATTAGCAATGCTAACACCAGCTAGCTTCAGCACAGAGTTTTCTTCCGTATTTATATTTCGCTATGGTATGCAGGACTTTGACTGGTCGCCAAGGAAACCTGTACCTGTTCAGTGTCCTGTCGTTATTGAGGCTTTGTTTTTATTCTGAGATATTGAACCAGGAGCTTTAGCTGCGCCCTGCTCCTGCAGCCGGGGTGTGTCAGGGCACAAGCTTCACCCGAAGTCTGATCAGATCTATTGCAGTAATTCCACTTGTGCTTCTTAATACATAACATTTAGATAAGGCTGTGTAAATCCTCTCTGCACTTTGCATGACATTTATTAGTCAGATTCAGGCAGTATCTTGGGCTGGTGACTGTTGCAGAGACTGGCATACGCTGCACTGTTATTCCACTGCTTGTGCGAGTGGTACGTTTTTCATATATTATATAATATTGTCATGATACTTTGTCACACTATTTCGGCTGCACAGTTAAACTGCTTTCCAGTGGCTGTGTCCGTCTCTTCCGCATTCCAGTGGTCCTGTTGAGTCAAGTCTGTCCTCTGAAACAGCTCGCTGCTGCAGTTTTAAAACTCTCTGTCCCTCGAAGTCTTCAATAATGTTTTCAGTAGTCTATTATTTAAACACAGTATTAACTCCTGTTTGAAATGGGTCAAGCATAAATACATGTTCTTTTCTACCACTTTTACTGCAACTGTAGATGAATTGTTATGCCACACATGTTTGTTTTATATATCATGTTATTTTTGCAGAACCAAGCCAGAGGCTGTGGAAGTGACCTTTGCAGGTAAAATACCAATCACTACAACTTGCCACCATCTCACACAATTTAGTTACTATTGATGATAAAATAAGGACTAGTTATGTATACTGTTATTTACCTCAATGTAATTCATGTTTTGATGTAAGGACCTATGTCGTAAATGGAGCTTTGTTTGCTACATCAATTATCTAAAACCACTGTATTATATTGTGATAAACCATTGTTATACGTTTGATCACAAATTAAACATTTTAAATTAGTCACTGAAAACCAATCGTGATGGCACAGCGCCAGACCACAAGGTTTTATTCTAGTTCTCAAATAGATCTTCTTAAATCTATCTAATATCAACATTTTTATTGCTATGTTTTTGCTAATTGACATGTTTAAGTTTCTAGTTTTGATACTATTATCATTATTTTAATAACAGATTTGTCATATTATTAACAATAACTATTTACTCTTCTTTGGGCGGCACGGTGGCTGAGTGGATAGCACTCTCGCCTCTCAGCAAGAAGGTCCTTGGTTCGAATCCCGGCCGGACAAGGGCCTTTCTGAGTGGAGTTTGCATGTTCTCCCCGTGTCTGCGTAGGTTTCCTCCGGGTGCTCCGGTTTCCCCTACCACTAAAAATATGTACAATAGGTCTTGCATGCGCCTCCTGTTCGGCGACCCCGCTCCCATCTCTCTGTGTGGAGTGAGAGACAAATGCCCAAAAAATAACAATTGTAAACCGCTTTGTGACTCTGGTCTGTGAAAGGCGGTATATAAATAAAGCTTACTACTTACTTACTTACTTACTTTGGTAACTCACAGTTGTGACTACAACATTTACACATTTGTGAAGTATATTCATTGTTAGAGTGTTATGGGGTATTTTGGAGATTAAAGGAGAGACAGGATAAATTATTTTTGGATGTAGTCTTTCAACTGCTCCTCTGTTACAGATTTTGATGGCGTCCTTTACCATATCTCCAACCCCAATGGGGACAAGACCAAAGTGATGGTCAGCATCTCCCTGAAGTTTTACAAGGAGCTTCAGGAGCACGGAGCTGACGAGGTAACTACCAAACCACATGCTTCACAGATGTGAAAAAGACGCATCTTTTTATAGAAATTAGAGTCAATGTCAAGTTCCTTTGCCATGTAAGGAAGAAACAAGCTTCTGCTAGAGACAGGAAGTGAGTGTTTTGAGTCAGCTCGTGCGAGGAAGTGCTGACTGCAGCCTGGAGTCCATAGTTTTCTTTCAGCTCCTCGTCCCCCAGGGATGAGTGAATGAACCCACTGTGAACCATTCATGTTTCGTGCCAATATTTGCTCTATTTGTGCAGCAAAACAAAGAATCATTTGTGTGATATTTTTCTTTTGAATACAAATAGATTTTTAAGGAGATGGTTCTCATAAGACATGTTTAGAAATGCATTGCTCACTATTTATTCCTATTACAGCTGCTCAAGAGAGTTTATGGAAATTTCTTGGTTGCACCTGAGGCGGGTATGTTTTACATAATGTCATTTTTGAAATGCCACAAATCCTTTAGTGAAACAGTATTATAATGTGGTGTATTGATGGACTATATATAATTTGTACTTTCCAGGTTACAACGTGTCTCTCTTATATGACCTCGAAGCATTGCCAGCCAACAAAGAAGCAGTTGTCCACCAAGCAGGGATTCTCAAAAGGAACTGCTTTGCCTCCGTCTTTGAGAAATACTTTAAGTTCCAGGAGGAAGGCAAGGAAGGAGAGCAGAGGGCCGTAGTCCACTACAGAGATGATGAGTCTATGTATGTCACTTCAACCACAGTTTGTTTTAAAGAGCCACTATTTTACTCTGTTAGATTGCACACATTGGGGGAAAAAAATATTTCGACACCAATTTTGAAAGTACTCGCTTAACTCACTTTAGCAAATTATTCAGGAAAACAATTATTTTGTCAGAAACAAAAGGCCGTTTTAAATATGTTCTTAATACCATTTATTGGCAATGACAAATGACAATTTTCATCATCGTATACCCCATAGGTCACCTGTGATGACAATTACAGGCATCTCATCTTTTTAAGTGGGACTGACTAAGGGCTGGGCAATAAATCGAATTTAGAGTGAATGAATAATACCTACAATATCAGCACAGTCTGTACAAGACTTTTATAATATGTATTGGGGGAAGCAAATTAAAAATAGTTGTGAAACTTGAATATTGAGCGGAAAGATCAAAATATATTTTTAAGGGCAAAGTCTGTCTTCGGTGACTTTAATGAAAATCAATTTAAAATCAAAGTTGTCCAAAGCAGAAAATAAGATCGAGATTTTACTGTTTTGCCATATCGCCCAGCTCTAGACTGACTTAATACTTATAAACCTCTGTATGATCCGGTTTAATACTCAGTATTGTAAAGATGGGTGAAACCATTGTTCAGACTTTTAGTTGAATTTTCCAGGACCAAGTTTCTCCTTTTGGAAATTAATTTTAGCAAAGATATAGTCTCTAACTGTCCGTGTTGTCTCAGGTATGTGGAGTCGAAGAAGGACCGGGTCACTGTGGTTTTCAGCACAGTCTTCAAAGATGATGACGATGTCATTATTGGAAAAGTCTTCATGCAGGTGCGTAACTATTTTTACTACAGAAGTTACTACACAGACATTAGTCTGATTTCATGGACCTTTTCATTATTTATTTGCATATTCTCAAAGAAAATGTCTCTGTTCATTCCAACATGTCAGGTATTAATTACAAAGAGGTGCATGTTGTAACCATTGTAGACCTACAATTACCCCCTCCCCCTAAAGGTTTCGGTCTTACAGCAACTTTAAACTTCCTCTTCTCTTTGATCTTCAACATCAACATCTTTGATGTTGACTTTAAAATCAAGTCACCATTTCTTTCCCTTCCATTGTCCCACTCCTGGTTAAGATAAGATAAGATGTGCTTTATTTATCTCACAGAGGAGAAATTTACATGTCACATTTGGCATGGATAGAGACACTCAGATTGTGCAAAAGGAGGAAATGTGCAAACATGTTACATGCAGGATATATGTACAATAAAAGTGACAATAATTATGTACAACAAAAGTGACAAGTGTCACTGCACCGCCTGCTTTGTGTCTATGGATCGATCGGTAGCTTCCAATAGACACTTTGATCACAAATATATGTCATGAGGGCTGTTCACTTTAGAATCAAACATCAGTCCTTACAATGTCACTGAAACGTCAAAACAGACAGAAGAAGACAAAGAGACCAGGGTCCACCTCAGTTGGACCAAGTGTGAATGCACCGTTAGTTGTGAAGGTGTGATCATGACATGCCTCAAAGAGGACGAAATCTGATTTATAACTGGAAATAAGTCGTTTGTATCTACATTTATTTTAAAAGGTCTTATTTCTAAACTGTTCATTCTGCACTTGCAGGAGTTCAAGGAGGGCCGGCGAGCCAGTCACACTGCCCCACAAGTGCTTTTCAGCCACAGGGAGCCCCCCCTGGAGCTGAAGGACACGGACGCAGCAGTCGGAGACAACATCGGATACATCACTTTTGGTTTGTACAAAGGAAATAAACGTCTTGTGTTTAATGCATTTCTTTGCAATTAACTTTTGGAAATATCTTTTACTTTTAGTGCTGTTCCCCCGTCACACCAACACCAATGCCAGAGACAACACCATCAACCTCATCCACACCTTCAGGGACTATCTGCACTACCACATAAAGTGCTCCAAGGTGCTTCATTTAACAGTATCATGTTTCTGTATTGGGTGTTATTGCATGTTATGTGTCGTCAATACAATGTGTGCTGTGGGAGATACTCAGACAGGCAGGCAGACAGGAGTCTGTAATGTCACAAAGACAAACATTTATGGGTGGGTGGGTGAAACGTGCAAACAATGTGCAAATACTGTGACTATAATGAGAAGCTGTTATCAGCGTTTGCACAACCAAAGACAAGCGGGCTTTGTCATTTTCAGTTCTCAGAAAAGTGTGTAATTGGATAATTTGGAGCTGGTTGCACTAGTTTGAAAAATGTCAAATCCAATGTGACTCTAAATGAGTGTTCTTACTTAGAACACTGGCTGAGTGGATAGCACTCTCACCTCTCAGCAAGAAAGTCCTGGGTTCGAATCCTTTCTGAGTGGAGTTTGCATGTTCTCCCCGTGTCTGTGTAGGTTTCCTCCGGGTACTCCGGTTTCCCCTACCACTAAAAACATGTACAATAGTTCTGGCATGCGCCTCCTGTTCGGCGACCCCGCTTCCATCTCTGTGTGGAGTGAGACAAGTGCCCAAAAATAACAATTGTAAACCGCTTTGAGAATCTGGTCTGTGAAAGGCGGTATATAAATAAAGATTACTTACTTACTTCTTGTGTGTTTTAGGCCTACATTCACACACGTATGAGGGCCAAGACGTCAGACTTCCTCAAGGTCCTGAACCGGGCCCGACCAGACGCCGAGAAGAAGGAGATGAAGACAATCTCGTAAGTCTCGTTGCTTATTCTGCGCTCGATCATTGAGTCGTTACTAAGTTTTGTTCGTGAATATAAGAATGAGCTCTTTGCATAGAGTTCATGACTCACTAACTCTGAACGTGTGTGGCTTTATTTTGTTTAAAAATGAATCTCTTTGGAATTTTTACAGCTTTCAGTGGAACTAAACCCTTCTTATCACATACACAATCTTCCCAGTCGCTCTTTGTCAGATTCCTCTGAACTTGGCACAGATTTCTGTAAAGCTGATGTTTACCTTCGCTCAGACACAACATGTTATTTCCATTTCCTTCAAGTTCAAAGGGACTGGTTTTTGACCAGATGTTCGACTAGTTTCAGCCAATACCAAAAGCAAATGAAAATGATTGGGTGAGAGTATTTATTTAATAATGACATTTATTGTTTCCATTTCAGTGGAAAGACGTTCTCCCGCTGAGGCCTTCCTCCGGACTAATCCAAATACGCCGCACTCGGACTGAACGCGATCGGACAGAATCCAGGATGCCTCCAAATGCGCCCTACCAACAAATTCCACTCTTTGTTTTGTATAAAATACTGTGGGCTTTCCTTAGGAAAAGCCGTTGTTTCTTGTAATGAAAGGGCATTCCTCGCTTTGCATAGTAAGAGAATATTAGTCCTATATAAATATATATATGAAATATGACATTTTTGATACAATATCTTCTCCATTTGGTACTCGGCTTGGCCCGACCCCCGTGGCATCCTCAAATGGGACCCGAACCCTCTCTGTGCTTTGTCTCTACTCTTTACCATTGTCATTTGAAAGAAAAATAAATCACGCTTCAAAAACGTTTGTATGTTGTGGTCTTCATGAGGTTAAGATTTCATTGGCCCTTTTTCTCTGACTTGATCTTGATTTCTGTACATAAATATGTCCATCCATCCATTTTCTTCCCCTTAATCCATTTCTGGGTCAGGGGGGTGGCAGTCAGAGCTGCACCAGGACACAGAGCACCAGCCCCTCACTGATCCTCCTCCTGTGGTGAGTCCACAGGAGCTGAGATCTTTCAGCGGGGGCTTCAGGCAAAGTGGGGTTAAGCTCTGGAGGTGTGACTTTATTTTGTTTAAAAATAAATATCTTTGGAATTTTTTACAGCTTTCAGTGGAACTAAAGCCTTCTTATCAAATACACAATCTTTTCCCGGTCGCCTTTGTCAGATTCCTCAGAATTTGGCACACATTTCTGTAAAACTGGTTCGTCCGCCTCAGAGCTCCGTGCTGGGGTGGGGGCCACGCTTTCAGCCTCTATCCGTGAAGGCTCCGAGCTGTTGTTGAAAGAGAGAGACTTTTCCTGCTTCACTTCTGCCTCCTCTTCCTCCTCTTCCTCCTCTGACTGCGGAGGTTCACGGTTCAGTTTCAGCAGACCTGGGGAAGAAAACAGATTCACTCCCTTTTCCAATTCAATGGTAATAACTTTAAGTGTGTTAGTTTGCGTTGGTGGCCAGAGAAATCAATTTGAAGTGCTGTTTAGTCCAGTGCTTTGTGAGATGCTTAAGTGATTCATTAGGTGCACAATATCACACACTTCTTTCTATATCACTGCAAAAAATGATAAAACATGAAGTTGCTTGAATTGAGTGGTTTTCATCTCAATCTGAGTACATTCTGACTGTCTTAAAACAAGATTAGCCAGTTTTAATCTTTTAGTTTCTCATTCCAATAGAGACGTGTGAAAAAACTAGTCACATTTCAACAACATAATCTCTTTAATACATGTTGTCAGCCGCTGGTTCAAAACTACAGGTTATCTGGACATCAGCACAAACAGACAAGTTACAGACTACAGTCTAGTCTGGGTCTCTGCTGGATGGAAAGCAGCAGAAGAGTGACAAAGAAATGGACAAAGAACTCTGGTCTTATACCATGATAATTAAAGCCATATGTCCCTCCATCCATAGGTGAGAACAATACCTCCTATTGTTCAAACCAAACAGTAGCCCCTGTGTAAGTAAGCCTGAGGCTACTCTAAACAGATGTTTTCTGCGCTCTTCTTAATTTAACTTCCTGTGTTTAATGGCTGGGGGATGGGAGAATGCTGCTGATGCGTCCATCACATCCCATCACACACACGTAGCTTAACCCAAAGCTGTCTAAACTTTTAATATATTCTAATTCACTTTAATGAAAATCCAACAACTCTACTAACAAGACGTTTCTTGTATTTTTTAAAAACAAGATCATTTTGCTTTGTCTCATCGGTAAATCTTGTCATAGGAAATAAAAAATGAGCCAAAATGACGATACATGTGGCCAAATCTGAGCAACTATTTTTATTTTTCATCACTTTTTGCAGTGTATGTTTATTTCCCTGCCTTAAAAATCTCCTAGTGCTAAACTTAACTTTTTATTAATTCTTTATTTTTTATTTTCTCTGTCTTACCTTCGTCCACTGCATCGTCTAAAGAAAACTCCATGCTGTCAGGAGGGAAAGAGCACTTGTTTTGAGGTCGTGTCAGAAATGAGCCACAGCTACTGCAGCGTAACAAAAGCAAAACTATTCTACTTAATTCATGTATTTTTATTTTACCTCTCTGGATCCGTGATGACGCCGTGCATCAGCTCATGATAGTAGCGGGTCTCTTCTTGCAGCTTCAACATGACCATGAGCAGATTGTTATATAAATATATATATATATATATATATATATATATATATATATGAAATATGACATTTTTGATACAATATCTTCTCCATTTGGTACTCGGCTTGGCATCCTCAAATGGGACCCGAACCCTCTCTGTGCTTTGTCTCTACTCTGTACCATTGTCATTTGAAAGAAAAATAAATAACGCTTAAAAAACGTTTGTATGTTGTGGTCTTCATGAAGTTAAGTTTTCATTGGCCCTTTTTCTCTAACTTGATCTTGATTTCTGTACATAAATATGTCCATCCATCCATTTTCTTCCCCTTAATCCATTTCTGGGTCAGGGGGGTGGCAGTCAGAGCTGCACCAGGACACAGAGCACCAGCCCCTCACTGATCCTCCTCCTGTGGTGAGTCCACAGGAGCTGAGATCTTTCAGCGGGGGCTTCAGGCAAAGTGGGGTTAAGCTCTGGAGGTGTGACTTTATTTTGTTTAAAAATAAATATCTTTGGAATTTTTACAGCTTTCAGTGGAACTAAACCCTTCTCATCAAATACACAATCTTTTCCCGGTCGCCTTTGTCAGATTCCTCTGAACTTGGCACACATTTCTGTAAAGCTGATTCTCAATCTGAGTATATTCTGACTGTCTTAAAACAAGATGAGCCAGTTTTAATCTTTTAGTTTCTCATTCCAATAGAGACGTTTCTTTTTCAGTGGAACTAAACCCTTCTTATCAAATACACAATCTTTTCCCGGTCGCCTTTGTCAGATTCCTCTGAACTTGGCACACATTTCTGTAAAGCTGATTTTTATCTTCGCTCAGACACAAGATGTTATTGGCGACAGCAGTCATCAGTGGGGGTCGTGTAGTAGGTCTTACGGTGGGCTTGATCAAACAACATTCAGGTCCAAAGGCCAATGCTCTACCAACTGAGCTACTGTCACCCCCAATATGTCCGTGTTGGTCTGAAAATCCTGGAGCTGCGCTGGTTCGAATGAAACAGGTCAGAAAACCCAAAGATAAACTTATGTGGCAACATGTTGTCAGTGTTTGCTTCTCACTCTCCTTTGGCTCAAGTTTGACTGTTCCTTGTGTAGTTATTAAGTTATTCACATGAATCTCGGTTGAATGTAAATATAATGCATGTATGTGTCAAATACAGTGCGTAATTACTCATAAGCTCGTCATTTGGCTCGGGAAAACCATTGATGATACTGCAGTGAAGGAACATCCAGAAAAGGGAATACCGCCTTAACAACATGGGCCCTTAAACATCTATGAACAGCAATAACAAAGTGCTACTTTTCCACAGATTTATTATAAAGCCACAACACAATATACTCAGGACTTGCATTAACATAAACCATAGATCACTTATTCTGCTGTTTCTTTCTTTGGTTTTTCATCATCAGACTCAGAAGATGATGAAGATGATGATGAGGAGGAGGAAGACGAAGACGATGATGAAGAAGATGATCTCTCTCTCTTCATGACCTCATCCCTTGCTGGAGGCAGAGGTCTGTCGTCCGCCTCAGAGCTCCGTGCTGGGGTGGGGGCCACGCTTTCAGCCTCTATCCGTGAAGGCTCCGAGCTGTTGTTGAAAGAGAGAGACTTTTCCTGCTTCACTTCTGCCTCCTCTGCCTCCTCTTCCTCCTCTGACTGCGGAGGTTCACGGTTCAGTTTCAGCAGACCTGGGGAAGAAAACAGATTCACTCCCTTTTCCAATTCAATGGTAATAACTTTAAGTGTGTTAGTTTGCGTTGGTGGCCACAGAAATCAATTTGAAGTGCTGTTTAGTCCAGTGCTTTGTGAGATGCTTAAGTGATTCATTAGGTGCACAATATCACACACTTCTTTCTATATCACTGCAAAAAATGATAAAACATGAAGTTGCTTGAATTGAGTGGTTTTCATCTCAATCTGAGTACATTCTGACTGTCTTAAAACAAGATTAGCCAATTTTAGTCTTTTAGTTTCTCATTCCAATAGAGACGTTTCTTGTATTTTTTTAAAAACAAGATCATTTTGCTTTGTCTCATCGGTAAATCTTGTCGTAGGAAATAAAAAATGAGCCAAAATGACGATACATGTGGCCAAATCTGAGCAACTTTTTTTCTTTTTCATCACTTTTTGCAGTGTATGTTTATTTCCCTGCCTTAAAAATCTCCTAGTGCTAAATTTAACTTTTTATTAATTCTTTATTTTTTATTTTCTCTGTCTTACCTTCGTCCACTGCATCATCTAAAGAAAACTCCATGCTGTCAGGAGGGAAAGAGCACTTGTTTTGAGGTCGTGTCAGAAATGAGCCACAGCTACTGCAGCGTAACAAAAGCAACACTATTCTACTTAATTCATGTATTTTATTTTTTTTAAATTTTATTTTTACCTCTCTGGATCCGTGGTGACGCCGTGCATCAGCTCATGATAGTAGCGGGTCTCTTCTTGCAGCTTCAACTTGACCATGAGCAGATTGTTATATAAATATATATATAAATATATATATGAAATATGACATTTTTGATACAATATCTTCTCCATTTGGTACTCGGCTTGGCCCGACCCCCGTGGCATCCTCAAATGGGACCCGAACCCTCTCTGTGCTTTGTCTCTACTCTGTGCCATTGTCATTTGAAAGAAAAATAAATTACGCTTCAAAAACGTTTGTATGTTGTGGTCTTCATGAAGTTAAGTTTTCATTGGCCCTTTTTCTCTGACTTGATCTTGATTTCTGTACATAAATATGTCCATCCATCCATTTTCTTCCCCTTAATCCATTTCTGGGTCAGGGGGGTGGCAGTCAGAGCTGCACCAGGACACAGAGCACCAGCCCCTCACTGATCCTCCTCCTGTGGTGAGTCCACAGGAGCTGAGATCTTTCAGCGGGGGCTTCAGGCAAAGTGGGGTTAAGCTCTGGAGGTGTGACTTTATTTTGTTTAAAAATAAATATCTTTGGAATTTTTACAGCTTTCAGTGGAACTAAACCCTTCTCATCAAATACACAATCTTTTCCCGGTCGCCTTTGTCAGATTCCTCTGAACTTGGCACACATTTCTGTAAAGCTGATTCTCAATCTGAGTATATTCTGACTCTCTTAAAACAAGATGAGCCAGTTTTAATCTTTTAGTTTCTCATTCCAAGAGAGACGTTTCTTTTTCAGTGGAACTAAACCCTTCTTATCAAATACACAATCTTTTTCCGGTCGCCTTTGTCAGATTCCTCTGAACTTGGCACACATTTCTGTAAAGATAAGATAAGATATGATTTGCTTTATTTATCTCACATAGGAGAAATTTACATAAAGACATAGCCCGGAATCGAACCCGGGTTCCTGCATCGTAAGCGCACAGTTTTGACCACTAGACCACCGATTCACAAAGCTAAAAAACCGCCAGAGCCGCCAGAGCCGCCTCTACCTGCTACCTCAGGTCTTTTGGAGTGCAGGGGCCACTCCTGAAGACCTTCTATGACTCTGGTGGCATCAGCCTCTTGTACGGTGTGGTCTGCTGGAACAGCAGCATCACAGAGAGGGACAGGAAGAAGCTGGACAAGGTCATCAGGAAGTCCAGCTCAGTCCTGGGCTGTTCCCTGGACACAGTGCAGCAGGTGGGGGACAGGAGGGTCCTGAGCAAACTAACATCAATGCTGGACCATGACTGTCGCCCCCTGCAGGACACTCTCTCTGCTCTGGAGAGCAGCTTCAGTGACAGACTAATTCACCCTCGATGTGTGAAGGAGAGGTTTCGCAGGTCTTTCCTTCCTGCTGCTGTCAGACTGTACAACGAGAATGTGTAACAGGAACTGCTGAGTCTGCACAAGTGTTTCTGATAATTCACTAGTAACTTTGTCACTAGTCACTTTACCTGTTATCAGTACTACTACAATACTACATATCTGATATTTACTGTTATCAGTACTACTGTATTATTTCATATCTGATAATTCTGCCTTTCACCGTCACTTTACCTGTTGATATCTTACTGTATTATTCATATCCATCTGATAATTCTCCCATTCAAGTCACTTTACCTGTTGATATTATTTCTGATGTTTATTCTGCTCATATTCATATCCGCATATTCTCCGCTGCTAATGTATAATATAGACGTCTGTAAATACTCCGAACCAAGTGCAATTATAGCCCAGAGTTTCTTATTTTATTTTATTTTATTTTATCTTAAATTTATTGTCTATTATCTTAAATAATAGACTTTGATGTGTGCAATCTGAGTGCTCTTATTTCCTTTCTCTGCTGTAATGTGCAACGATGACACTGAAATTTCTCCACTGTGAGACTAATAAAGGTTTATCTTATCTTATCTTATCTGATTTTTATCTTCGCTCAGACACAAGATGTTATTGGCGACAGCAGTCATCAGTGGGGGTCGTGTAGTAGGTCTTACGGTGGGCTTGATCAAACAACATTCAGGTCCAAAGGCCAATGCTCTACCAACTGAGCAACTGTCACCCCCAATATGTCCGTGTTGGTCTGAAAATCCTGGAGCTGCGCTGGTTCGAATGAAACAGGTCAGAAAACCCAAAGATAAACTTATGTGGCAACATGTTGTCAGTGTTTGCTTCTCACTCTCCTTTGGCTCAAGTTTGACTGTTCCTTGTGTAGTTATTAAGTTATTCACATGAATCTCGGTTGAATGTAAATATAATGCATGTATGTGTCAAATACAGTGCGTAATTACTCATAAGCTCGTCATTTGGCTCGGGAAAACCATTGATGATACTGCAGTGAAGGAACATCCAGAAAAGGGAATACCGCCTTAACAACATGGGCCCTTAAACATCTATGAACAGCAATAACAAAGTGCTACTTTTCCACAGATTTATTATAAAGCCACAACACAATATACTCAGGACTTGCATTAACATAAACCATAGATCACTTATTCTGCTGTTTCTTTCTTTGGTTTTTCATCATCAGACTCAGAAGATGATGAAGATGATGATGAGGAGGAGGAAGACGAAGACGATGATGAAGAAGATGATCTCTCTCTCTTCATGACCTCATCCCTTGCTGGAGGCAGAGGTCTGTCGTCCGCCTCAGAGCTCCGTGCTGGGGTGGGGGCCACGCTTTCAGCCTCTATCCGTGAAGGCTCCGAGCTGTTGTTGAAAGAGAGAGACTTTTCCTGCTTCACTTCTGCCTCCTCTGCCTCCTCTTCCTCCTCTGACTGCGGAGGTTCACGGTTCAGTTTCAGCAGACCTGGGGAAGAAAACAGATTCACTCCCTTTTCCAATTCAATGGTAATAACTTTAAGTGTGTTAGTTTGCGTTGGTGGCCACAGAAATCAATTTGAAGTGCTGTTTAGTCCAGTGCTTTGTGAGATGCTTAAGTGATTCATTAGGTGCACAATATCACACACTTCTTTCTATATCACTGCAAAAAATGATAAAACATGAAGTTGCTTGAATTGAGTGGTTTTCATCTCAATCTGAGTACATTCTGACTTTTAAAACAAGATTAGCCTGTTTTAATCTTTTAGTTTCTCATTCCAATAGAGACGTTTCTTGTATTTTTTAAAAACAAGATCATTTTGCTTTGTCTCATCGGTAAATCTTGTCATAGGAAATAAAAAATGAGCCAAAATGACGATACATGTGGCCAAATCTGAGCAACTTTTTTTATTTTTCATCACTTTTTGCAGTGTATGTTTATTTCCCTGCCTTAAAAATCTCCTAGTGCTAAACTTAACTTTGTATTAATTCTTTATTTTTTATTTTCTCTGTCTTACCTTCGTCCACTGCATCGTCTAAAGAAAACTCCATGCTGTCAGGAGGGAAAGAGCACTTGTTTTGAGGTCGTGTCAGAAATGAGCCACAGCTACTGCAGCGTAACAAAAGCAACACTATTCTACTTAATTCATGTTTTTTATTTAGCGTTTTTTTTGTTTGTTGTTTTTTTACCTCTCTGGATCCGTGGTGACGCCGTGCATCAGCTCATGATAGTAGCGGGTCTCTTCTTGCAGCTTCAACTTGACCATGAGCAGATTGTTGTTCTTCTCCAGCTGTCTCTCCAACTCATTCCTCACCTCTTTCAGCTCGGCCTCCAGCTCTTTGATCCGTTTGTTCAGAGGAGACAAGCGGATGTTGTGCTCCACTTTGCCTGATTTGAGATTCTGCTCCAAACTGTAAATCTGCAAACAGCAATTTCAAAACCTCTATCAATCCACCTTTACCTGTACATCATATTTCTTCTGTTTTTTTCACACTCTAGCATGTTCAGATGTGTGTAGAAAGAATCCAGGTGTTTTTTTGGGGGGGAAATGACAGGGTTGGAGAATAGAGCACAGGCCTGCAGGTAAATGTGACATAATTCAAAGTTGCAGACGCTGAAGAATTTGTGTATTTACCGTAGTGTGGGAGCTCTGGATTTTGATCTCCAGAAGTTGTTTCTCCTTCAGCAATTCCTTCAACTCGTCTTTGCTTTTACCCGTGGCCTCTGTGTTCTTGGCCTCCTCCCCTTTGACGGTGTTAAACTAAAATAAAACAAAAATTCAACCAATTTAGTAAAAAATTTATCCAACAACTTAGAGTGTTTCTTTGGCTGCTACGACTACTACTGCGACTGATAAAAATAATAATACTTTTTAATTATATGCCGCATTTATAGGGACTCAAGGTCGCCTTACAGAATCTTTAAAAACAGTAAAACATTTCTGTCACATATTTTTATCCGATTTTTTAAACAGAAAAGTGAAAAAAATTGGATCAAACTCAACTCAAGCTCAACCCAAAAAGTTAAAGAATGACTTAAAGGGCTCTTTCTAACAAGTATGCCATAACTGAACATGTTGTATAATGTTTTTCACGCCATGTTACCATCACAAAGCTCATTCTGATGTGTTTTTACTGCCACACCTTGCTCTGATACCAGTCCTCGGTCTCCTTATCGTTCTTCTTCGCCAGGTCGTCATACTGGACTCGTATTTTGTTCAAAGCTTCGGTCAAGTTGGAATCAGAAGACTCGATTTCGACTTTGACTTCAGAGTCCTTGATCTTCTCCCGCAGGTCGTCCACATCCTACAGAAGGCCCAGACGTGAGGAGATGGTTGTTTTTGAGTTTGAAGGGGAGTCAGATCTGCACTTACCCCCTTGTGGTCCGCCTTCAGTTGGTCCAGCTCGTTCTTCACCAGCTCGATGTCTTTCTCCAGGTAGGAACATTTCAGCTTGGTGTCATCGATGGTCCTCTTCTGTTCCTCCACGTCCTTCTCGATGGCCTTCGCAGCTTTCTTCTCATCGTCCAGCCTGGATTTGACAAATACAGCCTGTTAGTTTGTACATATGAGGCTGGAATAGAATGTGGACTGAAACCTACTTGGACTTTAAATCATTGGTGGCTAAATCAGTGTTGTCAACCAGCAGTAATAGCTTGGCATTTTCCTTTGTGATTTCCTTAATCTGCAAGGACACACAAACAAATCAAGTGTTTTATAAGAGATGACATGAGTAAGGCCTAATCATGTGGCCCTATAAAAAATACAAACCTTGTCTTTGAGATCATCCAGTGGTTTCTGAACCTGGTCCCAGTCTCGTCCCTCCGGAGCAGCCCTCTTGGCCAGAATGTCGTCTATCTCGTCTTCGAGCTCCTTGTTCTCCTTCTCCAGCTGCCGCACCCTGGTCAGGTACCCGTTCAGGCGGTCGTTCAGCCCCCGCAGTGGGTGCTTGTCGTCCCCAGGGGCAGCAGCAGGAGCGGCTCTATGGGAGGGCGCGGTGGCCGGGGTGATGGGGGCCTCTGCGGGGGCTGGACTGTCCCGCTCCACATCAGTGCCCATCACGCTCCGCAGACCCTCCAGGCTGGACACGGACGCCTTGGCGCCTCTGCCGCCGGCCCCTCCGTACACACTGGCAGATGAGTTCAGAGGCATGATGCAGTTTGTGTGGAGGCTGAGCAGCTGTTTGGAGACAGGTGAGTGGCCCCAGCTGCAGGTAAGTTTTATACCAGCCTACATCCATGCCTCTCGCCCTAAACCCTGCCCCACATACGCCATTGGCTCCTCTGGACAGACCATAGTTGTTTTTCTAGTTGAACTTGTGGGATTTATTCATATTTTACCTGGATTCTTGCACTTGGCTCCGTGTGATTGGACACTTCCTGCAGATGGGAGGTGATGGGTGGCCCCTTTGTCCATTTAAAAGTCTCTCCTTGGGGCGTTGTGGGTGAGTTCACTCTTCATCACCGCTGCATCAGCTGGATCTGCTGTTGTAGAGCAACATGTCCAAACCTGGAGACTTCAGCAGCCAGACCTATGCCCCAGGGGCCAAGAGGGCCGCCAGCGCTCCAGGCAACACCCGAGAGAAGGACAACATGGTGGGGCTCAATGACAAGTTTGTGCAGCTCATTGAAAAGGTAAGACTCTCACCCCCTGGACACATTTAAAATTAATCTATTTAATCTATAGCAACAGTAGCCTTTATGTATGTATTTGTCTGTTATATACATACTTACTTTATAGTTGATACAATTATTTTCAATTTTATAAAAAAAAGTTTAGGGTTAGGGTTAGGTTCATACATTTTAAGAACGCAAAAATTCATGATCCTAAAGCTTGCCAGTAATATATTACACCTGAGGCCGTGAAAAAAGCAACAAAGAATGTTTTTAGTTCTGCACACGTCTCTTGTCAGTGTTATGCTGCCACCGTGTGTTTGCTTTTATGAACTACATATTTTTTTTTGCGTCGTTAGAACAGTGAATTCTTGCTTGGCAGGTAAAACACTTGGAGAATGAGAACAAGAAGCTGGACACAAAGCTGAAGATCTTGAAGGAGCAGGAGGACTACCAGGCCCGTGTGGAGGAGGTGGTGCGGCAGATGAAGGAGAGGCTGGAGGAGCAGATCTCAAACCTCCTCCGAGACCAGAAGAAGCTGCAGGACGAGCTGGAGGCAAAGCAGCAGGAGCTCGGAGACACCAAGAACAAGTCAGCTCCAATGCATTTAAATCACTTTATATTAACATTGATGACGTTTTTCAATGTTTTTGTTGTGATTTTAGGTACAATGATGAAGTTCAGAAGAAAAATGACCTGGAGAATGAATTTATTATTGCTAAAAAGGTACAGATCAAGGATACAATATAAAATGTGAATACAGTGGGGGGGGGGGTTTTATCTTAATTTGAGTACATTCTGACTGTTTTAAAACAAGATTTATTGCCTTTATTCTCATTCCAAGCGAGATATTTCTTGTATCTTTTTAAAACAACATACTTTTGCTTGTCCCATCCGCAAATCTGGTTTTAAGGCAGTCAAAATGCTCAAATTAAAATGCATTGTGACAATTTTTTAGCAATGTTTGACTTATTTATCATGACTTTTTGCAGTGTGTTGACAAATTTTGATATTGCTATGTGAAATGGTCTCTTAAAGCTGGGGTACATAACTTTAAAACCACAAAACTGGTTCCTCGCTCTCAAGTCACAAGTCGTTTCTATCTCTAGTTTTCACGTCCATCTTTAGAGCAAGTTTGCCAAAGATAACTTGTTTTCTAAAGAGAAGAAGACGGCATGTTGTCTTTCTATACGTTTCTCCAGCTTTAAGATCAATAACTAGGAGCAATATGCAGATTTTTAGACCATTTATGGTGAGGAAAAGTTATGTACACAAGCTTTAATGCCTCTCTTTCCCAGGAAGTGGACCATGGTCACCTGAAGGCAGTAGATCTTGCTCTGGAACTGGAGGACCAAATGGGAAACTTGGATTTTCTCAGAGTCGGATTTGATGAGGTCCGTATCTATCCATTCCTCTTTTTTCCCATTATAAAGTTACATTTTTTTCTTTCTCATGTCTATGTTGCTCTCAACTGTCTTTTATTCATTTTTTTTTTTAATGTTTTGCCCTGTTTTTCATCCAGCACGCCAGATCTGTGGCCTTATTTGATGTCTTGTAATATGTCTTTCTTTCTTCCCGGCAGGAAATCAAAGAACTGCACTCTATGATCCAGAACGAGACTTTGATCATTCGCGATAATAACAACCGCTCGCTCGACATGGATGAGATCATAGAAAACGCCAAGAGACAGTACGCAGACATGGCCGCCCGCACACGGGACCACGCGGACCAGTGGAACCAGAAAAAAGTACAATATAGTCCTAGAATACACTGCAAAAACATATGATTAAAAAAAAACACATTTTCACTGCCTCACATTTCATCGTATTTTTTGCAGTGTATAGTAACGCACAGATCTTACACTGTAGGTCCTCAACGTGTGTTTTTCCTCCTGGTGTAGATTGATGAGCTGGTTCACAGTGCGGGGAGGCGTGAGGGTGAGGTGCGTGAGATGAAGAGGGACATCTCTGACCTGCAGCGCCTGGTGGAGAGGCTCAAAGCCGAACTGGAGACCCTCACGAGAAGAGTAGGTTTGGATGAAAGCTCACGTCCTTCTGCGGAGCCAAAAACTGAGGATTTTCACATCCAGATACATTTTATTTGCCATTTGCAGTAAAACCACATAGAAATACATTTGCAAAAGTCCCCAGTGTGCACAAAGACAAGTACATATATACACATAAACAAGGTTCAAAATACAGAATTAACTAAAAAATACATTAAAAAAAACGTGCTCAAATTAAAGGAGTAGTGTGTCTGGCCATAAGTGGTACTGCAGCCTTTCCCACTCTCCCTGACTCAGGTTGCCAGATATGCAGACAAATCCACCAGATCCAGAGTTTTGTCAACAACAAATCTATAACCAACACCTTTTTCACAAAGATAGAAATCCTGGTTTTATTCCATGTTTTGTCGTTAATGATTTGAGAATCATAACGAGACCTTTTTTAGTTCTGCGCCACATGGTACTTTACCAGTGAGATTAGCTTGATGCGGTGAGTTCTGGCGCCCTGATCACAGACTTTCTGGTTGGTGAAACGGTGGAGGGCGGGACATCGAAATGAAAACAACAAGATTTAGGGGCTGTAAACTAATTTTGAAATCCAAATATCTCTGAACTACTGTTATCAGTTAAAGAAGTATTTGAAAAGAGCCTGTTTTATTAATGCCTTTGGACAGATTAGGGCCCTTTAAACTTGATATGAAAATCTTACATATTGCTGCTTTAAGATACATTTTGTCAAATTAAAAATGTTTTTTTTTTTTTTTTTTTTTTGCATATAATTTCTGCGTGTGTGTGTGTGTGTGTGTAGGAATTGGCTTTAAACAGGGAGATAGACACCATGATGGCAGAAGGAAACGAGAGGTTGGAAGCGGCGCTCCAAGACAAGGCCAAGTTGGAGGAGGCCCTGAGGAGAGCCAAGCATGACTTAGCCGGACTCCTGCGCAAGTACCAGGACCTGATGAGCCTCAAGCTGGCCATGGACATCGAGATCGCCACCTACAGGAAGCTGCTGGAGGGAGAGGAGCAGAGGTGAGAGAATTTATACGAATAATGACCCCTGCAAAGACAGATAATATCTAAGGAAGCCAAAGTTTCAATCAAGCTGAGTTTATGTTGATTCAAGTTCATTTTGACTTATCTTATTACCCGTGAGAATGTGCTTGTCTCATGAAATTCTAAATTATTTCCAATTCCTAATATGTGTCGTTTCTCTTTTAGGATGAATGAACTCATGCGTCATGGGGGTAAGGACATTTTGACATTTTTTTTTTCCAGTAGGGTTTTGCAATAAAGTACATTCACACTATTTTTTTGTGTGTGTTAATAATATAAATGCTAAACTTAGTTCCTGGGTGTACAGAGGCCCACCACCAACAACTCACACTATTTGATGATCAGAAACGTTTTTGTGCAATTTTGTAAGCAGGGAATCAAATTTGAGACCGATAACTTTGGAGTCTGCTGCCTCCTAGTGGTATGAATAATAATAACAATGCGGCCAATACATTTATTTCAAAACAACAACAAGAATTGAGAACAAACACAGGATTTTATTTTAGTTGAAGCAGTCCCTATGATATGTGTTTAATTTCCCACTAAAATCAAACCTTTCTTTTGCTCAGATTTCTAAAACCAACTTGCTTACAGCAGACCTACAGCCACCGGTGAAGCCACAGCCGCCGCCACCGCCGCCACCGTCGCCACCGCCGCCACCGCCGCCACCGCCACAGGAGACCCCTTTATCACAAGTCTCAGAAGACCACAACCAAAACCAAAACCAAGTCCCTCAGACCAAAACCCTCCCTTATCCCTCCTCTACCAAGCGCCTGCTGATCCGAGTGGACGTGCTGCACGGGAAAGTTGTGTCCCAGAGTTGCCAAGAAGTTATTTAATACAATACTTTAGTCTTCTCAGTATAACATTGCAAACTTACTATTGTGTGCACTGCAAAAAGTCATAAAAAATAAGTCCAAATTGTAAAAAAAAAAATAATATGGCCAAATGTATCTTAATTTGAGCATATTCTATAAGATAAAATAAGATTTGCCGAAGATACAAGAAAAGTCTCTCTTGGAATGAGAAAATAAAGTCTTGAAAGAAGACTAAATGGCTTTGTCCCATTGATCTGGTAAAATGTACTCAAATTTAGATAAAAAAAACACTCAATTCAAGCAAATCTTACCTCATATTTTATCATTTTTTGTAGTGTAATATAGAAGCCTCAATAACAATCCTAATAACCCGCATATGTGAAGAGCAAACTCAACTATGAATAATCTTTGTATGCATTTTTATCTGTGACTGACTATCAACTTTGACTGTGATTCTCCCTGGTGGCTGTGTCTATGGACTCATTCTTCATTTTGTATAATTCTGTACATCTGCAGAAGGAAATGACATAAAAAGAGAATGTTTCACTATGGGAATGGTCTGGAAAATAAATGAAAAGTAGAAAAAAAAAGTGGTGTTCTTTTTCTGTCTTCCTATTTGGCGGCACAAACACTATCTACAGCAGGACATACAAAACAATGTATTTGGGGCGCCCTCTAGTGGACATCAACGCTTACTGCCAGCGACGTGCGACCCTCACTGAGAGTCTGTGCATATTTTTACAGGTTATACATCATTTTAAAGCTATTTTTTTAAATCAAGAAATCAACCACAGCATTCATAACATCATAAACACTGGACCCTGAACGCAATAAGTAAGAATTCAAAGTAAAAATTATGAAAACAAGTCTATAATACTGGTGCTGTTTGGTGCCAGTCCAAGCAGCTGAATATATAAACGCTTTATCTAATCTAATATTCAATAAAAGTAATTATTCAGTCAAAATACCGTCATCATTAAAAATCACAGATCCAAATGATGAGCTATTTCCCTATTTTTGTCGGTGTTCTAAAACATTTACTTTCTCCGCTGTTATTGGGAATGAATAAGAAGTTGGGACATAAACATAGCAGTGTAAATCCAGGAGCTAAACCGCGTATGCAAAGTGAAATAGCGTGTTCAATTTTAGTAGTTTTTTCCTAAATCTGCCCGTACACACACTGTAATTGTATTTTTGGATATTTTTTTCAAATCTGCATTTCGTTGTGTCTCTGGGTCTGGGTCTATTCTATACCATGTGTGAACAATACTCACTAAGCCTCTGTGGCCCCTGACCTTCTTCAGCTCTAACTTCATTAAAGGGCCTTTCTCTTAATTGGATCAAGAGCACGATTTTCCTCTCACATGATGAATTTGGGCAGATTGAGCCGACGCAGATTTTTCCCGTTCATTAATAGACTTTCAATGCAGCAAAAAAAAAAAACATTTTACTGTAATCTATGAATCTACTGAAATTTTTGAAAACAGTTGTGCCAATAACATTTAACACCAATTGAGTTTTTTTGTTTTACTTTTTATATGTACGTGTGTGTATTTTATACTGTTTTATTTCATGTTTTAATCTTTTGTGCCTGAATGTGAAGCACTTTGGTAACTTTTGGCACTTTTGGCTGTAAATGTGCTATACAATTTAAGCTAACGTTGACATTGACATTGACAATGCTAAAAAGGCACAATTTTCAACAATACTTACATGAGAGGCAGACTATTTTTATAATTATGTATATTTTTGATCATGGGACACTCTACTAGTATGTACACTGAGTATTTCTAAGTATTTTTTCCATAGTAATATATAAAAACAGCTCTTCGCCTTAGAATAACGACCACCGCACCAGTAAGATTTTCTAGAGGAGAATGACCAATGACGAGGGGCCACTTTAAAATAGGTCTTAAAATTAATTTCGACCAATCAGGAAGCAGCGAGAGTGAGCATGGGCGGGTCTAACCAGTGGCTTGTCTCAAAAAGATTCACCTTATCGTCACAAAAAAGTAACTGACATTTGATTTAATTTAGATTTGGGATTGAAAACAATTATATATTTTGAGTAAATTAAAACCGTGAAAAACATCTCGTGTTTGCTCGTGGTGCGGTGGTCGGGGCCGCTTTGATCTCCATTTTTGCAGGATACGTTTTCTCCCTTAAAGCCAGAAAGACAAGTTTATCGAGAAAGTTACATCGTGCACGAACAGGAATTAAAGCTGGGGTACTGTACTTCAAACCCCTCAGAATGGATCGCTTATATCACTGTGTTTTAAATGTATGTATTTCTGGCCTCGGTCACACCTCCTTTGATCACTTTTTTCTGACGGGAAACTTGAAAAGAGAGCGCCACCTTCACTCCTTCTCTCAGCCAATCAGCTCCCAGCTCCAATCCGGATCTTTCCTTCTGTACAAGTATGCAACATATAAAATAATATGTTCTAATAAGAGTAAGACATCACATTTGTTCACAACATTTTACTCGGTCTGTTGGCAAAGTGTATTATTAATGACAACAAAAAAGACATTAAGAGTAAGTCATTTATATTTGTTGTTATTTTATACCTTATACTCACTTCTAACTGAAATATTGCAAAAAAACGAATGCTAAGTGCTGCCAGTAAACAGTGTGTTGCTATGGTAGCCAGCACTTTAACCACTTTCTATACAGCGACTTTGCTTCCCACGATCGTCTCTCTACATTTTCCGGATATCATTTTCTTTCTATGTGTTTCCATTTTTGATTAAAGTAGTCCACTTTCTCTTTTTAAGTTACAGGGCCTCCCTTTTTGTCTGTTTTTTTTTCATTTCTCAACATACTGTAGGCCGGTGCTATGTGTACTGGGCGGCATCTCTGACAGCCACCCCACGACCCAGAAATGGAAAAGGGGTAGAAAATGGATGGATGGATGGCATTTCTCAACAACAACAAAAAACGCTGGTGCCTTTTCTGGTAGACGATAAAACCACTCACATTTTTAAAAAACAAAACACATAAATAACTGCATATAGAAACAGAAACAAAGTCACAAACGTATCAAGACCACAAAACCCGTCAAATTGACTGCTCTCCGGGAGTCCTCTGGCGTTTATGACATTGCACGTTCAAACCACCACTGGTCGAGAGTTCCTTGCCTTCCGCCTCACCCTGTCCCGCAGTTTCATCAGCAGCTTGTGCGCAGGCTCCGTGTACTGCCTGTTGGACAGCCCCAGCACCAACGGTACCACAGCCATGCTCCCGTTCCCCGTGCACGACAGTACGATATGCGTGGTGGCGTTCCATCTGGCGTCGCTGAGCAAAAACGCGATACACACATGCATGTAGATGAGGTAGGGGACCCAGCACGCCAGAAAAGTCAAAGACACAGCCACCACGCATCTCGTATAGCGCAAATTCAACCTCTGCTCCCTGTCCGAAGCTTTATTTCCTCTCTGCACGGATCTATGTAGGCGGCAAATGTCTTTCAATTGGCCTTTGGTGATGCAGAGGACGCGCCCGGTCATCCCAGCTATGGTCAGAATGGCAGGCAGCACCAGTCCATAGACCTCCAAATAGATAAACTCATTGGTGAAGACCCTTCTATAGGAGCAGCAAGCAGTGCCATTGGTTGAATAGTTTGTGATGATATTAGCAGAGGCGGTAATGGGTGCGTAGTCACAGCAGTTCTGCCAATCTGGTCCAGTCCAGTTGTTCCAGCCAAAAGCAGGCAGGCAGGCAAACAGAAGCGGGGGTGTCCATACGATGAACAAAGCCAAAGGGAAACTCCTATGCATCCACAGGTTTGCGTAGTGCAGGGGGTCCGAGATGCAGACGTACCTCTCGTAGTGGACCATGACCAGGTTGAAAAGAAAAGCCAGGAAGAGGACGTTGGGGAAGATGTGGACCAGCAGGCAAGAACTGAAGCTCAACTCTCGGTTCAGAGCCATGAGGGGGATGAAGGGTAAGGCCACGCCGGTGCACATGTCGGCGACCAGGAGGCTCAGGAAGAAGTAGTTAGGCGTGTTGTGGAGTTGCCGGTTCAAAACGATGCCCAAGATGATGAGGAGGTTGGCCAGGATGATGGAGGTGGAGAGGGGGACGGTGATGGCGTAGATCAGCTCCTCTCCGGACAGAAAGTGGCCCAGATCCATGGCTGAGGTGTGGATCCCAGGACAAGGCTAGCCTACGAAGCAAGATCAAAATACGGTGTTATTTATGGTTTTTCGGTTCAAACTACAACACTAGAAACATTAAAGCTGGGATACCTAACTTTAAGATTAACAGATACTTTATTCGTCGCACAGCAGGGAAAATTCAGTGTTGTATCACAAGTTACACAACAGTAAGAAAGACAACAATAGCTATACTAAAAAGAAAAAATCTCTAACTCTAGATTCAAAGAGCAAGTATAAAATCTCTATCTTGAACATAATAATAATGATAAAGAAGTATAAAAAAAATTACATTTGCATTTGAAGCTACGTATAAAATCGATCTAAATTGTTCATTTCTGTCAATACAGTTTAATCAATAGTTTTCATAAATGTATTTTTAAAAGACATAAAAACACATACTGTTTAGATTTAACCAAAACTGGACCAAATATGAAGCTAAACACAAAGTTTTCTATTCAACTATGTCACTAACATTTGAGCCTGAAGGTTGTGAGTTCGAGCCCACCATGAGACCTTCTCCATCAACTCCCACTGCTGTCGTTGTG